CAGTGATATCAGAAAAAATATGTTATATCTTACTAATAATTACAAAAAAGATGTATAAACATTGTGAAAGTGTCTCATTTCATGATAAAAGACACCGATTTAGCAAATATGACGACATTAGTGCGCTTGCATCAGGGAATTCAAGGTCAAAAGGTCAATTCAGACGCTGATAAGTTATTGGTCGAGCCTTTTTGTTTCCTTTATTCCGACAAAATTATACAATCAATCAAAACAAGTTTGATACCAGAAGAAAGCTAACGATTAGTATTTTCATTAACCGCTTGCCCCAAAGTCTCTTGACCACAGTGGAACGAGTGAGAGCTTGCGAGAGCGGCCAAAGTGTGATTGAAACTCACTATTTGCTCTTCTCCAACGCAAAAAGAGACGACATTGTGCTGGATAAATGTATTTTTTCCGACAAAAGTACAGAAATTTTGCATATGGTCTTTTGAGCGGATGATACAACGTTTCCATATGCAGTGTTGACAATGACCTGTCAATAGTTGCATCGACCCTTTTTCTGGGGGGGGGGGGGGGGGGTCGGTGACACCATAAGGGTGAGAGAGAAACATTATAAGTTAATTTCCTGTTCATAAAGTGCGCCCTCAATTGAGAACCTTAGTGTTTTTTTTGTCCATTTGGACTCCATATTGGATTTTGTGGTTTCCTGAACCACTGCTTAACGTTCTAACTTATCCTAATGGATTCTATGACCCCGAAAACCATAGCATAGACACCCCAATTATGTCTCTAGGATGGATAATAAGTGACTTATGGCCATTTTTATGTTATGGCGGCCATTTTGGACGCCATCTTGGATTTTGGGGTTTCCTAGACCATCACAAACGATTCTTACTTGTCTCAATGGATTCTTTGACCCCCGAAACCATGGGATAGACACCAAAATTATGTCTCTGGGATGGATAATAAGTGATTTATGGCCATTTTCAGGTATCGACGTCGGCGGCCATCTTGGACGCCATCTTGAAAATAACAGCTTTCCGAAGCTTCGATTTTGGTCGACTTTTAGCATGTTATTCCTGAGGTCAAATACTACTAGAAACCGTTGAAAAACCTTTTGTTGCAAATTTTTTGGGGTTGGGGTGTTTTTTACCGTATATTGACCTGACTAGGTCACCACCAATAATTAAGCTGGGACGGAATCAAGACAGTGATTTTACACATGTTTATCTATATGCGCAGAAGATAATAAATTGCTTTCTGCTTTTCGTTTGGGGGGGGGGGGGGGGGCGCGAGAGGGGCGCAAAAACGTATCTTTTCCCCTTGTTTTTTCTTTTTCCTCTTTATTTTTTTTCCCTTTATCCTTTTTGCTGAGGGGATAGGGGGGAGGCAAGGGCCTTTCGATCCAAACCTTGTTGGCGGGAAAATCGCAACTGACATCCCCTTTCTTTAGTTTTCTTCTTCCTCTTTTTTCTTTCCCCTTTTTTCTTCTCTTTTTATGGGGGAGGGAGTGGAGGCATACCCCCCCCCCCCGATTTCCTTTTTTTCCCCATTTCTTTTCTTCTTCCTCTTCCTTCTTTCCTTTCTCTCCTCTATCTTTCCCTTCTTTTCCTTCTCTCTCTTTCTCTCTCCTTTTTTTGGGGGGGGGGGGGGGAGGGGGCGGGGGGGGGGGGATTTGCCACCTGTCCCCCTGGATCCGCGCCTGGACGGTACGGTAAACGGTACGAAAATGACCGGTATAGGCAGGGGCGTTGCTAATGGGGGAGCTGTGGGGGTGCAACACCCCCCCCCCCCTCCCCACACACACACACACACCTTTTTGAAAAAGTATGTTTATGTAAATATAAAGAAAAAAAGAAAGGTGACCTGCCGGTTTTACAAATGAGGTATCAAAATATGCTCATCTGTCCGTAATTAAATGCCTAAAACCCCCGAGCTTCCAGGGGCATGCAGACCCCACCAAAGGCCCTCAGGCGGGCCCCCTGGAAGATCATCTGACCTTATTTTAATGCTTAAAACACCAGAGCTTCCTTGACCCTCACCAGGGCTTTGCCCCTGGACCCCAAGCCAATTTAAACAATATTGCCCAACTTTTTCACAGTATATAGGCTAATGGTCCGGTCAAACTCCGTTTGTTTTCGATGCTAGGAAACTTTCAGGAGATCAAGTTTTTGGATAAATCAAGTTAGGTTAATTAATATGATTATTAGTATCCTGAGGCATGATAATTCATGGAAAACTGAAATCTTGAAACTCTTCATTGGCTTCATTGAAATTGAAGAGCTTCTGTGTGCCTGGATCTGACTAAGGCTATAAAATTTGTAGTTCCATAAGTCCTACTAAAAGTTACTTTCTACAAAAATTACTAGTTTCTTAAAATAGCAAACTAAGTCCTTAAATGGCTATGATAATGAACATGCTTGTTCTACTTAATGTGTCAGTGGCTTATCCACGGGGGGGGGGGGGGGGGCAGGGTGGTGGGGCAAGATTTCCCACGAGCGGGACAAATGACGATAGGATTATGTGTGTTTTCCTTGTTTTCACCGCTGTAGCGGGGGAAATATATTAGCTAGATTATGGGGATGTCTATAATATCAAAGCTAAAAAGTAAAATATTTTTAAAAAAATACATAATACAGGGGATATGCAACCGTTCGCATAATGTCTTACGGTAAAAAAAAATCGTATCTGATTCTGAATATCCAACTTCCTTACTTATATGGAAAATATGTCGTGCGACATTGTATATTTACGAAAAGCTTGAATATGGTATAAGTCCCTACAGCCCCCTCTCTGTCGCTTTCTTCCTTTGCTGAGGATAAGATACATGATAGATCAACCCCTTGAAGGCAACACTGATACAACCCCACCGCCCCCACCCTTAAACTTTTTTTCTTCAGAAATGTGAGTTTTCAATAAATATTTTCTTCAAATGTTTGGGACCATGTGGCCTACCCCACACCCCCCCCCCCCCCCCCCCGGCCTACGCTGTAGCCATGGGGTGTCCTCTATCCAGTATGTCGCTTTCTTATTAACATTTAGTTAATTGCTTATGTCAGTTTGACTTTTTCGGTATTATGAATAGCGACCCTCTCGTCGCGTTATGAACAGCGACCCTCTTCTCCTGTTATGAAAAGCGACCCTCTTCTCCTATTATGAAAAGCGACCCTCATTTTGTATTATGGATAGCGACCCCCTACTCCTATTATGAAAAGCGAACCTCATTTCGTATTATGAATAGCGACCCTCTACTCCTATTATGAAAAGCAACCCTCATTTCGTGTTATGAATAGCGACCCCCTACTGCTATTATGAAAAGCAACCCTCATTTCGGGTTATGAATAGCGACCCCCTACTGCTATTATGAATAGCGAACCTCATTTCGTATTATGAATAGCGAACCCCTACTCCTATTATGAATAGCGAACCTCATTTCGTATCATGAATAGCGACCTCCTACATCTATTATGTATAGCGAACCTCATTTCGTATTATGAATAGCGACCCTCTACTCCTACTATGAATAGCGACACTCTTCTCCTATTATGAATAGCGACCCTCTTCTCCTATTATGAACAGCAACCCTCTTCTCCTATTATGAATAGCGACCCTCATTTCGTATTATGAATAGCGACCTTCTTCTCCTATCATGAATAGCGACCCTCTACTCCTATTATGAATAGCGACCCTCTTCTTCTATTATGAATAGCAACCCTCTTCTCCTATTATGAATAGCGACCCTCATTTTGTATTATGAATAGTGACCCTAATTTCGTATTATGAATAGCGAGCCCCTACTCCTATTATAAATAGCGAGCCCCTACTCCTATTATAAATAGCGACCCTCATTTCGTATTATGAATAGCGACCCTCTTTTCCTATAATGAATAGCTATTATGAATAGCGACCCTCTTCTCATGTTATGAATAGCGACCCTTATGAGTAATGAACCTCATTTCGTATTATGAATAGCGACCCTCTTCTTGTATTATGGATAGTGACCTTGATTTCATATTATGAATAGCAACCCTTATGAGCAGGCGTGTACGCAGGGGGGTGTTTGGGGGGTTGAACCCCCCCCCCCCCCCCTTTGGTATTTTTATGTGTATAAACCCCCCCCTAAAACCCCCCCCCCCCCCTTTGGTTTTTTTTTTTTTTTTTTTAATAAAAAAAAAAAAAAAAAAAATTATTCCCATGGCTGACCTAAAAAAGATGACCTTACCCCCCCCCCCCAACGGAGCAAAATGTCAAATTTTCAAATTTCGAGACCCCAAAAAATAAAATAAAAGTGTCCTCTTACTCCCCCCCCCCCCCCCAAAGCTTATTCAGCGGCCGGCTGAGTCGTTGCGATTTTTTGGTGATCAAAAAAAATAAAAGTGTCCTCTTACCCCTAAAAAGGGGTAAACGTGTGTATATAAAGGCCATTTTGTACTTGTTTTAAGGCAAACAGGGTCATAACTGGTAGTAGAAGTTCTTAAAAGTCGGCAAATAGGGGATCATTTTTTACTCTACTAATCGATCATGCGTTACACCTAGGGAGTGAGACCCCAGGAATACATTACACACTTGACCCACAATATCCACAGATCATTTACATATGGAGACTTGCCACTTTCAGCATTTTAGAATAATCTTGACAAATATCTGTTGTTTGCCCTTTTGTGAAGAATACTTCCACCTGTGTATCACAAAGTGTAACTACACAACTTAGAAAAGAAAATACCTCCTAGGTATAGCTGATCCATACATCACAGTGACATTACCAATCTAGCCAATTTGAAGTGCCCATATAAATAGAATATTTGTGTGATCAGTCAATCTCACAGATATCTATGATAAGAAAAACAAAACCAATTGTGAAGAAATTAAAGCATCTAAAATCATGACATTGGCTAATTTATACATTATCTTTAGGTTCCAAATTCCAATAACACACTCAATGCAAATTAAAAAACAACAAAAATCAAAACAAAAGGGGAATAAAATCACTACCGGTATTCAACCCTTTCATTCCTCAAGAATAACACATTGTACCATTGTTTACTATGTATAATGTTTTTCATTTTATTATCAATAGACGTTCTGCAAATATTAATAGTAAGTATGCTACAAAGTATTATTGTGGACACAGACAATTATGTAATGTGACATTGTTCATTTTCTGTTTCTTTAAAACTACAAATATGAGACTAAAGCTAGTCAGGTCCTATAATAACCTCTACTGTCTGTTTATCATAGACACATTCCCCTCCGTGAAGGCACAAAGTCGTCCACAATATAACACATTATAAGCAAGATTTCTCCAGCATTAAAGCAAGAGAGGGATGGAAAGAAAGTATTAATAATAGCATTAAGCATTCCTCCACTTGCAATCCAAATTGATTACATATAAAACAATTCTATGTGCAAAATATATATCAAATCAATTTACATTATAAAGATTTACAATCATTTACCAGAACTACTATACATGATTCATATATATGTGTAGAGCAGAATCTAAAATATTTTGATCTTTCTTCTACTTTAAGAAAAAAAATAATCAAGTATCAATGATCTTTGAATGTGATAAGCTGAGCAAAGAGAAGTTACAAAGAAATGAAACATGGGGGAGACAAATAATATGGCAAGTCATGAAATGGAGATGCTGGTTACACACAATCCACACGTATGGTACAGTATAAGTTGGGATAAGTATCACTTAACGGTGTCATATAATTCTAATGTAAAATGGAAGAGTTTCACCGTTTTCTAACAATGAATATGAAAACACAAAACGTGAAGAGAAATATATATTCTAAAAAATGAAATCTCATAACTTTAGGTGTGACTGACTTACTTGCAAAGATTAAGCATCCACAGTGCTGTGTACATGTAGTATAAGTAAGCTGTGTGTAAAACCCAGAATCCTTCCACTTCATTTTAAATCTTAAGCCCACTGCACAATACATGAACGTCCTGCGATCAGATTTTTGAAGAAATGGCAAATGTACTAGATAGGATAGCCAAATAAACATCATCTTCCTACCTTATCTTTTAATAATAAGAATACTCCAACCAGCAATTTTAGTGCATTAAACTCTTCTAGTCAGAATAAAAGCTGTATCAGCTACAAATATCGTAGACATTTCAAACTATATGATACTGGTCAAATGTCACTACAATTCTGAACCGAGTTAGCTCTTCCTCTTCCAAGGAAGCATGAAATGCCTTGAATATTAAGATTTTCTTAACCACAAGACTAGTCAGATCCTTGGTCAATAAGATTTTGCATGTTTGAATGTTCGTATTGGAAATTCTTCCAAAAATCAGATCATATATTGTGCGGTGGGCTATAAGCATTATCTTATTTCGTTCGTTCGTGTCCCCTTAGATCAAGATTAATGTAAATTATCTTAATTATCTTAATTAAAAACGTAATATTTTTTTAGCTAATCATGCTGGTATGAGAAATGAATCCTAATATCAGTCACTCTATTCTTAGAAAGGTACATCACAAATGTAAGGGCTGTTTTATATACATGTACAATTAAAATAAAAGAAGACAACAACAAAAAACCTCCATCCTCACCTTACCTTAAGAAGACTTGAAAGTTCAAGAAGATAATGAATTCAAGTTATCATAAATTCCATTTCTTGCCAACTACTTTGAGTCCAATAGGCTTATTGTGGATTAATCGTCTCTTAACTTGAAGCACATTTTTTATATAACACTCTAACACTCATATCTCCGACAATATAAAGGTAGATAGATATAATTTTTAAACAATGAAAAATGCAAAATATTACCAAGTTGCTGAAATGGATCTTTGGTAGAAAAAGCCTTCGTAAATTCTCCCCTTTTTTTTCTACTAACAAATATGGGGGAAAAATTGCTACTTCCACACTTTTGTATAAAAATTACACACGTATGATGAAGATCATACAATCTTACTACATAGGTAATCATCTACATGTTTATATATTTAGTGACCGTCGCATCTATGACCATATAAAAATCTGTACAATAGAAATGTAGAATGACAAGTTTGTCCATTGGTCTAGTAAATATGTACCACTTCAAAGTAATATATCTTTCATACAAAGAGGACGTACCGGGTCCCCCTCATTGAGAAAACTTACCAATGATGGTCAATTTACCATCAATATCAACTACCATGGCAACATCACTCAACAGCCAATCAAATCAAGTTTTCCACAGAAGTAACTATTAATGGTAAAGTGACCATTGATGGTAATGTTATGCAATGGGGACCCAGGTTTCATACCAGACATACATACACAATATTGAAGATCATCATCAACCTTAACCCTTCTATTACCACTAAGCTCTTTTTTTCACTCAGAAGCAATCTCTGGTTATATTTTGCTCAAAGGACAACCTATCTGCAATATAAGAAACAATAGTTCCTTAACTCAGTGAAAAAGAAGGTCTAAAGAAAAAGCTTAAGAGGTCGATGATAAGATTAAGAAGATGTTGATTACTCAAAAATTAAGTAGAAACATTCATGGGTAATATTTTAGGATACACCATATTAATCCCAACGTGCAAAAATGACAGACCAGGAAGGAAAGAGAATATAAATGTTTTAAACTTTTCTTTGATATAAACTCATATTCTTTAATTCCATCTTTACACCGAATCCATCAATTTATTCTTGCATATCTAAAAGCAGATATACGATAAACTAAGAGATACCTTTTGTTACCTTTGTAAGTTAACATCCAGTAAATGTAGCAATAGATGTTGAATAACCAAATCTATGAGGGGGCATAAATAATCTGTACTGTCAGAGAGAGAAAAATCAGTATAGAACATGTGTTTTACCCTCTGCCTGACTCAACTCACAATATAAACCTTAAAATCTGATGTTTTGCACCAAAAACACAACTTATACAAGGAATGAGAGCTATTAGTGAAATATAAACTTGTCGTCTTACTGCATCAAAGAGACTTTCAACACATGGACATCATGTTGTTATAGCAGCCAGGTGACAAACGATGATAATGTGAGGGGTGGTCCTCTCTATGCTTTGACTCCAAGCTTCTCAAGACATTTGAGTCCCTTCTCCTCATATTCCTCTCTGGAGATCCAGAATGTATCTTTATCCTTCATGATGTCTGCTAGCACAGCCCCACCAAGGAACACCATGTGCTTACGTCGCGGTGGATCCTCAATCCTCAATTTGAATTTCTGATGGAACAATAACAATATTACATTTACATACACATAATATCTGCTTGTGTTTTCTATGGAAAATAGAGAAATTAAAAGAAAGAAAAAAGAAAGAAATGTCCATATGTTCAACTTTTCATGTTCTTCAATGGGTAGCAAGACAGTGGAGTATGTATGAGATTTACAAAACTAAGATTCCAAACTCCTTAAGACCACTGCACACTTCTTTAAATCTGATATATTTTTAATGAAAATATTGAAAAATAAAGAGTGTCTACATTTTTTTTTTTTGGGGGGGGGGGAGCTGAGTGTGTCAATATGGTTTCCGCTCGCAACACTCCGCATCGATGGCGCAACTTGGATTCACTCACAAAGCTTGTAAAGCTATCGATTCTAAAGAATACATGGTTGGATTGTTTCTCGATTTGAGCAAAGCCTTTGATACATTAGATCATTATATTATGTTGAGCAAATTGGAAGATTATGGAATTTGTGGAAATGTATTATTATTATTTAAGAGTTATTTGTTAGACTGGTCTCAGTTTGTAGTTATAACTAATCATAAATCTTCAAATAAGCAAATTTGATGCAGAGTGCCCCAAGGGTCCATATTGGGTCCTTTACTTTTCTTGGTTTATATAAACGATACCATTACTTTTTCTAAACTCTTACAATTTTTTGTAGTTGCAGATGACACCAGTGTGTTCATGTCTGGAAGTAATCTGAACATGTTTTTAGATGCATTTACTGTCGAATTACATAAATTGAATGATTGGTTGTTAAATAATAAATTAGTTATAAATATTGATAAAACTCAATTTATGTTATTTACAAATAGAAAAGTTGAAGATGATAATTTGATTATTCATTTTAACGGACAAGCTATAAATCGTGTTTCTTTCACTAAATTTCTTGGTGTTTACATCGATGATAGATTGACATGGCATGAGCACATTTTTGTCATATGTAACAGAGTTGCTGAGGGAGTTGGTATTATTTATCGATTAAGACACTTCCCACGATCTATTTTGATTAAGTTATATTATGCTTTGATAATTCCACACATTAATTATTGTAATATTACATGGTCAAATGGTTCTGATTATTTTATGACAAAATTATTTGTATTACAAAAGAAGGCTGTTCTAATAATTTACGAAGGCCCGTTCAATGCCCACACTTTGCCACTTTTTCAAAAATTAAAGCTTTTAAATGTTTATGATATAAATCATTTTAATATTGCTATATTTATGTTTATATGTTCAAACGGTTTACTGCCAAACTTATATCATGTAAATTTACATTCAATTATGAAATACATTCTCATGAAACTTGTAATGCTGGTAATTTTCATTTTCCTAAAATCCGTACAAATGTTTCAAAAAAGACAATTTTTTTCAAAGGGCCAGTTTTATGAAAAAATATCCTGTTTAATATCAAAAACTCTAATTCAATGAATATTTTTAAACGACTGTATAAATCCCATCTTTTATCATTGTATTCAATCTCAAAAAAAATGATGTCACGTTTCAGTTAAAGGTACTATGTCCCTTTTGCAGCCAAAGTCATATTCTGTAGAACTTTGCAGGAATTATAAATATGTCATGTATGTCCTATCTGTGAAATTTAAACGTTAGCAGTGTCCTCATATTCAAATTATGCAAGGAAACCCGTTTACTTGCTAGACTTCACTGTCAGACACTATTGAGTGACTGACTGGCTTTTTTTCTTCTTTGGTAATAACATACATGAAAAGAGTTGCAAAGGGTACATGAGCATTTGTCTAACATCAATAACCCACTTCTTGTGATGGCCAAGAATAAACTGATTGAATCTTTGCGCAGCATAAAACGTATGACCATTCGGTACAATTGTCTGAAAATCAAGACTATTACTTTTGGGCTCTATAACCCTAAAGTCGATTTGACAACTAAAAGTCGTTTTTTCCCACTTGAAGACATTTTCGAGCCCCATCTTTTTAGGGAAGTTCTAAATTAGTATTATCTTTCAAATGCAGTTGGAATTTATCTTACTCATTTTTTTGGCCTGCAAATGGGACATAGTACCTTTAATGCACTTTGTAATGTATTTCCCCTCCCCTTCCCTTCTCCTTTCCTTTTTCCCCCTTTTGTATTGGTGTTAAAGTTTTCTCTGCTTTTCTTTTCTCAACAATACAGTGTATATTTGTTAAGGGGTTGACGTTCATAAGGCTAATTTTGCCCTTTTTGTTAACCCCCAAATTCCCATAAAATTTTGTTTGCTCCTTCCCTTTGTATTTTTCTTGTTATTGATCTTTATCTGTATATCATGTTTGTATGTTTTAATGTTTTTATGGAGAATGAAATAAATGAAATAAAATGAAATGAATATGTTTCCTCTCTGGTAACCATATGGTTAAGGCATTGGGATTCCAAGCCATTAATTCATCCTATGCACATTGGCATTATAGAAACCATAAAACCATCAAAGAAAGTAAAACTCATGTCTCTTATCTATATCAGGAAATAATCGTATATGGTTAGTTCTAAAAAGAATTAATACTTGTCAACTAGCAACTTCATTAACTTTGTACAGCTAACATACATGCCACTAGACATTCAGAACTTCTTAGAGGTAATTCAAATACTCCTCATGAATAATATCAGTCCAAGAAAGACATCCTTATGTCTGTAAATGCAATTGTTACCAATAACTCAATAGTCATTCCACTGTATAAATAGCAACTGTAATAAATAAAGTGCATCACAGCCCATTAAATTCATGTTATGTATAATATAAAAATAATAACAAGATCAAGCTATGTGATGGTCACATTAGCCATGTATGTGGGTTAGATGAAGACCAAAAATAATCTGAACATGATTTCAGCCAGCCAACATACATGCTAAGTAAACTATTGATTTGAAACAAGTCTTTAAATGAGCACAATGAGAGAAGTACTTACGGATAGCTTTGAAGTGTCACCCTTTAGCACTCTTTCAAGGTAAAGTTGTTTGATCTCTCTTTCTAGACGGGATGGGAAGCCTGGGTACATGGTAGAACCACCTGATAATACTATGTGTTTGTAAAACTCTGGTCTCGTATCTATATCAGCAGCCTGAAATCAATCATTTCATTAAAAAACAGTCATTGCTAGCATTCATGTTTGGAGATTCGTAGCATATAACTTGGGGTATAAAAAAATATACACAGTATATTTGGACATATCTGAATTTTATTCAAGCTACCAGATGTGTCCTAAATTGTGAAACTATGGAAATACACAAAAATACCTATCCATGAAAAACCACGCTATGCATAATATGAAAGCCTATGATTTGGGATGGTTGATGTCATATTAAGTGCTTGTGAGGGGTCAAGTTTGTCACAATTTGTGAAAGAATTAGTTAGAGAAAAATAGCATGTATACAGTAGTTTTTCCTTAGTGCATTTGCCATCAGACATTCAGAACTTCTTAGAGGTATTTCAAATATTCCTCATGAATAATATCAGTCAAAGAAAGTCATCCTTATGTCTGTAAATGCATTCACCCCTGATCTAACTGGGCATTCTGAGATTTTTTTTATTTTTTATTTTATTATTATTATTTTTTTTTTTGGGGGGGGGGGGGGGTGGTTCTTCCTATAAAAAAATAGGAAAAGCAAATGTGCACACAAACATACACAAAGTATTGATTTTCATTTGCTTTGGCCCAGCATGCAACAATGACATGCCCCTGTAGTATTGATATTTACACAAGAATTACTTGGAAATCATGGACAGAATATCACACTATCTAGCAAATGTGTATTTCAATATAAATGGAAGAAAAAGAGGTCACATTCAAGAAGTTCCATTTTAATTTTCACTTCACTCACTCATCTATAGAAGGGACTTTAAAGGAATCGTTTAACAATGTTAAATCTGAGATGCACGGCACAACGTGTTATCAGTGTCTGTGATATCATGTGATATTGAAGCAAAAAAAAAAATGGCGCTTCAAATTGATCATGAAGGGTCTCAAAAAAGTAAAAAATCTTTGAGTGACCGGTTTTACCATACTCATTTTCCCCAATAGACTGTAGTGTTATAAAAACTGTTAGGAAAACGAAATCTGAAATTTCGATTTCCAATCATAAAAATCTTGATATACAGACAGGCGATCAGTTTGTAAAAGTCATGGAGTTCCTGACTGACCTTAAGGTTTATAATTATCATTGCAGCATGAGCTAAATCCAGGATTGTGTTTCACAATCTGAGACAAAGTTACCCAATGCCTTAAATGAACGATGGTAAGCTTCAGTACAAGAAGTATGTTTGATTGAGATTCCAATGAATTAGTGTGATAAGCAAGCAGGTATACCTGGATTGTATTGAAGAGTAGTTCTGATATTCCTACTCCTTCTTGATTGATTAGATGTGGTTGGAAGAGAGCCTCTGGTGCACCAAACCTTTCACCTCCGACCTTTATCTGACGCCCATCAGGAAGCTGTACAAAACAAAACATTGTAGAAACCATCAAACCGTGTCTCTGGAAACTATCTTGGAAAACACACAATCCTCAACATCAGAATGATTTATCTTCAGAAATGGACTAGTATGGGAATAACAGCGAAGAAATAACTGCCTGGCTGTATCTATATTCTTTCCTATTTATGACACCTGTATAGGACTGTTAGACATCCATGTCAAGAAAGATTACCGAGAGTCCTTTTCAGGACTCCTCAATCCTACCTCTCTCTCTCTCTCATATGGTGCACCCGCAAGCCTACTGTACATGTCCAGTTAGTTGTTCAAAAGAATATTCATATTTTCAATCAGGCATACTAAAAACCAGACAATTTTGCAACATGAAAGTTTTGTGATATACACAAAAATACCTATCCATGAAAGACCACTCTAGATGCATAATATAAAGGCCTATGATTTGGGTTGGTTGATGTCATATTAAGTGCTTGTGAGGGGTCAAGTTTGTCAAAATTTGTGAAAGAATTGGTAAGAGAAAAATAGCATGTATACACAAATTTGTCCATTTTGCATTTTGCCATCAGACATTCAGAACTTCTTAGAGGTATTTCAAATATTCCTCATGAATAATATCAGTCAAAGAAAGTCATCCTTATGTCTGTAAATGCATTCACCTCTGATTTACTTAGGCATTTTGAGAAGGTTTTTTTTAGGGGGATAGGGGGGAGAGGGTTTAACATTTTTTGAAGAAATTGAAGAAATTTATTTTTCAACAAATTTATGAAAAGGAATTGGGCATATTATAAGCAAGCATATGCAAAATGTTGTTGATCTATCTGTGAATTAATAGTACTCGAACAGTACTAGTACCCATAGTGGGATGTGTCCAAGATTAGTTTTTGTTAGAGAGCTTTATCAATTGCGTTTAAATCCAGATGGAGTTATTTTGGGGTTTTCATTCAATCAAATCTTGTGACATTATCATGAACTATTCATGCCTCTGAAACAGTTTCATCAAATTTGGACATGCATCTGCTGCATCAGTGATCGATGCTAGATCTACATACCTAGCATGCACCACTACTAGTCGATTTCCTTGTATAGTGACAGTATTGCACTGGCATTCAATGTATTGCACAACCAAATACTTTAAGAACTCAAGGAATTTGTGAAAATTTCATGCACCTGAAAATATCTGGTTTTATAGTAGTTTAAACAAATCTTTGAACAACCCCCCAGAATGTCTGAATATAAAATAGTCATTAAATAATTATTTAATGAAAGTTGTTCATTTTTCGAGCAGTAAGAACGATCTCAACATGCAAGATCAGAGAATTCAGCATCTACAATTATAAGCCAGTGTTTGAACTTGTTATCCTGCACACCTTGGTATAATTGAACTTCAGCAAAATCTTTTCAAGAAAGAACAGAGGGAAGACACTTTCTTGGAGCATCGACTCAATTGAATTTCAACTTGAGCAAATTTGAATTATAAATGCAAGATAGATTGTATTTTCTTGTTATTATAAGACTTGTGATATACATGGCTTTGAATGATTACTTACTGAATAGCTTTCCACCAGTACTGTTGTCTCATTTGAAAGCTTTTGCTCTTGCTCCACATTGTACCTGAAACAAACAAAGAAACACCCAAAAATCAAATCATAATATACATATCCAACTGAGGATCCAGTGGAACGCATGTGGCTGGTCACTGTTTAATTGTCACCTGCTCCCCCCCCCCCCCCCTCTCATGACAAAGAATTAATAAAAGTTGAAGATTTGTCAAATTGCTTCAGTGAATTGAATTTGGCCTCGCCGAAAGAAAGATCTCCATGGTCTACTGTTTAAGGCATTGCATTCTTAGCTAGGAACCTGACCTGGGTTCAATTCTCTGCGGAAATTTGATTAAGCTTTGCGCCATTACATCTCACTATTATATATACAATTAACAACAGAATCATCCATACTCCTTGCAAATTTGATGTTGTTTTTTTTGCTTTTTGTAACTCAAGAATGTCAAGTAGACTTATTGAATGAGGGCTGATGTGGAATACTTTGCAAATGTGTCCTTAATTGTGAAAATACAACCAAAAAATACTCTAAGCATAATATAAAGGCCTATGATTTGGGATGGTTGATACCATATTAAGTGCTTGTGGGGGGTCAGATTTATCACAATTGTGAAATAATTAATAAGAGAAAAATAGCATGTATACAGTAGTTTTTCCATTGTGCATTTTGCCATGAGACATTCAGAACTTCTTAGAGGTATTTCAAATATTCCTCATAAATAATATCAGTCAAAGAAAGTCATCCTAACTGCATTCTGAGAATTTTTTATTTTCTTAAAATTAGGAAAAGCCATTGTACACACAAACATACACAAAATATTGATGTTCATCTGCCCCCCCCCCCTTGATAAAGAATATATAAAAGTTGAAGAGTTGTCCAATTGCTTTAGTCAATTGAATCTAGTCTCGCCGAAAAAAGGAAATACATTCCTTAAGTTAATTATTAGTCAAAAGGCAGGTTCAAAGATGGTTAAGAGCCCTGTGTGTTGAATAAACTTTGAATTTGAATTTGAAAATAATTTCAAAATGTTGGATGTTCTATTTAGAGAGATTAAATCTTTAGAGCTTTAAAGATAAAGTTGAGTTCTGGTCATGTGATTGCATTGTGAAAGAAACGGTGTGGAATCTATCAGTAAAGGTTGATCATCTAGTATATAAGTATTCGTGTGTATTGCAAGGTTCTGGAATCATCAAAATGATAAGAAATTTGGCCAAATCTTGGCAGAGTTACAAGCACTGTACACAGAATGATGTATATGGGACTACACGAGCACATGGCAAAAAAAAAACCTAACCCCGATTTTTACGATGTTTCATGTCATATTTAGAATATAAAGGCATTTGAAGAGCCATGCTTTTCAGGAAACATGTTTAATCTGATGTTCTTCCACCCTTGCAAAATAACAATAATGCTCACCAATTATTTTTTTACCTCTTCACAGAACTCAACCTTCTCTATAAATAGAGTATTTAGAGCTATTAAAGTAAGTATTAGAGCTATTAGAGTAAATATTAGAGTTATCAAATTAAGCCAAGTATTAAAGAAGCCCATATGACTTACCCAACATAGCACAATTTCTCTTTCATAGCCCTGACGGTCTCAAAGTCTGCAGAATGGTTGAAAGCATAGCCTCGAAGGAGAAGCAACTGAATAAAATAGAAAAAAGAAACAAACTAGATGGAATTCGACTGCGCGCAGTCGAAAATGATGCCTCCGTTATAGAGCAATTTTACAAACCAAAACAGAAAAAAAAAATTGAATTCACGTTCAATGGTAATCCATTGACAGGTTCTCAGAATATTGTGATTACAAGCAATTTCTCATTTACATATATGACCCTTTGATCTTTGACCTCATGACCATAAAATCTACTCAGTTCATTGGCTCTGCAAGATGTTCTGAGTTAAATAGTAATCCATCTGTCAGTTCTAATGAGAATGCGTTCACAAGCTATTTTTGCATACATAATGGGCCCATGACCTTTGACCTTTGACCTTATGAACCAAGAATCTACTCAGTTCATTGGCTCTGCAAGTAACAAACATGACCTAATTTTGGCATGAATCCATCAATCAGTTCTTGAGATAACGCGATCACAAGCTGTTTTTGCATTCATAATGTGCGCTGTGGCCTTTGACCTTTGACCTACGTGCTCCAAAATCTAATCAGATTGTCTTCCTATGGTGATACACACTATCATTAAGTTTGAAGTTTTTACATCTCCAGTGGTTCTTGAGATATCATAACAATCTCAATGTATGGAATTTCATAAGTTGACCTCTTTGACCCTTGACCTTTGACCTACGTGCTCCAAAATCTAATCAGATTGTTTTCCTATAGTGATACACACTATCACTAAGTTTGAAGTTTAAATCTCCAGTGGTTCTTGAGATATCATGATAACAATCTCAATGTATGGAATTTCATAAGTTGACCTCTGTGACCCTTGACCTTTGACATACGTGCTCCAAAATCTAATCAGATTGTTTTCCTATAGTGATACACACTATCACTAAGTTTGAAGTTTAAATCTCCAGTGGTTCTTGAGATATCATGATAACAATCTCAATGTATGGAATTTCATAAGTTGACCTCTGTGACCCTTGACCTTTGACATACGTGCTCCAAAATCTAATCAGATCGTCTTCCTATGGTGATACATACTATCCTTAAGTTTGAAGTTTAAATCTCAAATGGTTCTTGAGATATCGCGCTAACAAACTCAATACAAGGAATTTCATAAGTTGACCTCTGTGACCTGTGACCTTTGACCTACGTACTCCAAAATCTAATCAGATCGTCTTCCTATGGTGATAAATACTATTCCCGAGTCTTAAGTTTAAATCTTAAATGGTTCTTGAGATATTGTGATAACGGTCAAACGGGACGGACGTACGGACGGACGTACGGACGGACGGACGGACGTACGGACGGACGGACGTACGGACGGACAACCCGAAAACATGATGCCTCCGGCACCACCTTCGGTGGCGGAGGCATAAAAATTACCCACACACATCCTAAAGAGTGATGATCAAGAAATTGGTTAGAATTAGACATTCAGAACGTCTTAGAGGTGTTTCAAGTATTCCTCATGGATAAAACTCTGACAAAGAGAGTCATCGTTATGCCTGCAAGTTTGGAATTTTGATGAAGACTGATACTACTTGATTCAGTCAGACCAGTTCCTGCTTTAATAAATGTATACAATCAATAAACCTATTCATATTTTGATACTGTACCCAAGTGATCATGATTTTATCTTGGTTTTATGGAGAAAATATTTGCATGTCGTTGCACATCTACACTTCACACACTACAAGAGGAAACATACATCCAGCAAATGTTTATCCCCCAAATGAACTAATGGCAATGGATGCTTTGTAGCAAAGATTCATGGCCATGGTTTGTTTTATAATGACCAAACAGACATGGGTAAAAAGATGCATAAAAGCGAAACATAGAATATCTTTTAATTTTGCTCATGTGCATTGACAATCTTTTCATTAAACCTTGAAATGTAAGTTTATATCAAAATGTTATGCAAAATGAGACCATTAATGAACATTTTCAACAAAAATCATCTTTGATGCATCATTCTGTCCACACAGGGTATATTAGCATTTCTGCCAACAGGTGAGATGGGACTGAAGAAAGAAGGGGGAGGGGGGCAATTGTCAACCTTTTCTAGAGCTGTTTTGTCTTCTTTTAACAATAATAATATTGGATATTTCTATAGCGCACATATCCACCAGGTAAGGTGCTCAAGGGGCTCCAACATTACCCCAGCTCTACTAGGCTACCGACATAGTGCCGTGACGGGACTTGAACCATGAACCATCTCATCTACAGTCCAAAGACGTATCCACTAGACCGAGACACCTCTACATAAGTAGAGATTTAGTCAGTAAGTGCTGAATCACTTTTAGGTTTAGTGTTTTGAGTTGACTTACTTTGATGAGATGCCTGGTGATATCCCGACCAGCAATGTCTAATCTTCTAGTTAGATGAGGAAGAGAGAAACCTTCATAGACAGGACAGATATGTGTCACACCATCACCTGAATCAACCACTACGCCTGTCAGTAGACCTATGTAGGGAGAGTCAAAAACAATCTTCTAGTTAGATGAGGAAGAGAGAAACCTTCATAGACAGGACAGATATGTGTCACGCCGTCCCCTGAATCAACCACTACGCCTGTCAGTAGACCTATGTAGGGAGAGTCAAAAACAATGCTCAGTACCTCGTATGTATCATTCATATGTCAATCTTGAATGAACTTTTAGATTGTTTCTTATTCAGAAATTAACATTAGCAATCACAAATAGAGTCTATTTACATTTGCTTTTAATACACACAAGATAGTAGGAGACCAGCCTGTAGGTCCCGTGACCAATCTCGGGGAACAAAGGTTTGAAAGTGTTTTTGTGTTCCCTGATGAATACCGAACAATTTTGACTTGGGCTGCCCCCTTGAAAATCCCAGGCATTTTCGTGAGGGGTCAACAAAGGTCATACAGGGTAGAAATTCAAATATATTCCAATCTTGTCGATATGCATATCAAATTACTCGTCTGGTCATGAGGATTGAAAAAATGTATAGTTTGCTATACCTCCGACCTTAAATGAGGGCACTATGGTCAAAAACGTTAAAAGGTCAACACACTTTTGACTGGTGGTCAAATTCATCAACACGGTTAACCTTATCAAATTTCATATCAAATTACTCGTCTGGTCATAAGGATTACAAAAATGTATAGTTTGTTATACCTCTGACCTTAAGTGAGGGCGCTATGGTCAAAAAGGTCAATGCACTTTAGACTGGTGGTCAAATTCACCAACACAGTTAACATCGTCTAATTCTAATGATTTTAGTGTCTAATAATATGTTTTCTGACATAACAAATTCAACTAAGCAACTTTTAAAACCAAAAGTGGTTGCCATAACCTTGAAATTTCCCTCAAACCCATGGATAAGAAGTTATATATGTTTGTCACCGAAACGGCAGCCATTTTGAATGTACATGGTCAAGGTAAGTACTTTTAATTTTGAAAGTTGTATAGTTGAATTTGCCGTGTCAGAAAACATATTATAAGACACTAAAATCATTAGAATCGGACAATGTTAACTGTGTTGGTAAATTTGACCACCAGTCTAGAGTGCATTGACCTTTTTGACCATAGCGCCCTAATTTAAGGTCGGAGGTATAACAAACTATACATTTTTGGAATCCTCATGACCAGACGAGTAATTTGATATGAAATTTGATAAGGTTCACTGTGTTGGTGAATTTGACCACCAGTCAAAAGTGTGTTGACCTTTCAACGTTTTTGACCATAGCGCCCTCATTTAAGGTCGGAGGTATAGCAAACTATACATTTTTAGAATCCTTATGACCAGACGAGTAATTTGATATGCATATCGACACGATTGGAGTATATTTGAATTTCTACCCTGTATGACCTTTGTTGACCCCTCACGAAAATGCCTGGGATTTTCAAGGGGGCAGCCCAAGTCAAAATTGTTCGGTATTCATCAAGGAACACAAAAACACTTTCAAACCTTTGTTCCCCGAGATTGGTCACGGGACCTACAGGCTGGTCTCCTACTAAGATTTAATGACTACCATTACCAGCTCAACTGATCATTTATTGATATTAAGAGTTCAAAGTTAAAGGTAGTAAAAAGTTTTGGTATGGGGTCATGAATTTGGTTCAAATGAACATATTGAAAGCATATGCGAATTTTCAAAATCAATGATCGTTGTCGCGGTTGAAATAGTAAATGATAAACTTTTTATGTTGTATAGCTCCCTCTCAAGACTGATATTACTTTAGCCTTAAAACAATGTTTCTCGACTACAATCGACTAATTTTGCTATTCCCGTTTGGAAATTACATATCAGAACTGCATATTCTGAGATTTTCATGGTCGCAGCTACCATGGAATGACCTTAGGTTCTATTTGAAATATTTGAAATTTACCTGGAGCACCGGTAAATTATAATTATTCAAATTTCTCGAAAGCAGAAGTGTTTTAGGAGCTAAATTTTCTAGTGCTTATAATACATCCACAGGGGCATCAAAATGTATCAATATTTTAAAGAATTACTATCCATCCGATTTTCAAAATTTCCCAAAACTTTGCATTACCTTGCATCAATGGAATGAATAAGTACTTTATCAATAAAACTGTGATGTATTTATTGAAATAAATATAGCCCCTTAATCATATGAGAATAATATTTCATGAAAAAATAATTAACTTGTATATCAGAGTTTTAAGAATTTCATGAAGAAAAAAATTCCCTGTCAATCATTTCAACCTATTTCCAGTTTGAAACATCTCCAGTGCATAGTAAATGAGTGATATAAGACATGAGACATGAAAATAAGTATCACAAACTAATTGGACTACCGTATTTACCGGCGATAAGGCCGCAGTGCCGCATAGGCCCCACCCCCAACTTTGACATTTCATAGAGGGAAAAAAAAAAAAGAGAACAAAAAAAAAAAACGGACAAAACATAATGATCGTAATTTTCTTGTAGAACACTCTATTTTTTTACAAACTGATACGAAATTCATCAATATTCTTTTAAATTTACAAGTTTACCTAAAAAATGATCGTAATTTAGCAGATCTTCATCGAATTTTAAGCTAGAACTGTATCGCATGCAGATTTGGTATCCTAGAATACCCCAACCTCGATGTGCGGTGTAATCCGAAATAGCGTTTTTCGACCTGCACAGTTGCGTTGCGCGGCAGCTAGCTCCGTAAGTTATGGCCTGTCCCTTTTTTTTTTTTTACTTAGATCTAGATCTATCGGCAGATTTTATAGAAAAATAAGTTATGCCTTTTCTTTTGTCTTCATGTCAACTATGCAACATAAAATTGTTGGTAAGTTGTGTGGAGTTATTCTAGAATTGTCCTGTACCGTTGTCTATAGTCATCCTACCGTTCATAGTCCCACATGTGCAAATGGACGTGATGTTTTGACTGCTGAATTTTTTTGTTGTAGCGTAAAGGTCGCACCCCGACTTTTTGATATTTTTTCTTCCAAAAACACTGCGGCATTATTGCCGGCAAATATGGTATTGACATTCCTTGATTTGAGTGATTTTCTTAAATTCTCTGACTATAAAAAAAATAATTTGGTTATCATGTTTTCCCTTTATTTCTATGATTGCTTGGAGAATAAAACTTTATTAAGATTCTTTTGACAAGCTAACAACTGCAATGGATGGAATTAGTTAGAACTACCATTCAATGAATTCCATTTCCACATACCTTGGGCGTACAATGTAAGAACAGCTTGAATAGCAATGTAGACTCCTGCAAATCCATATGTTTCAAACATGACCTGAGTGGAAAGTGACAAACATAAAAAACATATCTAAATAATGAATGGGCTTTGGCTTAATCTCATTGATAAGTCATATAAATATATGCCATGAGACAATGTGACCCTAAAAAATAAATCAGTTAAACTGTCCATACATACGTGCACTACTTCTAGCTACCTAAGGAGATAAGTGTCAAAGGTCACTAATAATACTACAAGGCTTTTATAGCGCATATCTTTGCCTTAGCCTCTCAACATGTTCAGTTCAGTTTATTGAATTCCATCTTTAAAAACATTTTTTCAAGTTTAAAACATGCAATTTCATGTAAAATATAATACATAAATTGGGATAACATATACATGTAAAATGAATTAATACAAAACAGAAAAAGGCACAGCTGTAAAAAAAAACAAGAAACGGTTTTGTCTGGACAGCTTCCTATCAAATTAGATATAATAAATATGGTAATAAAACAAGTAGCAAGTAAAGTTTTGGATAGTATCATTCAGAAATTGCATAACAACTGGCACATGCTAAGGAGAAAAAAAGAAGGATATAACAGGAAAGACAGGTGCTGTAATGGCAGAGTTTTGACAGGACTATAGATCTGTTCTGCTGCAGGTATACCATTACATGTATACCATTACATTACAGCAGCACTATTTCCCGTTTATCACTTCCTTGTTCAACTTAAGCTAGCTTGTTTCAATACCAAAATGAAAGAGAGATTTACGTTGATCACTCAATGAGCATATCTGACTTCCTTGTTGCATAGACCTGATCTTACTTCCTTTTTGCAGTTCCATAATCCAGGAATAGTGAATTTTAAAATATGAAAAGAAAACGATGTTCCCTGAACTGTTCTTAGAAGGATGTATCCACAAGTAAAAATACAAAAAGTGTGGCTTTATCTTCAATCTATAGATGCACAACATATTCATATTCAATATTGTGTGTAAGAGAAGTTGAACAAAACTATTAGACAAAGAAGAAAAGGAAATGCTTACCTCGACCATCTTTGCTCTATTCTTGGTTGGATTCATAGGCGGTTCAGTGAGAAGAAGCTTGCATTCTCTTGTATTGACATTCAACCTTGTTTCACCAAACGTGTAGTCCCATACATGCCTCATGTCATCCCAGTTCCTCACTATACCATTCTCCATTGGGTAATTGACTTCCAGCATAGACCGAAGCTGACTGGCTTCATCACCAACCATTAAATCCTATAACCATACATTAAATCAACATTAGATAAGGTCATCATTAGCATTCAAAATATAATACAGTGACTACATTTGTAATTATCAGAACAGTAGGTGTACCTCTTTCCAGCCTAATCATATTCATCATCATCATCATCATTCACTACAGTCCCCATTTTTCCATCTGAAGTGGGGTTACCAACTTATTATTTTCTCTAGCATCCTCAACATTTAGACCAACCTTACTGCTTTCTTTCTTCATCTTTCAATGAAATCTTCAGTCTTCCTCTCCCACTAATGCCTTCCACTTCCATATAATAATAATAATAACAATAATAATAAAAATAATAATAATAATAATAATGAATATGAATAATGATGATGGTGATATAATAATAATGATGATGATGATGATGACGATAACGATGATGATGATGATGATGATGATGATGATGATGATATAAATTACAATAATAATAATAATAATAATAATCAGAATAATGGTAATAATAACAATAATAATAATCAAACCAATCTATTTGGCACTTTTCAAATCATACACAATGCTAAATTTCATTGATTGAGGAATGGGGAAAACACCTTGCGGTGAACATTTTATGCAGATTTGAAGAAAAAAGAGCACGATACAGTATTTCACAAAATAGGGTGATGTACATGTAAGTCAATAAAGGACCGTGGCTCATATAAAATCAAGAAAATTGGGTGAGAATAGTGTACTTTTTGTGAATTTGTACTATATAGAGCAGATTTGTACCTGTTTTTAGGAAAAATAAGTGGTCTTACTTGCAAGAAAATAGGGGGTCAGTTATTTGCTCTGCTAACAATCAAGCATTACCTCAGTGAATATGAAGTGACACCACCACTACTCATACTGGTTGCTGAATATAAACAGGGATCAGATATGTCTTACCCCATTTAAAAATATTTACCTTTAAATAATTAAAAACTGGAATCATCAATTTTTAATAACAAAGTGATAAGAAATGAGGCATTCTAGAATAAATTAATGATAGGTTAATTGATATAAAATTGATGCTGGTTTTAATCACCTTCCCCGTACCCGAACTGTTTTAGCCCCCAAAACAATGTTTACAGGACCTAGTTACTGGAATGTCCTCCCTTTAGAGTTAATCAAAAGTCCTTTTTTATATACTTTCAAACGTAAACTGAAGGAACTGGTGTTTAACTTTAAAGCAAATCTTGATGTCAATGTATAACTTTTATTTGCAAGCACATTGGGTTTGGCCGTCATGCTTTCGGAAATACGTCTAAATTTGTTATTAAAATCATCCTTACTAATCAATATAATGTGTGCAAAACATTATAGTACCACATAGGGTATGCTACCAATGATTCAGTTTTTTTTCCCATATATTGGATAATAAACATTTTGAGGAAGAACTTACATGGATATATAGGTATCGTTTCACATTTTGTTTTCCATGTAAATATCTAAGCACAACAATAGACACTAATTTGAAGAAACATAATTCTAAATCGTGAGATTATTATCACATTCTTACATGTTATTCAGGAATGAGTTTACCTGACTCATTTTCAAAATCACAGCAAAACAAACAGTCATGCAAATTATTAAAGCAGACACTATACAAATAGTGCATGCTCCGGTGTTCAGGATTACAAAATATATAAACTGACAAATTCAAAATTCCCAATTTTCCCAAGTGATGTCATATTTCACCTAGGCCATAGGCTGAGCTCAGTGAAATATAATCATATGATGTTTGGAGGTGAATTTGTAACAACGATGCATGCAATATTTGTTTTATAAAATTAAGAGTATTTATGATCTCATGCCTTGCTCCATTGGAGTCAGGCCCTGCTGATTAAATTCAGGTTGCCTTTGTGTCAGATGCATGTAGCTGAATGTAAGATAATGTAAACAATGGGTTCACAAAGAGAGATGCGCAGTCTATTTCACTTTTGTATGCAATATGCCATGCAACACCGTACCCTTGAATAACAGGAAAGATTTTTAAAGTATTAATATCATAGCATGCACAAAATGAATGCATTACAGAGGAACATAAGAGTACTATGCACTATTTCCAAGACAACGCTTTAACACATGATCCAATTTTTTAAATCTATATATTTGAAGGGGATAATCCCCTAAATTTGTAGGGCATGCAAGTTAAACAAACATAAAAGAAGAAACCAGAGGGTAGAAGAGAAATGTTAAATTCAAGAATAAATCTTTTTGAACAGCTTACTTCTCCTAGCTCCTTCTATCTTTGTTCTCTTACTACCGCTATTTATATTGTACATGGAAATTCTGTATTTAATGAACTACAGTTTTTCTTTTCTGGTATTGACTTATTTTCCACACACTTAGAAATACTTTTAAGGGGCCTTCCTAGAACATTTTTCTCTTTGCACTTGCTTTAAAAGTGTATTATGTAAATAATGGACTATAAGGTGCATGTATTTGATAATATGGATTATAGCAGCTTACTATAATAATCATAATAATATTAATAATGATTATTTTTAAAAAAAGGACATGGTATAGCACAATAGTATAAACTGACATGTATAAGCAAATGTTTTGACTCACAGTGTAGAAGGGAAATGGGATGCTAAGATTTAGGGCAAGAAGGGATATAGGCATTAGGAAACACCAACATACAATTTAAACACCAATGAAAACAAATCAACACCACTAAATTCTAAAGAGAGGAAGACTATACCTTATTAAGCTGGAAGCAATAAAGAAATAATAATACAAACAAAATAAGGAACTGTGAGTATATATAAATAAAGGCAATCAATCATCTTCTGAAATGTCATGAACTTTGAAAAATCATTCAAGATATGTACTACTTTGAAAGAACTAAACATGAAATATGTACCAAAAAGTAAGGAGAGAGAGAGACAGAGAGAGAGGGAGGGAAATTACTTGGAAAGTTTTTAATGTATATTTTTATATGACATGAAATGATTCTTGTGCCTTTAATGCTTCATGATTTCCACATTTACTAGGCAGTTAAATATGAAAAAGATGTTACTATCTATACATTCTTTTTTTCTCTTCTTTTGAAAACTGAAATGAGTATATATATATTTGTATTTACTATCTTGCTACATTCATAAAACTGAGGACTATATATGAATGAAAAGTGCCTATTAGTACAGGTGAGCATCCTAAATGGGATTCAGTCTTCACTGAATTCTAAACTCACCTTGATCTCAATATCACCAACTTTAGTATTTGATCTGATGATAGGTCTCCCAACCAGTGACGGGAAGATGTGGGAAGGAAAGTTGTTACCTGCAAAACCACACTTGACAAACTTTGAAGACAAAGAAAAATACAAAGAAAACATAGTGTGAAAAAAAATCTTTTGAAAATTTATAACATTTGAATATCAAAATTTACTGAATAATTAAGTCAGGACCGAACGTCCGAACGTTGACAACAACTTGACAAAGTATGCTATCAATGACTATCACCTTTAGGATAACAAGAAATAAAGTTTTGAATCTCAATATAAAAACTTTGACCAATTTTGCATGATCGCGCGATGCACATAGACTGCATAGGGATGCGAGCAATGGGAAGGACTTTTGGCGCTAGTTCAGAAGTCTATCCTTCTGTTATTACCAAACTTGAGAGATGTATAAATGATATCAAAGCTTGGTCCACTGCTAATGATTTGAAGTTAAATGAGGATAAAACTGAGGTTATACATGTAACATCTCGATTTGAAAAGTCCTCCCATTTACCATCTGTCGAAATTGCTAATGTTCCGATACAACCTGTCAAAAGTGCATGTAACCTTGGTGTCATCTTTGAAAATGATCTTAGGATGGATGATTATATAAACAATATTTGTCGCTCAGCTTCATATGCCTTGTACAAGATAGGTCGTATTCGAAATTTTCTTGATCAAAAATCTACCGAAACGCTTATACATGCATTTATTACATGCCGTCTTGATCAATGCAATAGCCTTCTCCATGGCCTTCCAGACTCGCACATTGCAAAACTCCAGAGAATCCAAAACTGTGCTGCCAGGCTTGTAACACGCACACGTTCTTGTGAACACATCACCCCAGTACTTCACGAATTGCATTGGTTGCCGGTGACGTACCGCATTATGTACAAAATCTTAGTTTTAACTTATAAATGCATTCATGAATTGGCACCAATTTATCTGCAAGAATTAATCCAGGAATACAAACCCTCATGCAATTTAAGGTCATCTTCACAATTAAACCTTGTATCTACTTCTGTGTCAACTCTTTCTTATGGTAATCACTCTTTTTGCAAAGCTTCTGCTGAACTTTGGAACAGATTACCTTTAAATGTCAAAACCTGTCAAACCGTTAACCTATTCAAAACTAGTCTTAAGACATATTTATTCAAAATTGCATTTAATGATGAATGAACTCTGTTCACTTTGATGTGTATTCCATATGTATTGTAATTTGTAGGTTTATTTGCATTTTTTGTTTTGTTTTTAAGATGCAATTGTATATAGATCTAAGTCTATTTTATGTGTTATAGCGCTTAGAGACTTCGGTGGTAAGCGCTTTATAAGTAACGTTTTAATTATTATTAATTATTATTATCCAAACTTTGACCCGTAACTCCGTCATGGAGTTTCTCACGTGATTCACGGCAAACTGCAGCACAATACAATTAAATAGAGTAAAGTACCCGGTAATCGGTCAGCTCCGGTTTTCGGCCAATTGGTTGGATACATGGTAAAATCACTTTAAAATACATCGCATAATAGCATAACACATATCCCACACATACCATACCATGCCAGTGTCACTGAAGAACCACATTTGCAATGAAAAATATATCCTAAAATATCACATTTTAGCGATGTAATCGGCGGTCCCGCTACCCAAATCTGAAAAATCGAGTTTCTTACGCGTGTATGTAAGAAATATGGGTACCATAAAATGAGCTTTATTTCAAGTATTTTTCAGATATAGAGCCCGATTTTGTGCTGGTCGCAAGCTCAAAAGTATCTCATCGCATGTATTAAATCAATGCAGCCGCACACCGCGACGCACACACGATATGTCCGTCTAATTCAGATTCCAACTTCCGATCACCGCTGTGCCTGTATTCGGTCAGGCGAGCACCCGGGAGCTCCGGCGTGGGATACCTGCTCCGCCCGCGTGTGCTATACATCAGCGCAGAAACGCACGGCGCGCGCGAGCGCTTCCGATTGACTTTGTACATGCGGCCGTAAACTGAAACGCTCGGCCGATAACCGGCTCCAAAACAGTGAAAATTGAAATGAATATTGTCATGGCAATTCGTGATTTTTTTGGGGATTCTTTTTTTGTTTAAATAATAATAATATTTGCTTCATGATTTGAACAAGAAATGATAATAAATAGGAAGTAAAGAGTCCAATAAATAGGATTTTGTCTTAAGTGGCCGAAAACCGGGTACTTTACTCTACTGTACCAACGGTGGGGTCTGGGCACGCGCATATGTTCAGTTAGCGACCGTAATTACAGTCGCTAACTTAACACACGTGCGCGCCCGCACCCGACCGTCGGGACGGTATGTAATTGTATTGTGGTTCAGTTTGCCGTAAATCCTGTGAGAAAGTGCATCGCCTAGATTATAAGTCTTCATTTTTAGGAAAAATACTCTGAAAAAGATAAGAAAATTGACACGAAACAGGTAACAAACATATCGACTATTAAATCATGACCTTTATTTGGACATTTGATGAATATTAACTTTATTTTTGGTAGTCTGTGTTTTAGTAGATAAGGTACAGACCAAAGTTTGGATAGACTCCTGAACTAGCGCCGGACTTTTAAGGACACAACATCGGACGACTCGACTGTCACGTTGTTGGTTTTCGTAAAATGACCCCGTTTTCATCTATGTGAGAGCAGACTTCTAAACCCAGGCATCACCAAGGAGAGCTTTCAGCATTTTCTATTACTACTGGTGTATTGCAGGCTACGCCTACGCCTACGCCCTACTGCGCCTGAAACTCTGCTTGCGCTGCCTTCCGTTCAATGCCCTTGCCTGGTCGGGCCGCCGCCCGAGCCCTCGGTTCAGCGGCGGACGTAGATCTACTGCTGTAAACAATGAAGCCTACTTCCTGTTTACATTCCAAAAGAATGTCTTATAAATCTTATTTGCAATTATAATATAATTAAAAACGCATATATACAACACGAAAACTTACCCCTGTGCCATTATCGCACACAACTACTTTCCTCCCTTGACTATCCATGTTGGATTTAGATGGATTCTAAGAGGTCTTCAGTCTTTGCAAGATCAATCAGGAAGAAAGACCACCGCCTATCTTTTATTTCCTGGTTAATCAATTTAATGATCTCATCTGTATCTGAAATTTTATTCATTTTTGATAATTTAAAAATAATTTTGATACAGAAAAATATTATAAACATTGAAAAATATTTTTGATTTGCCACAAAATTTCACAGTTACAAAAAGGAGTACGTATTTTATTAAATAATACTAAGTCTCTGGGCTTTTTTTTTCAAGATGGCTGCGCCCATGGCACTACAACTTTTATTTCTGTTGCTAGCTGTTAGCACAATTTTCTGTGAAAAGAGCGATGGTACTGGCGATAAAATCAAGATTTCTATCAAGGATGGGCCTATGAGAGTATTCACAGACGTGGAAATTGCACAATACGATGGTTCACACGTAAGTTTAACGGTGTCTGGCATCTGGTCAGGTCGCCCCCTAACTCCGGGAAGCTCCGACGCCGATGCCGAAGCCGATGCCTGCGGCGCCAGTGTTGGAGCTTCCGGAGTTAGTCGCCCCCAGCTGGCTGGTCGCCTCCTATACGCAATCGCCTCCTTTACGCAGTCGCCTCCTTACGTAGTCGCCCCCAAATGGCCCCTTTCTGTGAATATAATGCATTTAAAATTAAATGCAACAAATTTCCTTCTGGACCAATAAAATTGAATTGAATTGAATTTAAGAGTTCCATATTAAACCTGCAACAAATTTGAAAAAAAATATAGATCTAGGTCTAGACCCTTCTAGATCTAGACAGCAATAACCATCTGATTTGGGTCATTTCTTTAATAAAACTGACATTTGTTGTCATTCCCCAATACAGATGGCAACCCAGAGATCTCGTACCGCGGGGGTAGCTATAGCCAACAATGGCAGCTTTTTGTGTCAAAAAATTTTCTCCCCGATTTTCTTTATTTAGATCTAATTTTCTGATTTCTAAATCAGATGTAAATTAGGTCGGTATGTCATTTGTCCTAATTACAGTTATCAAAATTTGATAACTTAATATTAAATGTATAATTTACGGACTTACTTATATGAATTATCCAATTTGTATTTCCGAACTGTGAAACGGTACGTTCATGCATTCGAAATATTACCCGGCGGCCGATATATTTCCGGGTCCACCTACCAAAACATAGCCAAATGGCCAATCAGAGCACTCGTTTCGTGGGAGTTCGTTGGTCAAGCTGGGCCGACTCGTACGTAGCTACGGTAGCTATTGGACGTTCGAAAAGAAAAAATGAATATTCATCAACTAAAACCAAGACGGATAATGTTGACGACGAGACTTTCTCGGATTAATCATTAATTTAGGATCTAAATGAGCAAGCTATCGTAAGTCAAATAAGCTATATATATGTTATTTTTAATTAGACTCTAAATTATTGTCATATTGCAGCATGTATGAGGATGTAAAGAGTGAAAATCTCGTTGCATATCTCATTCATCGCGGTCCGGTCGAACCGAACCATTTGTTCCGTACAGTGCCTCACAGAAAGAGGTCCCCAGACTTCAGTCTCTATAATCGGAGGTCTAGTGGAGCCAGACGTAGTCTCAGTGGAACAACCGACGATTAGAGAGACTGAAGCTTTCGGTCTATTCTAGATCTAGACCTCTAGATCAGTGTAGATAGGTCTATGACTCAGAGTGATAGACCTAGACCTAGAGTCTATACCAGTTATACCAATATAGATCTAGATCTAGTCTAGAATCTTGACTTTGAACTTGTAAAAGAGTCAAAGACATCAAATTAAACAATAAATTAGGGGCGACATGATCAACAAATTTGGGGCGAGCTGACCAAGAATCCTCAAATCGCCAAAAAAAAATCGGGGGGCGACATGACCAATTGAGGGCGATCGACTTTGTAAAGGGGCGAGCTGACATTGGGTGACCTGACATGGAACCAGTTTAAAGCCCCCTTTTTTCTCTCCAACTGGACTGAGGTCTAATATCATGACTCTGAGTCTGGGAAGGCAGTTGGCGGCACTCCAGCAAAGCATAAAGAGTCAATGCTAATGCGTATTGACCTCTAGCACTGTATGCCTGCTGTGAGGCAGGTATTATTATACCTACACAAATATACACAACACACATTATTGCATAGACTGTACACAGTCATGTCGATGCAGCTGTAAGCAAAGTTTGACACTAGACTTACAATTTGAATTTTTAAATTATTCTTTTTAGCATCAGTAAGTTAAAAAAAAAAGGTATTTTACTGCTATTTAGGTGTCATCAATTGTCAATAAAGTACCGATTTTGAGTGAAATCAGTTGAGTTTTGTACAGTGGTGTTTGAAATGTTGAGAATCAAAAGCACAGCTTTTACTACACAGCCAGGATAGTGATGCACCTATGTGTGGTTGGCGGCAATGGCCGGCCCAGGCATCTCCAGGGAGTGTGCCGATGAAAACACTATGAGCGTCTTAACTGTACTGAGCTGAGCTGAGCTCACCAGTACCAGACTGTCAAGATATCTTGATTTATGATGATGATGAGGATGATGATAATAGTTAATACTTGGGGAACAATGATAATGAAAATGGTAATGATAATTATGATTATGATATGATAGTGATAATAATGATTATGATTACCGGTATGATAATGAAAACTTAATGATCATGATGGTAATGATAATATTTATTTTAAGTAATCAAGTACCCCTGGCCTTCCTCCTGTGTGATCTACCCTTCACAAATGACCTCTAAATACGCAGACCCTCTTGTAGGAACACTAATGGGGACAGCTTTGCAGGGCGTTGTCAAATAATTTGAACATAGATATTTTAGTGTGTAGTTATAGTAGTACTTAATAAGATGTTCTATACTCTCACTGTTCTTATACATGTACAACATGTATGTGTGTATAACATTTCATTTAATATGGTTGGTCCACTGTCCGTAAATTCTATTCATTTGTTTATTTTACAAAACACTAAACTTGCATATAATGGAAAATGGTGAGCTACGAGTTTTAGTCCTATGTGAGCCTGAGGTCAAGATTTTCCATTTACCGGTAGCCAATTTTCCATCATTTAATTGAGTTCTTTAAACTATTACCCCACAGCCTGATCTACCTATCTACATGGCCATCAAGGGTGTTGTCTTTGATGTTACACAGGGAAAAGGTAAGCTGCATATGGTTTCATTTTATTATTCAAAATCTTTGTGTGAATTGCTTCTATAATGCTTCAATAATGCCTATCATGCCATTATACATTTTGAAGTATTTTCTAAGCTTTGTCTGAATTTTTCAGGATGGCCTGTTCATTTGAAAGGTAATCAATCGTTATTGCTGTACGAAATCATCATATTTTCATGTACATGTATGTAACTAAAGATGTAAACTAAAAGACATTGACACATGGCATTTAAAATATTTAATGTACAGACTTAGTCCACTTTTGAGAATATAGGCAAAAGAATGGTGTTCAATCAGACACATTTTCAAGTATTAAGTTGAAATTCAAGTGGATAGATCACCATAGATGACATGGCATGAGTGAAGGATAATCAAGATTTTGTTCAAACTTGTCCTTTTCTTCTCTTTTCTTTCAAAAAATAAATTTTGAATTATGGTGAAAGTGAAACCTTCACATAATGTTGCTCTCTCTCTCTCTCTCTCTCTCTCTCTTCCCTCCACTTTTCTTAATTTGTTTTGCCCTCTCACCTTCATCCTCTGCATAATTATTGCCTCTCTCCTTCTTCATCCCATTATTACTTTTACCCCCCACCTCTCTCTCTCTCTCTCCCCCTCCCCTCACTCTTTCCAACTCTTTACGTCTCTCTCTCCCCTTCTTCACTTAACACTTGAACTCTCTTTCTCCTTTTGTGTACACTTAATTTTCTCCCCTAATTGTCACTCATTGCTGTACAGAATTCTATGGCAAGGATGCCCCTTACAATGCCCTTGTTGGTAGGGATTCCACCAGAGCTGTTGCTAAGATGTCTTTAGAGCCTGATGATCTCACATCAGATGTGGTAAATGTTATTATTAATTTCAAAATGTAATCCATTTATTATTTCCCAATTACTCATTTTGACATTGTTGGTACCAGTTCATTACCCCCATACAAGCCTTAAAGCGACTCGATAACATTGCCTCAGATTCTGAAACAAAATCCTGGATTTAGCTCATGCTGCAATCTTAATTATAAACATTTAGGTCAGTCAGGAAACCCATGACTTTTATAAGCCGATCGCCCGTCTGATTATCAAGATATTTATGATTGGAAATCAAAATTTCATTTTTCGTTTCCTATCGGTTTTTATAACATTACAGTCTATCAGAGAAAATGAGTACGGTATGGTAAAACCGGTCACTCAAAGATTTTTACTTTTTTGAGGCACTACATGATCATTTTGAATCACAATTTTTTTTAGGACTTCAATATTACACCACATCACAGACACTGATAACACGTAGGGCCATGCATCTCAGATTTTAACATTGTAAAACGATGCCTTTAATTAGTGAAAACCTTGACCACCAAAGTGTTAATATAAAAATCATTGTCCATGAATTTCACATTAACGCTTCTGAGGGTACAATATGCCGTATGTCAATTTCAAATTCTTCAAATGATTTGCCACTAAATACTTAGGCTTTCTCATTGTCTCGGCAATGGCATCTTATAGTGTAGGTAGCAAGTGACAAAGTATAATAATCCTAGAATAAAGCCATCAATGCCTCCTCCATTAATATTAGTGCATGTTACTAAATTGTGTTTGATTGGTACAAGGACCTATTCATGAACAATGAACACTCAGTTCAGTTTGTATACAATTATGTATTTATTTCTTCTATAGATGTTGTATACAATTTGTATGAATAATATTTTCAGGTTTTGTTCAATGTTATGGTTTTAACAACATGTATTTATCCTCGCAGCTTAATGGTGCATTATTTAAAGTACAACAGAGGTGTCCTTTTATCATTGTCTGTTTATACACTTCTGTTGTTCATCTTGTTGGCAAGCACATTTTAATCTAGTTTTTGGTATCAATTTATAGAATTTCACTTTACTTTACGAGTCTCTAGAGGTTGTTCTAATAGTTGATAGCCATACAACAATATATCTCTTTCTCTTACAGACTGGTCTATCAGATGCATATCTCGATTCCTTGGAAGACACTTTCAAGAATGTCTACAAGGCTAAGTATCCTGTGGTTGGTCACATGACTTTTAATGATCACCATAGGCATGGTGACCTTTGACCTGATAAATGATGATGACCTCAGAGAAAAGTATGCAAGACAATGTATATCAGCCAATACAAATTCTATGATTCTATGCAATATAAAGAATAAACACAAATTTTCTTCATCAAATTGTTCACACTCAGTAAGAGCCAATTTTTGGCAATGCCACTATAAAAGATTCTTGATTTTTCTGACCAGTACTTTTAGACCAATGTACCTTACTTTAGATGATAATTTGCTCATATTAAAGATATAGGCCGGTAGTGGTAAAATTGCGGTTCAAGGGTTTTGGGTGCAAAATATCCATTCAATATTGCTTAAATATTGCCTTCAGAGATTTAGATGGCAATACTTCAACCTAAATTCGCAAAAAAGCAATAATATATGCCCAAATGTTCAATGTTGAAGTGCATTCACGATATCTATCCAGGCCGGATCGATATGATAATTTACCAAGTATATCAATAAGTAGGCAGTTTCCCGGCAAAATTTGTATCATCACGTATTAGTCAAAAAATATTCTTTCACATGATGGGTAAAAGAGCTTCCATTTAATTTTTTTGAGAGGGGGGGGGGGGGGCGTTTCCAAAATTGGTCTAAACCTTTAACATGTGTTGCAATGGATGCTGTTAAGCAGTTCCACAGTTCCACAGCATTCATACAAGATCCATTTTCATTCCTTTCATTGGGTATCATAACTGCTGACATCAGAAAATCAGCCCACCCCCCCCCCCAAAAAAAAAATGATAAATAAAAGAAAGAAATATTTATCAGTCAAAAATATCCTATTACGGTACATATTCCTTCCATCATTTATTTTGATTTACCATAACATATTTATCTTCAAATGCCTGTAAATATTAGAAACTAGGACCATCCATCAGGTATCATGAAATAATACATTTTGGGCCTTTTCGGTTTATAATAATCTCTTGCCGTATATTAAAAATTGATTTTTAGTAAAGAATATTTGTAAAATTAACTGAATTCATAGACACTTAAGTGATAAGAAGTGAATCTTCACATTTTGTAAATTTACAGGTCCATACTATTTGTTAGTGTCAAGTAATTTCTTACATCAGATTATGAAGACTATTACTATCACTATTACAGTACCTAGCTGTAGTACACAGAAATCTCTGAAATAAACAGAAGAAAGGCTGAATGTTTAGTGGTATATCCTAGGGTTTATTTTATGAGAAAACATCAATTATCATTATTGCATAAAGTTAAATAATGAAGATAAACTCTGAATTTTTATCAAATATGTGTAGTTAATTAGGTGATGTCTGCAAATATGAAATTACAGGTACTTTCTTCTTCAATATACATGTACATGTAGTCCTGTAGGTTGCTACACTTGAACATTAACAAATAAAACCAGTAGCAGAGTTAAATTAATTAAAGAGAGAGAGTATGTGCAAAAACTGGTACAATTTCACAAATCTAATAAAGACCAGCTTCTTAAAAAAGGAATTAACGGACATCTAAGATTGACGGACAGGAGATAAACATTTTCAGAGTTGAAGAAAGAGAGTAGAGACCTTGGCAGTAGCAATAGATCCTAAAGCCTTTTATAAGGTGTTGTTAGACACAAACACAAGCATAGCATTATCAATATAAATCATTTTGTGCCAGCAATAATTTTTGTCTGCCAGACATTTCAAAGGTAAATAAGTTGGACATGGATTATATTTCAACTTAAATTTAATTAAATTAAAGACACTGTAATGAAATATGTGTTCGTCATGTTCCTGGACTGGTTTGAGTTGATAAGCTTGGATCATTCACATACATGTACATGTACATCAAGACTTCATACTTATCACAGGTTGTTACTCTGACCAAACTTGACTACCAGCCAAATGGATGATTGGCATTGACATTTTCATTATGTAAGCAACACAGTTTAGTGAGTGTATTCAATCTGCCTTAGATTTTCAAAGATGTGCCTAAGATGAACATACATTTATATGCATGACAAATATTGGAAGCATAGTTTTGCTATCATGTATTTTATCTCTCGTTGTACATTTCATGTTATACTATCAATATGATTGAAACTGTTTGTATTTGTATAATTTTGTACCAGATCATGTATTGAAAGGAATAAATTTATGACTTATAATGAGACCAAGTGAATACACATGTTCTACTTTCATTCTTTGCAGAGAATAAGCAAATACACAATTTCCTTTCATTCAAAGTGTAATTTGGTAATCAAATTTACAAAATCTATTTAAAGAAGTAATTCAATATTTGAAACTGATAATTTGAATAAAATATACTTGCATGAAGAAAAAATCCACACATGGCACATTATTTGGGGGATACAGCCCTTCTCTGAAATTCATATCAAAGACTACTCGTTGAAGTCTTCCAGATGAGAAGATGAGAAGTGAATATAAAAGTAAAGTGTTGCAGCCATACACAGTATTATGCATCATATACATGTACACAATACACATCACCATTATCATTATAACATACCAAATTTACCAGTAGTTATTAACACATAAATATAAGTATATATATTTATTTACAAACGTAATATTACACATACATATTGCTACACATCTTCTTTATAAAGAAGAGAATTCAAAATGTGCACAATTTTAGATCAAAGGACTCTGTGGTTTTCTCTTGTAGGACCTAATTTAGTACACAACAAATGTGGTGAATAAAACACTGCCAGTTGCAAAATTCAAATTTGAAAAGGAAAATGAATGTAATTTTGCTAATAATGAATATTTTGCCACCATAATTTTAGGAAAGTTTTGTTCTATGATTTTTGTTACAGATTTTGTCCCTTTTACAAGTTTTGTGATTTTCACCGTGCAAATCCCTGCAATGAATATCAAAACTACTACCCATCATCATCCCTTTGTCTTGTGCAGTTATAGATCAAGCCAGCCATCCCATGATTCATTCCAATGAAAACTCCTTTACCAACAGCAGCAGTTTCAAACTGACACTTTTACTACACCTTCAAATGTCAACAGTTACATCAACGTCTCCTTCAAGATTCAACTGTCAGTGTCCATACTCCACACATATAATACATGGTTACAATATTTGTTTCTGCCAATGCAAACATTATTGACATAACATAAAAAAATAATGTATTGTTAGAGCCTGAAGGGTGTTAAGTTGAAGCTAAAACAAGAATGAGTCATGTACTACTCTGATACATCTTGTCATCTTTAGTCTCCAAACCTAGTCAAGACACATGATAGAGGAGACAACACCTAACATGGGCTGCTTCTAACTACAATCAATCTGTAAGTTATGATGTGGGTATGTGGAAGAGGACAAATATCAACTTATTATTCCAATATCCATTCTATTATCCAGTACTCTCATGTACCCAAAAATGTTTGACATTGGCTGCTTCAAAAAACAGAGAAGGATACCCCACTTTCCATCAGAGAATTAACCTCAAGAAAAAAAGGCAGTAAGGTTGGTCTAAATGAAGAGGATGCTCGAGACAAGAATAAATGGAGAGAGAGGGAGTGTCATCATGGCACAAAAATCAGTAATTTGGTAAGCACTAAGGTACCTTTTGTTTTGACAACCGATATCATCATTATGAAGATAAGATTAATGCTGTATACACCATGGCAATGTGGTGCAAACCTTGTGATGGCCATGTAGAAGAAGGTTCTTGCCGAAGCAAGGCACCTTGAAGTGAGCTGCATCTCTAATGCCTGTGGGTTGACAAGCCTTGCAGTGACTTGCAGTGACTACTGCAGTGACTACAGAAGTGGGACTCACCATAGAGGGCGCTAAACTGTGATTGATCAATTAACCTGGCAATGGCTTCACACAAGATGACAGGAACAATGTACTCTGTTGAGTGATCTATAACTGTGACGGATCAGCAAACCTTGCTGTGACTATGTAGAAAATGGCAGGAAATGGAATGAGTGCTAACATAGGTCCATATATTACAGGATTCTGTAGTTTGGTCAGAGCGATGATCCCATAAGCATGCATCAGCCAATGAAAGAACAGTATCACAGGATTTCGCTTCTTACTGATCAGTAATTTGGGTGTCTGCAGGAATGAACACAAAGAAGGAAATATAGAAAAATCTTAAAGAAATGAACATTGCAGTGTTAACAAGTTTTATACGATTTCATGGACTTCAGAAATTATCAGAAATTACAATAACAATCCATCAATATTTTTCCTCTTTCTCTAGATATCGTTCCACACAGACAGTTTGTTAATTGGCTGCATAAACCCTTGAAAAGTGTTCTAGAAAATATATATATACCAACAAGACAAGAGGGTGTAATTCTTTATCTACTAATTAATCAATATTCTTTCTGATACTTGTAACTGTCAATAAATCTTGGCAGGTAAAATGCCACATAAAATGTATTCAATGTGGATTTTGAATAGAAATTTCAACTTTTGAAGCCTTATATCTTTATCCTCTGGTGAAGTTTAAAGAGATTTTAATATAAAAATTACTACATCTAAACCCCTTTAATGGCATAAGAGAACTTAATTACACTTACCTCTATTTCCTCCTTGGCAAAATGTACAGCATGTGTCACCAACGATACTATTAACGTCAAATATGGATAAGAATAATCTGCCCAAAAAAAAGAATGGTAAAATTATATATAAGAAAGATTAGGGAAGAATTACAATAATAATAATAATAATTAAAACAACAACAATCATAATAACTACAATTATATTGCCCTCATATCTACCCCAGGCCGGGGATGCTCCTACAAGGCACCTACAAAGACATCCTTGCATTAGCCCAGCTGCCCTAAGGTGCTAAAAGCATTCAAGGAATACACTTCTACTAGGTAGTAGGTACCCATTTACTACACCTAAATGGAGAGTGGAAAAATATGTGGATTAATGTCTTGCCAAAGAACATTAATGACCTGAACCATGAACCATGTCATCCACAGTCTGGTGATTTATCCACTAGACCACAACACCTTTATAAAAATAGAAGACATTCTGGCTCAATCACAAAAGATTTGAATCACCTTTAATGAATAAACTTCAATAATATTATGTTACGGTTACTAGAGTTGAGATTGCATATTTCATGATATCATCACAGATTTCAGGAGATTTTTTTTTTTTGGGGGGGGGGGGGACATAAAAATGAATATTTTTTCAAGCTGAATTTATGATGTGGAAGTCAAATACCTTTTACACTGTACATTATAGATTGTCTGCATATCAAGGAAAATGATGTCATTTAACGTTTATCACTCCATTGTACTTGGTGATTATAGAGAGAGTACACAATGAAGGAACATCTTGGACTTGCTCAACTCTATTACTATACTTTTTCTGTCACCTACAGGCTAGAACAGTATATCTTTCAAAGAATTTTTTTTAAAACACCGATTTGACCTTCCTGTCCAAATATCCTGTGCAAACACAGCATCGTATGTGTGCAACTAACCAATGATATGTAATAATATATTTAGATTTGTTATGAAAATAAATTATCAGTCCCTATAATAAAAGGTAAAGCAATTTCAGAGAAGCCCCCTAGATTGTTTATCATATAAGCTTGCTTTGTAAAATAATCCTGTGTAATTTTAAAATCCAACTCACAAATCAGGCCGGCAAAGACAGCATGCATGACAGTCAAGATGGGATGAAGTAGAGGGCAGCATAGATAGAACTTCTTCCCAGGTTATCAGAGAGTTTGACTGACAGGCCTGGTCGAACTAACATCATTAGAATAAGCTGGATGCTGTAGTGAATGAAGACTGCAGTGTACCTAAACATACAAACAAAAATAGTTGTCAGAGTGGAGAGATTTAAACAACTTGAATACCCAACATACACAAAATTATACATTCAAGCCGTAGCATGGCCCTCATGTCAGTGGCAAAGTCATTATCTACATTTAGGACACAGAAATGTGAAGCGAACCATTTATTACAGTTATCTCTGCATAACTTGAATCTATTGGGACTACAAAAAATGGTTCTACTTATGCAAAATTCGATCTAGGAAGTGTAAACAATTTTGCATTGTTTGGTCAAAAAAAAGTTATTTAACATATGAAATTGCGCCTCGTGTAACTTCGATATAATTATGCAGATATTTTTTTTCTTCAAGTGGTTGACTACCTCATTTCTAAATGGCATTTAATCAGGGATTAGCGTTGCGAGTAAGTGAATAACACGACAATCTCTTCCATTTTGCATGAAGTATGATACCTGCAGGGTTTACCCTTCCACACACTTCTTCATTCACTATCTTTCACCAAATCATTCCAATTCTCATCCTCTACTTATAGAGAAGGTTGAGTTCTGATTGAGATGAAAAGTAGGTTGTGAGATTTTTCATTCTTTGTATGTTTGGAAGAATATCAGAGTAGAAATGTCTCCTGAAAAGGATTACTCTCAAAAATGCATTCATATTCGAAATATGACAAGCAATAGCTGAAGTTAACACCAAACATTTGAGTGTAGTACCATATACAAGTACCGATATCTGTGTGCAGTGCGTGTGGTCTCCACCAGCAGTGAGTCCATTTCTTTTCATTATGATCATTCAAGAGCTCATGTACTAGATAATCAACCATTCCTGATTGTTTCCAGTAAATGTTTCTTTCACCATGTAATTTCTTGACCAGGGCCCCATCTTATAAAGAGCTGATATCAATCACAACTATGTACATAAGAGATAGGAGACTGCAAACTTGCGATTGATTGGATGACTTGCGATTGATTTGGATCAATCGTAGATGGGGCCATGAATTCAACTTCATCTTTACTTTCTACGATTTGTTCAAATTATTAACCTTGGATCCTTTGATCCTTGCCATGTATAGATCATCTTAACATTCCATTTCATAACAAAACATTTCTTGACTTTAAATTAAACTTGCAAGTTTCTGCTGATGCTGGAGGAATGTGAGATCTTAATGAAGCCAAATTCATTTTAATACTCTACATTCAAACACTTACAGAGGGTATACAGCCTCCTGTGTGCAATGTAGTGTTGTAGTGTACTGTGGCTGTGGGTTCTCCAGCATGGTATACCAATCAGACAGCTTCCCTACACCACACGATCTAAGCTTTGGTGAACCTGCATCATAAAGTCATATGTATGTATGAAAGTTATTACAAAAATGAAAAATAATGACATCAATATGTACATTGCCACATCACTAAAACATTTTCAAATCTTTCCCCCTTTCTTTCTTTCTGTTGCAAAGTGACAAACACCTATGAATACTACACAGGGTGTCTAAAAAAATGGAACAAGATTTGATTGGTAACATCATAAACAGTACTCATCCATTCTTCTTTTAGTAGTATCTCCTAATATTTTCATGAGGATCTAAGCTAAATTAACATATCGTTTTCATAAAACATAGCATTTTTCCAATGTTACAAAGAGATTGAATAGCAACAGTGCACACAAACTTGGCGCATGAACACACTTCTTGTTACACAAGGAGTGTTCAGAATTACAATTAATGTATATCCACAAACATTAAGGAAAATTACTATCTTTAGTATCTTTTTATAGAGACACACCCAGTAGTGGCCAAATCAAATCAAATCAAACTATTGTGGAGTAGTGCTTGATTGTTTCATACAGTAAATTGTTCATCTCATAATAATCAAAATATGATTTGAAAATAGTTAAGCAAAATATTAGCATCCAAACCTTTTTGGAATACTTCCTTTTGTATCTTGTACTTAAGATATATTTTAAATATGTATTTTAGAAATGAAATATCAATCTAAAATGATTCAATGGTGATTTTACCAAGAAATTATGAGTTAGAATGACTTCATCGGAAACAGGGGGAAAAATTAGCCCCCGAAAGTCATAAAAAAGCCACACAAAAATTGCGTAGCGTTCAATGTAAAACAAATTGAAGAGTGTTACTTTCATGCTAGCAAGCTTGAAAAGAAGCTACCAATTTTGTGTTTGATATTTGTTTCCCTGATTGGAAAGGTTTGCAGAAGCGACAGGTACATACATTGTATGCTTAATATGTTTTTATGCTATGCAACACACCTTCTTTGAAACATTTGGAAAATTGGCAAGTCTTACTCAAGCAATCATAACTTTTTAGTTGTAGCATAAATCCTTGTGAAATTTTCACCAACTTCAGGAGACACTATTACAGCATTACCTAAGAATTTTATTGAGAATAGATGAGTACTTTTTAAGATGTTGCCAAGCAAAAATCTTGTTGCAATTTTTTAGACACTATGTTTAGTATTTTAGTAAGATTCTATCAATAATAGTACTGTTAATAACAATAATATGGAGTATTTACATGTACAATGCGCTAACTTCACATGACTAAGGCTTGAATAGATGTTTCTCTACCTCACTGTTCCTGTTCGGTTTAGTTTGCCAAGGTCTGGCATTTTTATATGTATTACTTTCTTTTTTTTTAGGGGGGGGGACTATAATTATGCTTGATGTCTGGTAAATTACTTGATAAGTTTGCATATACATGTACATGTATATCAATAACAATACTTGCTTGGCACATTAACTTTAACCAGAGCACTAGATTCTATGAACTATATTACTTCACTTACCCACTGGATCTAGAACAAGCAACATGACAATGCTAGCAACAACACATTCCAATGTGGCAGAGATGTGAAGAGTAATTGCTTTGCTAGAAAGAAGAAGAAAAATAGCCAATTCAATAACTTGTTTGTTGTCTTTCCAATCTGGATCAACATTACCACTAGCGACCACGTTTTGAGAAGGAAAAATAATCAACATTGTAAGCACTTCATGTCACACCAGTAATACAGTTTTCAAAATGTAAAGCCATAATCACATATTTTCTGAATCACCAGTCAGTTGCATTCCCCGACTCCCTGAAATGTCTAGCTACAGTTGGTCCTTTAGTCTAAAAAATGGACTCCCTGTCACTTATAAGGTTGAAGACAGAAATATGACCGCAGTACGTCGGAAAATATAATAACCTCCGTACTGGACCTGCAAGACCATAGAGTATCCCGGAACAGTCTGAAATTCATTTTCCACATGCAAGTTAACAACATAAAAACAAAACAATTGAACATGTTGAACAAAATCAGACAGGCATAACATTGTTGCAGTTTGTTTGTTTGCATGTATCTAACTACTAACTTTGGCAATTCCTGAATTCATGACGTGTGTCAGATATATCCCACATGTTAGATGCTGCTTATAAGTATTGGCTTGCATGGAGATGTTGATGTACAGAAGGCTTGCGGTTGCACCATGTGAGAGAGGGGGAGGATTGGGTAGTCCTGAAAAGGACTCTCTGTAATATTTCTTTCTTGAGGGTGTGTAGTTCTGAGGGGCACTGTTGGTGTAGTCTTGAAAAAGACTGTTGGTTGTTTTTCTTAGCTTATAGTTTTAAGTAGAACTAAAGCGCCGGTTTGAGAGGATGGGTGGTAGGAACTATAAGCTAAGAAAAAAAATATAACCTAAGAAAGATTACCAAAAGTCTTTTTCAAGACTACACCAACTGTCCTTTTTGGGACTACATACACTCCTGAAAGTTAGATTACAAAGAGTCCATTTTAGGACTGCCCAATCCTCCCCCTCCCTCACATGGTGAAACTGCCAGCCTACTGTATATCTCATGTGTTTCAAAAGTGATTTGTGTCATCTAAGAATACATACATGTACGGGATATGACAATTTTTTGACATGTAAGTATTAACTTAGTTAAGCTTGATGGGCAACCTCTGAAATGTGTGATTTAACCTTCTTTGTTTCTTTTATATACCAAAATGTATTATTATCAGCTATTTTTGAAAACAGACTTGAATTTACTTGTACTCTAATCCCTGTGCAAAGAAATATGGATATCAGACCTGCCAACCTCTGGAGTTCAAAAACTGTATTCTTTAATCTCATAAGTTGTATTTTACTGACAAAAGTTGTATTCTTAAAAATAAACACGGATTGTTACGAGGATCAATGCTTCTTACAGTTTCCTCATGCAGGAAGAATTTTTTTATGGATCATTGGTTAAATATGCATGATTTTGTCACGACTGGTGTGTTCGATGAATCAATGAACATCCCCAAATTGCCGATGTGGGGTGCTTGTAAGATACTTTACAGGACAGAATGGGCATTTTGCCATTGAAAATGGCACACACACACACACAAGAATCGTATTTTATTTAAGAAAATCGTACTGTCCTATATGCTTCTAAAAATCGTACGAAATACAACTAAATCGTACTGGTTGGCAGGTCTGGGATATATATACCACTGTGATCAGTGTTATTCTCATCTACCTTTTTCCATCAGAGAAGTAGTCAATGAAGAAGATATGGAGAGTTAGTGAGACGAGCACCATGAAGCCCAGATACATCCAATCATAAAGGTCTGGACTCCCATTACATGGTGTACAGAGTGAAGAATTGTTGGGGCGTTCACTGCGATCACAAGCCTATAGGGTGAAAACAAATCAATTACCGGTATTAGCATTGAGTAATTAAAAATACAACATGCTCTCTATTTCCTCACATCATTATGAGTCTATTACACAGTGGGAAATAGCAATTTTTTAAAATATTTTATGATAATGACTCTCTGTTAGGCTTCTCATCTTGTTGCCCATTCAGAATTTACTTTGCTTTTTATAAATAGCCTAACACAACAAAAAATTAGGTCTGAGTCAAAACTGATCCTCGACTGGTTCCCAACATTCGTGCTACATTCACGCTGAAACCCGGGTTTGTATTTTAGATTTCAAGTATTTCACGATGTAATCTTACACTGACATTTTGCAATACAGAAACTGATGCGTCAAACCCATGTTCTGCAAAACCAGGCTCAGGCTTACAAAATATGTATGATTTTAAAAAAAATTAACACACAATTTTTAATCCAACAATCCCAATTTAAATATCAATACTACATATAAGAAACCTTCTACTTATCTCCTCTCTTTCATCAAAAAAGCTATTTACTACATAGATTTATACTTAATAAATTTATGAAAAAAACAAAACAAAACAAAACTTACACCACATGAACTGTATGTAGAATTGTCCCCACTATCCAAGAGTAGTTTTCTGCCACAGTAGAGACCCGGGCAAGTTTTCTGATTGGGAACTGGTCCATCAACTGACAAAGATTTTTAAAAAAGGCAAGAAAGAATCTATTAATGCTAAATATATTACTCATTGTGGATATAGTATCGGAAATAATATCTCTAGTGATATTCGTTTGTCTCGCAATGTATGGTCAACAAGGGATCTAAAAGGTCACGACGAATATCATTAGAGAAATTATTTCCAAGAACCTATTAGCTTTGTAATTACTTCTTTAAGTAGAAACTGTAATAACAAATGTTTTCTTGCGATCTGCACATCATGAGTTTTTTTAGTGGAGGCCAATTGATCAATCTCTGTAACATTGAGATATAGCAACTGACATTGCGGTAATACAAAGAAAAAATTAAGATCCAGAGTTATTTGTATTGATTGATTGATTGATTGATTTGTTTTATTGTCCACATTGAGTGGAAATTCTTCTTTCACATGGTTACAACTATGTACAGTATATACATGTAGAGCATAGGTCAAATTGAACACATTTTAAGTTACACATTGCTCATTAATAAACTCAGCACTACATTTTTTAAAACAATAAATCATACTTTTCATTTAACTATATGATCATATGGACTCGTTGACAACTGTATAATTAATTTAAATATTCATGTATGAATAATATTAATAATTTTAATTGTTAAAGTATACTTAGTACCAAAATACATTAACGATATCGCCCCCCCCCCCCTCCCATTACCTTCAGGAAACCTCTCATCTTATTACTTTACTATTGAACATGTGGATGGAATCAGGGACAAACGAGTTTCTAAAGCAGGCCCGCTTGGTACGGGGGACACAAAGATGAACACCAGATCTGTTGAAACTAAAGAAACTGAACAAAGGATGGGTTGGATCTTTCATGATTCGCATGATCTTAGCTAGTGAACCTTCACCATACAACTTTTCCATGTTGGGCAATGCTATACCAATGATTCTCTGAGCTATTTTCCGTTGTCTATCTAGCGCTTTCTTACTGTAACATGTGAGGTTGCCATGAAAACAAATTAAATTAAACAAGAGAATTGACTGGATAATCGACTTATAAAACAACACGAGAAGAGTGTTATCTAAGTGCATTTTCTTGAGTTGTCTCAAGAAAAATAACCTCTGATTAGCTTTCTTTTGTGTGGCATGTACATTGCTTGACCAATCCAGTCTGTTTGCTATGGTAGTACCCAAGTATTTATATTCCTTGGCTTGTTCTATTACATCATCATGTATGGTGAGAGGTATATGTTCATCCGGTACATTCTTACGGAAGTCTACGATCATTTCCTTAGTTTTTGATACATTGAGTTGCAAGAAATGTGAGTCACACCATTTCACAAAAGAATCAAGCACCGCGAAATAACAGTTGGCATCACTGGAGAGGTATCCTGTGATGACTGTGTCATCGGCGTACTTGATGATAGTACAATCGGCATCCGTACTAACACAGTCACTAGTGTACAGTGAAAATAGCACTGGGGATAATACACACCCCTGAGGCGCTCCGGTACTAACTACCCGATCGTCAGAAACGATGTGACCCACTTTCACACGCTGGGGCCTATTCAACATAAAATCATGAATCAACGTAATAATCTGTGGGTGTACATTCATTTGTATTAACTTCCTTGAAAGCAAGTTAAATTGTTACATCATATACGCTATATCTACGTTATGGACAGGGTTTCCTTCATTGAGGCAATTTTTTAAACTTATGTATGATGCCTTATTTAAAAATAATAAAGGATAACATTTGTCAGTTTTCACAAACTCTTGCTTCTGCTGTCCAGATTACGGTTTAACACCCCTAAAAGGGCTTTAACATACTCTGTATGGTGATGTGACCATACAGTAGTTTGTGCATGACCTTAACTCATGGACAGTTTCAAAAAATCAGGAAGATTAAAAAAATCTGATATCACCATTGGAAGGAGGAACATAAAATACCCTAGAGAAAAAATTTCCTTTGGTATTGGTAGGGAAATTATAAAAGTAATTAAGAGAAGATCAGCAAACATTGCAATGTTTTGAACCCATTCTGAAAAGAATGAGCTTATTGACAAGGGTCTTCATTTTGAGAGAATATGTCACCAAAATTGTAAATTAAATTTTGAGGTACAGATACCACCAGAATTCTTTTTACGATTAATTTACTGTTTGCACCAGTTGTAGTCTAGAATTTTGCTGTTCATTTGGTATCAATAAGGAAGTTTACAGATACAAACTGCGCATGGGCGGATAAAGGTCATTTGTACCAAAAAGGTAAAACCCACAGAGATGAATACTGGATATGCGCTTATGAAAGTTATGTAACATTATTCATTTATGCACCAACGGTACATTCTATGATACGCAGGTGGAAGTATTCTTTTCAAGAGGGCAAACAAAAGGTATTCATGAAGCACATCTAGGACTTTGGCAGTTATTATTCTAATATGCTCAAAGTGGAACTTCTCCATGTTTAAAAGATCTGTCGATATTTGGGGTCATTTGTACTATGTGCTATCTGTAAAGTGTAAACTCCCTTATTGATTGAAATGAATTTGGGAATAATATGAGAATTCATGGATCGCATTCCTAATTTAATATTGAATGTCTGTAAACTTTGGACACCCCATCGTACATAGAAAATGTCATATATTATCACTGTTGATGTCTCATTATCGAGTATTCACCCTTTCTAAATGTTTGACGGACTACCAGGGACCAAGCCGTTATTAGCTTTTAAACATGTTTTGTCTTTCGCCACTCTCCTCCAAGACACTCATCACTGTGTCTGGGACTCTGTGCCTTCTCAATTTTAATGTGTGTTTTTCCAACTTTCATTATGAATAGGAGTTTTTGTCAAAGAATGATGAGATTACTTTATTGACCGATTCTTGCCATTTTCATCTTGATTGCTTGAACTTGAAGTTTAAATAAAAGTACCACTGATAACTGTAATTATTCATGATAGCTCATTACCTATACTCGTGCAACCCAATGTGGGCGATTGAGTCAATAAAACATTAAAAAATAAACATAAAGATGCATCCATCACTATAGATCACTATAGCTGAAAGGTGAAAGACAACGGAGGACATAAGCTGCATAGCATAGTTACATGTAGTATGAATGAGACCCATTATCTCTAGCACCCATACTGCAGTCTCATGGCATTTTGGCTCAGACATCATCCAGCAAGTACACACCCACCCACACTTAGGCATCACTCGTACCATTTCACCATACGACCCCACTCCAGCAATGGCCTCACGAGGAAGGAAAACTCTCTATGCCCTTACAGGAGTTGGTGCCCATCGCTGTGGGCTTGCCCCAAGCACAGTATCTGCACTCTGGAGGCGCTACTGTTTACCCAGAATGCTTTATGGAGTAGAAATACTACACTTGACCAAGAAGATGCTTTCTGATCTTAACAGAATCCAGTGTCGTCTCTTTAAATCTCTTCTTGGTCTTCCACGCAGCACAGCCAACGAGGCAGTCTCCTTACTCGCCAATGTCCCCCCAGTGTCAGACGAGGTAGACAAGCTCTTCCTACGGCTCCTCGGTAAAGTCCTATTGCTGCCTCATGACAGATTCGAAAGAAGACTTCTTGTGAATGCTTTGTGCCAGATGCCATCCTGCCCTACCATCAAGAGTTTAGATGACAAGCTCACGCAATACCAACTCCCTCCTCTTGAAGAGCTTATCAGCTCTCCACCTCCTCCCCACACTTGGAAGCTGATGGTGACAAATGCCGTAGAAGAGGTGAGAGCTGACCTCACAGTAGAAGCTGTAAACTCAAAGTCTACTCTACAACTCTTCCTATCCAACAACCTTGACCAAGCGCATAAACTTCTTCCATCAACCCTTCATGAGACAGTTCCCATCAAGGTGCAGGTACTGAGGGGTGTATACCCCACCAACTCTCGTATACACACCATCAACCCAGAAAAATCCTCCAGCTGCGCCTGTGGAGAAACTACTGAGACAATCATCCATGGGGTGGGTGAGTGCCCTCTCTACACTACTCTCAGAGACAACTTCATAGCTCACTGGCCAAGATGCTGGGAGAGCCATTATTCCAACACGAGAACGAAGGGTGAATGCTGAACAAAGCTATCCGTTTCCGACTGGATCAACCCCTCACTCTTTCACAATCTCTCTCTCAGTTTCATACTTGACCTCCACGTTAAACATTCCACTACATGTATGTGATGCCACTGTAAACCTGCCTATCCTTTGTATGTGCAGGGTTGTATATGTGTACTACCAACACCTGCACCAACTGCAGTTCTCCAAACTGGAGGAAGCCAAGCAAAGAAGAAGGTAGGGCCCTAATTAGGCCAGGGGCTTTGTCACTCCAGCAAAGCATAGAGAGTCATATACCGAATTTTCTGTCTCTTTCGTTCGTTAGCCTCTGATTTGGGTATTTGGGTAGGGTCGGCTCCTCTTTTTAGGAGCCGACCCTACCCAAATCAGAGGCTAACGAACGAAAGAGACAGAAAAATTTGGTCTAAGAGAGTCAATGCTAACGTGTACTGATCTCTAGAGCTGCACTCCTTAGCATAGGCAGCACTAGACCGAAAGCTTCAGTCTCTATAATCGTCGGTTGTTCCACTGAGACTACGTCTGGCTCCACTAGACCTCCGGTTATAGAGACAGAACGATCGCCTATGCCAGCCCGTGTTGAACTTATTCCGCTAGATTTTAGCCGCTAGGCCCCTCCCACAAACTTGCCACGGCCGTATTGTTATGCCCCCAAAATCCCCCAAAATGTCATTTTACCTCGTTCATTTCCAATTTTAAATTAGGCCTAGGCTATAATACATCGGTTCCACTTACTAACTTGATTGATATAATCCGTTTAATGGTCCCTTTTAAGGAAATTATCGGTCAAAATCGACATCCATGTTGAAAATCTTGCAAGCCGTGTTAAACTCTCGCTGCCGTCAATCTCATCCCTTCTAGTCTACGCCGAAGGCAAAATGATTATTAAGGAAAAACTGTGCGCCATCTACACGTTCGTAATGGCGTTATCACAGTTTTTCCTTCATAATCATTTTGCCTTCGGCGTAGACTAGAAGGGATGAGATTGACGGCAGCGAGAGTTTAACACGGCTTGCAAGATTTTCAACATGGATGTCGATTTTGACCGATAATTTCCTTAAAAGGGACCATTAAACGGATTATATCAATCAAGTTAGTAAGTGGAACCGATTTATTATAGCCTAGGTCTAATTTAAAATTGGAAATGAACGAGGTAAAATGACCTTTTGGGGGATTTTGGGGGCATAACAATACGGCCGTGGCAAGTTTGTGGGAGGGGCCTAGCGGCTAAAATCTAGCGGAATAAGTTCAACACAGGCTGGCATAGGCAGTCGTTCAGTCTCTATAACCGGAGGTCTAGTGGAGCCAGACGAAGTCTCAGTGGAACAACCGACGATTATAGAGACTGAAGCTTTCGGTCTAAGGCAGCACTTGCACACTTGAATAGTTAATACACAGATAACACACAAATGCACACAATGAAGATGATGAAAATTCAAATCATGAGTCTACTGTCAAAATTGCTTACAGTCACTGTAAGCAATTTTGACAGTAGACTCATGATTTGAATTTTTACATTATTCTTTCTAACATCGGTAAGTTGAACAAATTGTATTTTAGACTCTACTGCTATTTATTTTAGGTGTCATCAATTGTCATTAAACTAAAGACGTAGATCTATCGTTGAGTTTTGTACAGTGGTGTTTGAAATGTTGAGAATCAATAGAACAGGTTTTATTTAACACAGCCAGGCTAGTGATGCAGCTATGTGTGGGTTTTGTGTCTGGGCAAGTGCTGAACAAGATTAATTTGTGTGTCGGCGAGTGCTAGACCTAAACAAAAATAAACCGAAGCCACCAATTTTGACTTTGTATTTAACGAAATGTTTGCATCAAATAGCACTAACCAATAACCATCATGACCATTTGTCTGTTATATTTTCTAACATAAGGTTTTAAAAGATAATGAAATATTGAAAAATAACCATTTTGAGTCAACTGTCCAGACTCCAGACACACATAGTTTATGTCTACAGCCTCGGGAAACTCCGGCTGAGCAAAGCTAGCCATACCGCTAGCCGACAGTCGTTCTCAACTAGACGAAATGCCATTAAAACTACACTGAAAGTGCAGTATACATTGAACTTACGTGGCTCAAATGGGCTTATTTCAGACCCAAAACATGATACAGAAGCAATGCTGATAAAAATGAGCAGGACAGAAGCCACTTTCCAGTAAAAACGCAACATTTTGTAAGTTCCTGTTCAACCAGTCGACGGCACATACGATCCGAGCGAGAGGCAGCGTAAATAGTCTATACGGTAGTAGAGGTTTTGTTGTAGTTCCTGAGGTGAATGATGGCGCTCTTCAATGCAATAAGTTCGTTGTTTTCGACATCGAATAGAGTCGTGGAACCAACCCCCCCCCCCCCCCCCCCCTTCCCCCCCCCCCCCCCCCAAAAAAATAATCGAATGGCAAAAAAAAAGAGGTGTTTGAAGCGAGGGGAAAGATGAAGGAAAATTAAAAAGAACGTGAGATAACATTTATAACAAGAAAGCTTGTTCGAAACTGTCAAAGAGAACATTTTTTATATTTAATATATCAGAAGCTATAGAGTAGGAGTATAGGACATGCAGTCAATTACTTTTAGTACCCACACCCTGCACATATATATCTTGCCACTTCCTGAGGTACTATCTAGCATAGTACCTCAAGAAGTGGCAAGATACTCAACTGGAAGAAGAAGAAGAAGATTATAATTAATAGTAAAATGGGGACAACATGCAGTGGCGGATCCAAGAATTTCTTACGGGGGGGGGCACAAAATCACATGAGGTGAAATAAATGAAAACGATGGAGCGAGGCATCAGCGGCGAGGGAGTGGAGCGACCAAGTGGGGGTGGGTCTGGGAGGGGGTCAAAACACCCTCTCTGAATAGTTTGCAACTTTAGAACCACGTTAGGCGCATTTTCAGGCACTTCCTACCCCCTCCAAGAGTAGGGAACTTTAGCAATTTGAGAACCACGTTTGGCGCATTAATGCCCACCGGCACTTCCTGGAAAAAACGAGGCCTTCTGATTGGTTAGAAGTTAGAGGAAAGTGATCTGTCACGTCGCGAGACGGTGTATGCTTCGTTGCCAGTACACAATGCACACAGACGGTGGTCCGGTATACTTCACCAGTACGTAGTACTTGCAACAATTATCTCGAGTGTATAAACTGTGTTGTTATATAAGGGGAGTCCCTAGACCTTTTTCAGAGAGGGTGGGGGGGGGGGGGTGTAGAGGCCACCAATTACCGACAAATATATTAATGCCAATGTCCCCGCCCGATATTTACAAATTTAACCCTATAAACCCGGGGCCAGGAACTAAGTTATTTTTCCCTTCCCGTGCGGCGGAAGCTTTGACGTTTCATTAAATCATTAGAGAAAGAAGACGATTCGTTGTACTGTTTTCGACTCTTTCTTTTCTGAATTCAGTTCCCCCCTCCTGCGCGAAGCGCGGAAGCTTTGACGTTTCATTAAATCATTAGAGAAAGAAGACGATTTGTTGTACTGTTTTCGACTCTTTCTTGTCTGAATTCAGTTTTCCCCCTTCCGCAAGAAGCGCGAAAGATTGACGATTCATTAAATTATTACTCTTAATCCTTGTCTGAATTCATTTTCGCCTATCCCGGGAGCTTTTAAATTATTAGAGAAAGAAGACGATTCGTTGTATCGTGTCCTTGTCTGAATTCAGTCCCCCCCCCCCCCCCTCCCGCGCGAAGCGCGGAAGCTTTGACGTTTCTTTTAATTATTACTCTTAATCCATGTCTGAATTCATTTTCACTCATCCCGCGCAAAGCGCGGAAGCTTTTACGTTTCTAAGAAGACGATTCGTTGTATCGTGTCCTTGTCTGAATTCAGTTCCCCCCTCCGCGCGAAATCTTTGATGTTTCATTAAATCATTAGAAAAAGAAGACGATTTGTTGTAACGTTTTCCACTTTTAATCCTTGTCTGAATTCAGTTCCCCCCTCCCTCCCTCGCGAAGCGCGAGAGCTTTTACATTTCATTAAAATTATTAGAGAAAGAAGACGATTCGTTATACCGACTCTTAATCATTGTTTCTTTTTTCCGATAAAAAATCACAGTTCGTAGGGAAAAAAAGGCCGACCGACATTAATACATCTCACCGACTTCAAAATTTTACATTGATATATAGTTCACGAGGATCGAGCAAGAATACCGACACAGCGGACCCGACACAGCAACATAATTAACTATTCGTATCTTTCTTGCCCCCTTGACGTGGTGACTCCACCTAACATCCTCTCTCTCTCTCTACCCTCTTCTCTCACTCTTACCCACCTCTCTCTCTCTCTCTCTCTCTCTCTCTTCTCTTTCTTCCCCTGTTTCTTTTGTTTCCTTTTCTCTTTTTTTTCTTCTCTTTTTCTTTCTTTTCTTTCTTTCCTCCCCTTCCTCTTTTTCTTTTTTCTCTATCTTTCTTCTCTTCTCTTTCCTTTCTATCCTTTCTTTTCCTTTTCTTCTTTTTTTTTCTTTCCCTTTCCCTCTCATTTCCCCCTCACCCTTAATTACCTCATTTTTCCCGACAGCAGCGCAATTCTACCGCCAATATCCTGACAGGACACCCCCCTCCCAACCGACTCCCTTTATCGACGACCCTGGTCGTTATCCCATTATTCTTTTAAAAGAAATGCAATTCCTCATGCTCTCGCACCTCTCTTCTATCGCTGTTTAATTCTCTTTTTTCCTTTTTCCATTATTTTCTTTTTTTTCCTCTTGTGTGCTTTTCGTTTTGTTGGGGGGGGGGGGGGGGGGGCTACACGCCTGGCAAGAGGGACCACATATTATGCACACTGCAAAATTGCGTGGCCCACCTGCCCCTTTCCCGGTAAAAAAAAAAAAGCAAACACCTTCTTATAATATCATCCCCCTTTCTTGCTTTTCGCTTCTCACTATTCTCCTTTTCCCCCTTTTCTCTCCTCTGTCTTTCCCCTTTCTTCCGTTTCTACCTTTTCTCTCCTCTCGCTTCTCTTTCTTCCTTTCCCCTCCTTTTTCTCCTCTCCCCTTTTCTTTCCTCCCTCTTTACTTCTTCTTTCTCTCTTCCCTTTTCTTTCCTTTTCCCCTCCTTTTTCTTTCCCACTCCTTTTTCTCTTTTTTTCCTTTTTCTTTTCACCCCTCCCCCCCCTTTTTTTTTTACCGGGGGCACATGCCCCCTGTGCCCCCCTCTGAATCCGTCACTGACATTATAAGTCTTAATTTAAATCTGTTATAAAATATGCAACATTTTCCACTCTAAAAGGGCAAGGGGTATATCTCCTCCCGACTTAGTCAATCTGCCCCCTCAATTTTGACGATCTAACTTTTGCGTTTCTCAACTGGGTTGCGGCGTATAGTAAGTCCGTGATTGCAGGAACCGCAAGATGCCCGAATATATTATCACTTTAGGTATTTTTATGAGGAAACAACATTTCAGAGATAATTATTCTGTTTCCCCGCTCGCTTCGTTCCCTTGCAAGTTTAGACTCGGGTCAGTTTCAGGAAGCGAGGTCCACGAATATCCCGTAATTATGATAATAATTATGACAATATTCGGGCACCTCGCTGCCAGAATATCGGCATGATTCGGGAAGCATGACGCCCGAATCTTCTGTATTAGTATCTTTTGTATCAAAACGAAATATTTATCACAACATAGTGTTTGTTTCCCCCTCGTATTATTGCTTTACTTCTCGAAACATTAATAAATCAAGATGATACCTGCATGGCAACAAGATGACCGAATACATAAATTTTACATCTTATCTTATATAGTATTGATGGCTGGTTTTCTTCTTCTAAATCATAGATTGTCAGGTTAAGGCCTATATTTTCACTTTCAATATAAGATCTAATAATTTTGAAGAATAACTCCATCGAATGTGGTAAGTTCGCGCCTCAATGCGGAGGGGAGGGGGTAAGGAGCGTTATTTTTTTGTTTTACTCAACACCCCCCCCCCCCACCCTCTTGAGCCAACAAAAACAAAAACAAAAGCTTTTAAAACTTTTTTTGTTTTTGTTTTTTTCAGGGGGCGTTGTTCTATTTCTTTTTTAAACGTTACCATTTTTAGGGGGCCATTGACTTAAACATTGAGGGGGCCGTCAAAACCTTCCAATTATTTTTAAAAAATCTACTGAAAATATATTTGGGTAAAATGGATTATGAAAATAATTAATATTAGCTTCAGAAAAAAAAATAAACTGATAGTTTTTATTTTACGTTCATTGTAACATTATGATCATGCTTTGATTTATTATTGTTAACGACTTGGCTTAAGGCTACATGTACACACGTATCCGACCGAAAATAAGTCAGAAGATTCCACCTTTCCACGCGCAGGCTTCACTTGAAAGTTGAAACATTACCTTATACAAGATGACTTACATTACTTCATGGGAGGAGTTTGCTAAAGCAGCAGAGAGGTTATATCTTTCAGACCCAAGCAAGGTGATTCTAAAATCTAGACCTAACTTTATTAGTGTAGCTTTTAATAATGACATTACAATTTACAGCTGGCACAGAAATCGGGATGAAGCTGTGCATTTCGCGGCGCAGCCTGCGCCGCGCCTGCTACTGAGCTGTGCTATGTGCCGTGCCAGGGACACATAAGGGCATCACTATCCTGCCATTCCTGGCGCTGGCTGTGTAGTAAAAGCTTAGACAGAAATAACCGCCTGATTTGGTCATTTCTTTTATAAAACATTTTCTCCCCGATTTTCTTTATTTAGTCTAGATCTAGATCTAGATCTAGATCTTATTTTCTGATTTCTAAATCAGATGTAAATTAGGTCGGTATATCATGTACCTCCTAGGTCTAATTACAGTTTTCAAAATTTGCTAACCGATAAAGAATGATGAGGCGAAGAGGTTTTTGGGAGTAAGATGATACGGCTAAATCGATATATTCAAAAGAATTGAATGATTGAAGTTCGGTTTTGTGAATTTTGAAGGTAGAACGAAGAAGCACACATACACCACCACCTTCCCTTCCAATACGTGGGATGTGATGTATGTCATAATTTGGGAGAGTTTTAGTAAGATCGGCAATGGGTGGGTCATCACGATAATTACCTGTCAACCAGGTCTCTGTGACACATAACATGTCAAGTTCATGAGTTAAAACAAGTTCGGATAATATTGGAATTTTATTCTTAATTGATCTCGCATTCCATAATGCAAAGTTAACTTTGGGTGAAGACGTGGATGCGACAGGGAGATTGGGTATTTCTAGTAGTTCTTTCAGTCTTCGACGTCCCCCCTTTTTACCCCTGTGACTGCGACTACATTTGGACTGTTTCTGAAATATTCCAATTCCAATGACATCATTAGCCTTTTCAATTGCAAATTAATTTGGCCTTTGCACGCTGGAGACTTGGAGTTGGACATTAGAGTGGTCAGTGGAGCCGGAGCTAGGGTCTTCTTTCTACTTTTCTTTTGACTTTACTTTAATACAACGATGTTGTAGGTCTAAGCCCGTTCATCGATCCAAGATTCTTCCATCATGTCCATGCCATGGTTACTGCTATTTTTGTGAAGGGTGGAATTGTGACTTTTGTGTGCTGCTAACAACATAGACAACAGGCAACGCAAGCAACGGACAACTACTTTATTATTAGTACTAAGTATAACTCTAAGCTAGGGTCGTGTATGTATTATGTAACACACTTTTAATGATTGAAATTGGTCAAGAATTATTTCAGAGATGTGGAAAATTTGTTACTTGGGTGATAGATACTTAACTTCAAATGGTCCTGATGTATTAAATAATAGACTGACATGCAATTTACATGACAAAATGTTTCATTGTCTTGAATAAATATTTCACATGATCATACAAACCATGAATTACATTCAAATTTATATAGCATGAATTTATATAGCATGAATTTATATTGTTGTTTTAACAGTTTTAAATACATGCATATTATTGGCATTAAAAATCTATATGTAGAGGTCTATATGTGTAAAGTAAAGTATTGTTTGATAATCTCTAGAAAAGCATTGTAAAGCAAAAGTGATTACTGGTAGTGTAAAATGGAGTGGGCTTGGCATTTTGCTGAATTCAGTGAACTTTCTGCGCTCCCATTTACACATAACTATTTGGTACATTGAAAGTTTGTTTTGTTTTTACTTTTTAGGCCCGAATCGTTACAAAGTACAGACACTGCGACTCCAAATTGTCAGTAAAAGTTACAGATGATCAAGTGGTAAGTGCTTTATGATTCCTTGTATTCTGCAGGATAAGTGAAAGGGAAAGTCTGCTCTGGTATTAAGTTGGCTCAAGTTGGCATGATGAATTTTAGAGTACTAGTCTTGGTAGTCTATTACTTGAAATATGAAATCCTGTGAGTAAGCTACACTTTTTTTTCATCCAAGAAAAAAAGAAAAAAGAGATGTGTCTTGCAAGGTGTGTCTAAAAAAAAAGGAAACAAAAAAGACTTTGATTGGCAATATCCAAAAAAGTACTTGATCATACCTTTACCTTTACCTTTACCGCAAATACTGGAAGAATGCTGAGACAGCAGTCGAGCTTCCAGGTCTATCTTCTTGGTCTATCTTCTTGCACTCATACTCTTTAATAATAATTCTCATTATATGCAAGGGAGGCAGAGGGGCAAGAGGTTGCATCTTGACTGGACAATGTACCATGTACAATGTCCCAGGAGCAAAGAAATTGAAAAAATCAGTTTGAGTATTGAGAGATATGACACTGTTCCTTCCAGCAACGATCAAGCCTGGTTTTGAAGGCAGTGAAAATATCTCCTAAGCTTAGTGGAAATTTTGTTATGATTTACGCTAAACCAAACATTGAAATGAAGAAGAAAAAAACACACATGAAATTGCACTTTGTTATGCGTAAGTAAAAGAACATCCAGAAGGAGCCTTTGTAAACAACATCAATAAATTAAATTGTGCACTAATTCCTCTAAACCATATTGTAACTTGAAGAGATGTACTGAATTGTAGTGCTCTCATTGTATAATCTTAATGTTTCATTTTTCTTTGTAATGTTACCCTTGTAGTGTCTTCAGTATAGAACAGAACACAGTCAAGACTTGAAGAAAGTGGAGAAGTTTACCAATCAACTGATGAGACTCATGTTGGCTAAGTGAACTAGTATCATCTCTGATCAAGGACATTCATTCTCATACACAGTGCACTCGCCATGCTAAATGGAATGTACTGATATGGGCTGCATGAAACTCATTCTCAATCTGTGGAATCAAGAAGATACAATGCAAGCACTTCTCTGTTCTTTGGTTGAATGCAGCCATTGAAATATGGACTTCTCTGAAAGGTTCAGTTAGTTGTGTTCACAAAAGCAGAGTGTACAGATTGCAGAACTTCATGTAAATCTACTTTCATCTAGAATATCTTTTCATGTCCTTTGTTTTTGTTTATATTTTTCTTTATCAATAAATTTAAAATAATTTCAGTGTAAAACATTTAGATCTTATTAGAGAATACATGTACAAGTATTTATTTAGAAATCAGGATCAGCTCACCATTTTTAAAGATTTGTGACTTCTATGACACATTCTTTTTTAAACAATATCTCTACGGAATACACTATTGTTTTCAATATGCCTATTTACTAAGAATTGAGTACTTGAATACAATTAAAGAAATTCTTCTTCACACAATTATTTGGTAGTCTCCTTGATAAGGTGCTGTCTTTGTAAAGGCCAAAAGAAAAGAATGGGATGGAAATATCCAATGTTCCTAAACAAAATAGTGATTGTAGATTTTAAGGATCCTAAAATACCCAAATTGTTTGCATTTCCCTTATTTTTGAGTCGTCAAGAGATCTCTCTGAATTGTATGGTAATCATTTTGGTCTACTACCACTATGTAGTCGGCTTAACTATCTTTTTTTTTTTTTTACAGGTATACATGCTTTTTTTCCAAATGCCTAGTGACAAACTAATTCATTTACTTGATAAGAAATATTGTAATTCATTAGAATATAAATATGAGATGTTGCTAGGTCTGACAATTTTACTTATTTTTCTAACCAAGTTACACCTATATATGGAATCTGTATTGTTATTATTGAAGTACAGTAAAATGTTTCAAGCAACATAAATACATGAATAACATTTTGTTTGTCACAAGGCAAACATGTATAAATTTGAATGTATTGTAGAAAAGAGTATTACAAGATGTTACAAATGTATTAACTGCAGTGTGTCTTGAACAGGATGTAAGATTTCTACTGATAAGAAGTTCCTGATGAACTGTTCCCTGTTGTTTGTGAGAAAAGTGGTTATTCCATTTCTTCAATCAAGCGATGGGGGGTTGTTTCATCATATACGATCAATAACATCTCAACGCAGTCGATAAACCTGTCTGATAAATGTTGTGCTATAACTGTCTTTTCCAAGACCAGTGATGAGTGACTTTTTAAGACTCCAAAATTGCCAAACACTTATCTTTTTAAGTTTTTAGAATGCTGCCCCATGTCATTTTTTTGTAAGTACATACGATAGGCAGGGAAAAAAGTAAAACTGTTAATGTAGAAAAAAATACAGCAAAGAGCCCTCCCCAAGACAAGATCTAAAGGAGAAAAAAGTGAAAGAAGACTCTAGAAAGAAAGTTAAAAAGAAACTGACATTTTGAGGGAAATTATAAGTTCTTTTAAAGTTTTAATTTGTGATGTGTGATGAATTTTTATTCGTTACATCTTTTTACGTAAAATGTTTTGTTTATGATCGTCAAATTAACATTCCATTGTTTCCCTCTTGGATGAACACTGAACAGTGTGATTCTAATTAAAGGGGAAGTCCACCCTGAAATTAAGTTAGTTTTAATAGGAGTAGAAAAATGAGAGAAACAAGTCAGTGAAAGTTTGAGCAAATTCCGATTAAAAATAAGGAAGTTAGGATTTTTGAAGTTGTGATCAATCAAACACAAATTGGCAACTCTATGACGTATCATGCGAGCTCAACTTCCATTTGCTCAGTACTAAAAAAATCTAAAATTTTCATTTTCCCTCAAGAAAAATTTCAACCATACATGCACCCTAAATATAATAATTGCAAATATGTTTTTCTATACTCCCCCTGCAAGGAACAAATATATATTCCGTCATCAATAACGAAGAAAACATGATTTTATGGAATATTATGCACAAAGCAAATGAAGGAGAGCTCGTATAATAAGTCACAGAGTTGCCAGTTTGTATTTGATTGATCACAACTTCAATAATTCATAACTTTCTTATTTTCATTCAGAATTTGCTCAAACTTTCACTCACCTGATTTTCTTATTATTCTGCCTCTATCAAAACAAACTTATTTTGGGGGTGGACTTTCCCTTAAAGTCCCATTTTCAACCTTCCCTTTTCATTTCTTGTTTAAATAGGTGGATTGAATGGTTATAATGTTTTACAGTAACAGTGTTATTTTCTCTTTAAGTAGGCTAGGGTTGAATACACTTTTGGTACCAGTACCGTAGTTATGAAATGTTTTGTTAGTGGTTGAGAGAACAGTTCCACACCATTTATTTATTTGTAATAATGCGCAATGTATGAGTACATGTTCGAATATAATAAATTGTTGGTGCTGTTCATGTATATCGGCTGCATCAAGGAAGTAAAACAAGATTTGATTCTGCATTATTATGGAAGGTTTCCCCTCTTCTTTGTTGTTGGATTTCGATGTTTGGGTGCAGGAGGGGAGGGCTACTCAGTCATAGTAATAGGTAGTTGGATGTAATCATGCACATTATTAAACTCGTATTTGACATCCTGGATCTGCTAATTTCAAGTGCACCGTTTTCAAAAGGGTACATCACAGCCTAAATAAATTCAGGGTTATAGAATTTGAAATTGGTATTACTGAGGGAAATTGGATTTTGTGGTATTATCATTGTGCTTAAACTAAAGTGATTCAGGTTATGCAACAAGATGAAAAACATTTCATAAACAGTGTACTTGTAAGAAAAAAAACTGTTGCCAGATGTAGTTTTGTTAAGTCCATTCGCACATTTGCAATGGCTGCATGCCCTCAGTAATTCATCAAGATATTGTGCTTGTGCATATGCATGTATGTTATTTTGTATATTCTTCTTCCTATTTAAGATAAGGGTCCTACATATACGTATGAATGAAAACTGTGTCCCCCTGTTGGCATATACCCCTACATTGTGATTACAGTAACAGTATTACATTTTGTTCTTTATCAGTATTTGTTTATCTTCATACACCATAATAGATATTAGGTGTGATGGTCTGAAAATTATCGAGAGGAATAACACACTTATTAGAAAAGAAAAGGAGCAAGTGTCCGAGTACAAAGCGTAATTATCAGAGGGGGAAAATAGGGCACTTCTTACTCCTACAAAAAATGCACTCACCAGGGATGAAAAAAAGGCACTTATAAGAATGGGAAATAGGCATTTGTTGACGGAAAAGGAGCACCCATCAGATTTTGGTAGGGGCACTTATAAGAGGTGAAAATGGGTATTTTTGAAAAGGGGATAGGTCCCTTATTATATAGAAAGGCAAAGGGGCACGTATCGTTGTTAAAAGGGAAATTATCAGAGGTGAAAAAGAGCATTTATGAAAATGAAAATGGGGCACTGGTAATAAAAGAAAATGGGCATTAGTTTAAAGAAAATGGGCACCCATCAAATTCTATATGATCAAATAACGTGGCATTTTCGGAGATGAGAGGGGGCTTTTATGAGAAGGGAGGAAGTGGCCCTTATCATGTTAAATAAACGGGGCACTTATCAGAGATGAAAAGGGGTAATTAAATGAAGGGGAATGGGCACTTGTCAAAGTAAAACGGGCCCCCTTCAGATTTATATATGGCAATTATCAGAGGTGAAGGGGGCACTTCTCGTACTTGAAAAGGGGCACTAACTAGAGTTTAAAAGATGCATGATGGAAATTGGACAATTATTGCAAAGGAAAATGGGAACTTGTCGAAGGAAAAGGGGCACATATCAAAATAAAAAGGGGCACTTATCAGAGGTGAAAAGGGAAAAGGGGCACTTTAACAAATGAATAGGGGCACTTGTCAGAGTAAAAGTGGGCACTCTTCTAATGAAAAAGGGGCACTTCTACATAGGTAAAGGGTCACTTTTCCTATGTAAGAAGGGGCACTTTTGGGGTACCTTAAAAAGGGGTAAGCATTGTGGCCTACCCACCTCGATCCCCCCTTGGAGGGCGAGAAAAGGAGAGAAAAAACATGTAAAAAGAAGAAAATAAAACGAGAGGAGGAAAGGAGAGAGAGAGAGAGAGAGAGAGAGAGAGAGAGAGAGAGAGAGAGTGGGGGCGGGAGGCGGGGAGGGGGAGATTAAAAAATATATATACACATGTACTATATTGTGTAAATAGACCTACTTTACGCGTTCAGAATGAGATTTCGGACGAAAGTAGACTGGGGAAAAACCGGGGAAAAAACAATTCAATGAAATTGTCCTTAAAATAGGGAAACAGAGATGATCGGGGCTGTTTGAATGTCAAAAAGAAAAATAGATTTTTATTGGTTATGTCGGCCATCGTGAAGGATCTAAATTGTTAAAAACTACGTGGGCTAGCTATAGGCTCCATGCATTCTTTGAATCCATGTAGGGACTCATGCCCCTGCAACCACTGGGGGGGGGGGGGGTGTATTTAATTCGATATCAGTGATTTGCAGCTGCAAGCTCAAAATGACAAAATTTTCTGAGAGATTTTTCTCTCTCTTCAGTGTTTAACTTTTTTTCCTTTGTGCCCCCCCCCCCCCCCAGGTTTGTGCTCATTACGCCACTGCCTGCATGCTACCCACCAGGAGCCCATAAGCGGGCTCCATGCAGGATCAACTCCTGGAAGATAGAAGTTATAGGAATACATCAATCTAAAATAGATTATAATAATATGGGATTGGCAATATATAGTTTTAATCAGAATAGAACCGAGATTGTACAACGTCGACAAAATCGTGAAAAACTGAGGAAAAATATACTAGCAGAAAGAAAAAGACGCGACTCGTCGTGTGCGGAACAGAGCGAGATACCAGCATGATACCAGTAAGGATGGTTTGGGCGCCAGATCTCGAGTCTTGCATAATTCATCAACCCGCCTGCCAATCCTGTGACGTACAAGGATCTCGGTTTATCATGCAAATAGAAATTTGAACTAGCTAGAGCAAGCATGTAAACATGAACTTTATGCCCCTGACAAGTGAGGTTTGATAACTTTCATATCTACAAAATATAAAATACCCAAGATGAATGGAAAAGCATTGAAAATAACAGTGTTTCTTATTTTTGGGACTTTCTAGATTTCGATGAGTAAAATCTATTTTTCAGGTGGCTGTGCCACTGAACTGTGCATGCAGCGCATCATGCTCGATTAGAGCTCGCCGCGGCTGCACCGGTACGGTACCAAGCGCCACAGCTAGATCTACACATTTTGTACGGCCCCAGTGTACGGTCCTTTCCGCGCGGCAAGCTAGCGCGCGCTGAATAGGATCGAGCGCCATTCAGATACACACGATCATCGTGATAGCGCGCCACCTCGACAAGTGTATTTTTCTGAATCTAAGTGAAGTACGGGTAGCAAATTTTGAAATACAGATTGTGAAACTTCTACATTTTTCCAGTTTTGACAACTGAGAGGAATTTTAACAGTTGGATAATACAAATGGTAAGGCTATTTAAATATATTTCATTGATGTAGCAATTTATCCTGATGATTCTTGCAAGTTGTATTCGTGAATTTATGATTCCGGCTTCGAGGCTTCGTTGCGAAATATAGTCGGTTTGCATTGTTCTACAATTCATTCGATATCGTGTGTGCTCTCTTCCATACAGATCGTTGGGAGTTGAACTGAAGCTTGTCGTATGTTCCCCGGTCTGAACAAAAATGCCTTTACTTCGTCGTCGAGAATTTCGACCTGTGAAATTACCCAAAGAGTTGAAACCGACGGAGGAAGTATTCCTGTGTCGACTGACAAATGAAATCTTCAGAGATTATGAGTAAGTAGTCTGCTATGACACTCCTGTTGTGGAGTAAGAAAAATGCAAAACAATTTTTTTTTTCCAACTGCAATGCAAGTTCTGCAAGTTTGTGTTTCATGTCTGTTTGAACTGTAAGGCTTCTTTAGTCATGCATAGCTATAGCCATAAGGCGCCATTGTTAGTCATGGCACTATGCAGAGAGTTGGCAGTCAGACTAAAAGTGAACTAATATGTGATTTATGCCTCCACTTTACTTTTTAAAGTTAGACTAGACTCTAGTCTAATAGACTACTGAGTAATAGTCTATGTTCAGAGATGTTGTGCTTTCAAGATGTGACTGAGTTTGACTGAGTGTGAGCGATCAAGTTTTCACGCCACTTGACTCAAATTTGAAGTTACATTTGCTGGCTTTCAATTATTTTTAGAGTTTTACTTTTAGTAAGTCTCAAATAGACCAAGTTACTTTATATATTGTTCTGTTCAACAACTTCAGACTTTTTAGAGTTGAGAGGACAAGACTCTAATTTTAAAGATGAGGATGATGTAGGCCTAGTCGAGGCCTAGATCTAGTCCAGTTTTTAATTCAGTGTGCAATTTGTTTCATTGTCTTTTTCTAATCTCTCCTGCTTTCCTTGATTCAAGTTCAAGCCCCCAATAAGTTAGCGAAATATACAATGTATGACTCATTTTAGACTTAAAACTGAAACCCTTGTGGGCTTTGCTGCCTCATTACTAACTTTGGGGTCTCTTCTTTTCCTCCCTTCAGAGTTATTATCTTTTCCCATCAGCATGGATATGGAACGATTGGGGGGGGGGGGGTTCTGCATTTCCCTTCTGTTCAAGCTATTGAAGAAAACATCACAATTCATTGATATTATTCGCTACTCGTTGTCGATTGAATGTCAGGAGTAACTTTTTTAGCAAACGGGTCATCCAGGCTTGGAACTTTTACCAGTGTCTCTAGTAACTGCTGCCAGCATCAATTCATTTAAACACAGCTTGGATTCTTTTTGGTCAGACAAACACCTTTTGTTGTATAGAATAGTCTGACATCCACGCATGAACGGATTTATAGACCATTACTCTGACCAGGAGACATACAGGATATCCTAAACTTACGTATAGATGATGATGATGATGATGATGTTATATTATTAGATCTGTAAATGTAATTGTACAGAGCTTCTGAAATTGAAATCTTCTATTTCTTCTGTTTTTAGTGATTTCTTCAAGAGAACCATTCTTTGTAATAGTCTGGTATGGAGCTGCAGTCTGACTGGACGACCAGGTCTTACCTACCAAGAGGCTTTGGAGAGTGAAGAGAAAGCCCTCAAGTTCCTCTCCAGCTTTCCTGTGTATCTGGAGACACCGGTACTCCTTCTTGCTCGGATGACCAAGCGAGGCAGATTGGCTGACCTGTGTGAGGACATCTTTGCCTTTGTGAAGGACCGTTTCTTTGTTGGAGAGATAGTGGATGTAGTCCACTTGGACACCAGGTAAGGGTTTAGTACGGGGACTATCTATTGAATCGTAGTAGACTCTTGAGTATATAAAGTTTGATATCCTAATTATTGTATTGTACTGTAGCAAGTGAGTATGTCTGGGCCTCTGCTCTGGCTTATGATGTAAAAGCAACTGGTATCCCAGCACAGATATGGCCTTGCCTTTATGTGCATTGATTTTTTTTACTGATCAAAATTTAACTATTTCAAAGCTTAGATTCACCTGTGGAACTATAAAAAAGAAAAACTATGAGTTCTATAGAAATCTAATGGGAAATTAATTGCTCTTCACAGGACTTGCCAGTATGAGCTTGGGTTGAGAAAAAATGATCCCAAGGAAGATATTATTTTTCAAGCAAATTCTCAATCATGCTAATGCAGATATGAAAGTATATTTGCACTTGTTACTCTTGTTTTCTTTACTCCTAATAGAGAGACATGCAGGGTGAATCGAGTGATCGTACCACCTGAATACATGGAGGAAGTAGGCGTGTCGTCTGAGAGCAGTGATGATGAAGTCATCTTCATCAAGGATGATGGAAAGGAAGAGAAACTTAACACTTCTCATGGAGACCAGAAGACTCCCAAAAGGTATGTCTGAAGGAAGGAAACAGGTCTGTGAAGCTCTTTAAGGCCAAGTAGTGAAATAAATAAACAGGTGCAGTGAGCGACTTAGCTCTCGAATGCTCAATAAACGCTCTGGTAAAGTGAAAAGAGCCCTGGTAAAAAACAACAAATACCTGAACATACCTGCCAACCACTCCGATTTAGGCGGAGTTACTCCGCTTTTTTCATACCCACTCCGAATTCCGATTGCATGCCTCAAAACTCCGATTTTTTGTAATTTTAAAATATTTTTTAAAACAAACGACTGTTGCATAAGACTAAAGCATAACACAGCACTGATAACCAGATCACGCCTTACAGGGAAACGATAAACATAAGGGGTGGTATTCCGGTAGCGCGTACTAAGTTAGCGCGTACTTAGTTAGTTCACACTTCTATGGAGTGCCTGTTGCAAACTAATTTACCCTGTACAGATTATTTTAATCCTTCAATGAAAAGTGTTCAAAAAATTAATTTTGCAATGAAATGGGAAGAAAAACATAATATATGAGTATGAACTGAATTTCAACAAAGTTTTTGGTAGATTATCTTTGTCATGAATATTGAAGGAGGAAGATGAAACCTAGCATTCCATAGAAGTGTGAACTAAAATTCTTGTTTAGTCTGGACTTAGTCCCGGCTTAACTTATGAGAATACCACCCAAGTACTTTATATAGCGAATGCCGCCTTATCACATAGCCTCCGCACACAGCGCTGCATGTCGCACGCATTCACTCATAGGTTCACTGAATTTGACTACACTGGATAGACACTTTCGCGCACATGGTCCGTCCGCCGCCATCTTGTTTAATTCCAAAACAACACGGCCGCTACGTATGCTACGTGCGTTCGTGCCTTTTGAGGGGAGCATGGGGGTAGATGATCGTGCGCATGGCGCCCGCAATATAGTAGCGAAGACTTCGGTGATTCAGCGGGCGCATTGCAAGTGCAGTGCGGTATACGGTGTGTTGTTGTTCATGAACGCCGGGCCTAGCGGCCTGGGCTGTATGGTGTGTCTGTGGTACTGGTGAGTGTACGTGTGTAGAATACGAGCTCTGCCATTTGACTGTGGATTCGAATTTGCCATTCGACGCTTGAACGAGGTGTTTTCTTCCTGAATATTATCATGGATTCACTCAAAAGAGCGAGTACCCGAGAAAGAGATCCTTTGACTGGAAACAGATTTTTTTAAACGTTTTTATGCACATCTTTATTTTGGACTTGAATATGGTAGGTTCGAAATGCAGTAAGAGTGATTGGGTGTTTGTGTACGTTTTGCGCGAAAATTATGCTGCGGTGTCTTGCGTTACGGAAAGACCCCCATTTGTTACGGACAAATATGATAAATGTTACTGACAGCCATCCTATAGGGTTGGCATCTCTGCCCCCCCCCCCCCAAATCTACGGGCTACTACCCCAATCCTTCGGTGGTTCGCGACCTCGTAGTCCATCCAGAAAAATTTACTCCTAATTTCTCTTGTCTCAGGTTGGCAGGTATGCCTGAATATCACTGTGAGAAAATAACACCTAAACACCACATCCTTAAATAGCTTCTATGAACAGAAGAGTATTTTTTTCCACAGAGTCCTAGTTCCATTTGTAATGTCTGCGTCCTTAAGAATGTTTAAGTTATGACATGTTATGAGGAAGTATTGAAGCAAATTGAGACATCAAAATACAATTTAGCCTCTGGCTCAAATGGCTTCTATTGGTAAATCAATAATAACCTAAGAAATTTCATGGCAATGCAAAATAAATAAAAAATTGTGGGAACTCTTTCCTTTTTTTCTTCACTCATTTGTTACTATTATTCTTTGGGATCAAAATTAACCCTATAATTTTGTTCTAAATGTATTTATTTATTTATTTATTTTATTTTATTTATTTTTATTTATTTTTATTTATTTTTATTATTATTTCTTTTTTAAATTAATTAATTAATTTTTTTATTTTTTTATGCCTCCGCCACCGAAGGTGGTGCCGGAGGCATCATGTTTTCGGGTTGTCCGTCCGTACGTCCGTCCGTACGTCCGTACGTCCGTCCGTACGTCCGTCCGTCCGTCCGTACGTCCGTCCGTCCGTCCCGTTTGACCGTTATCACAATATCTCAAGAACCATTTAAGATTTAAACTTAAGACTCGGGAATAGTATTTATCACCATAGGAAGACGATCTGATTAGATTTTGGAGTACGTAGGTCAAAGGTCACAGGTCACAGAGGTCAACTTATGAAATTCCTTGTATTGAGTTTGTTAGCGCGATATCTCAAGAACCATTTGAGATTTAAACTTAAAACTTAAGGATAGTATGTATCACCATAGGAAGACGATCTGATTAGATTTTGGAGCACGTATGTCAAAGGTCAAGGGTCACAGAGGTCAACTTATGAAATTCCATACATTGAGATTGTTATCATGATATCTCAAGAACCACTGGAGATTTAAACTTCAAACTTAGTGATAGTGTGTATCACTATAGGAAAACAATCTGATTACATTTTGGAGCACGTAGGTCAAAGGTCAAAGGTCACAGGGCTCATTATGTATGCAAAAACAGCTTGTGATCGCGTTATCTGAACAACCGATTGATGGATTCCTGCCAAACTTTGGTCATGTATGTATCTTGCAGAGCTGATGAACTGATTAGATTTTGGGGTCACGAGGTCAAAGGTCACAGGGCTCATTATGTATGCAAAAACAGCTTGTGATCGCGTTATCTGAAGAACCGATTGATGGATTCCTGCCAAACTTTGGTCATGTATGTATCTTGCAAAGCCAATGAACTGATTAGATTTTGGGGTCACGAGGTCAAAGGTCACAGCGCACATTATGTATGCAAAAACAGCTCGTGATCGCGTTATCTGAACAACCGATTGATGGATTCCTGCCAAACTTTGGTCATGTATGTTACTTGCAGAGCTGATGAACTGATTAGATTTTGGGGTCATGAGGTAAAGGTCAAGGTCATGCGGCTCATTATGTATGCAAAAATAGCTTGTGATCGTATAATCATTAGAACAGATTGATGGATTCCTGCCAAACTTAGATCATTTATGTATCTTGCAGAGCCAATGAATGGTTCATAAGATCAAAGGTCATGGGCTCATTATGTATGCAAAAATAGCTTGTGGACGCATTCTCATTAGAACTGACAGATGGATTACTATTTAACTCAGGAAATCTTGCAGAGCCAATGAACTGAGTAGATTTTAGGGTCATGAGGTCAAAGATCAAAGGGTCATATATGTTTATGAGAAATTGCTTGTAATCACGATATTCTGAGAACATGTACATGGATTACAATTGAACTTGAATTTGAAAAATTTCTTCCGTTTCGGTTTGTAAAATTGCTCTATGACGGAGGCATCATTTTCGACTGCGCGCAGTCGAATTCCATCTAGTTTTATTTATTTATTTATTTATTTATTTATTTTTATTTATTTTTATTTATTTTTATTTATTTATTTATTTATTTTTTTTTTTTGGGGGGGGGGGGGGGGTTGTGGGGGTGATATATGTACATATATGGAGAATGATGAAGATAATTCCCTCTATTTTGATCGGATGATGGTAGTTTTTTTGTTTTATCATCAGCTATTTTGGTAAATTTTCAAAAGTTTTTGACAAATGAAGAGATTTTTTCAAAAAAATTCCTAGCTTAATACAATTTTAACACATTTTGGGGTGAGACTTGCTCCATTTAAGACGTGCAGTGATTGAACAGACAATATTCATTAAATGTGTTCTAATGTTACGAATTGTCCAAGTATTTGATTATCTTTCTCTGAGTTGACCTAATCAATGCTAGATGTCATAATAAAGAGCATAATGATTCCTAGGCTTAAACAATTTGATTATTTTGTTCTTGTACTACAGGACTTTGAAATCCCAGATGCTAAAGCCAGCCATGTATAGATATGAGGTGACTTCCCTTCAGGGTTCTGGGACGTATATTGCACCTCATACCAACGTCAGGTTAGTATCATCTAGCCCGCTTAGTAGGCTTCAGAGCGAGAGTTGAGTAATTGATTCTACCCGACTCCCATTCCGAGAACCATGGAATCTACTCAAACCTGACTCATACCAGAGTCTCGTACTCGAGCCATGCTATGCCATCATGCTGATAGTCAATTCTGTTGTGTGATAAAACATGAAAGCCTTAGAATCAGAAAATATCTTAAGTAGATTCTTTAAAAACATGGTGGTTTAAATAGTGTTATTTTCATGATTAACTGCTCCTTCGTACAAGAGAACATTCTTTTATAATGATATCTGTAAAGTGCAATATATTATGTATGAAGCATTATATAAATCCAGATTATTATTATATTATTTATTCATATGACGGTCCTAGACTTTGTTTTAATTTACCATTAATCATACATATATGTTTGTTGTATTGTGAGCATTTACATGTTTAAGAATACATGAAAAACAATGCATTTATCTGTTTACTATACATATCCAATTTTATTTCTAAATGTTTTTTTTTTATTTATCTGTTAGTCGCAAGAGAGGGCTGTTCACCAAGGAGAAGAATAAACTATACCTGAAGCATCACTGTAAGGTGATAGACTTCATCTGGAGTGTCAAGGTAAATAAGAAACCTATCCACTGGCTTGTGGGAAGCCTGGTGGGGGAGCAGGCGTAGGATATGTGCCCTGGGTATGCCTTATGTGCCTTATGTGCAATTAAAGGGTGGTGGGGGGGGGGTGTAAATAGACTTGAAAGAAAGAACATGGCCACACAATAAGCCAGTTCGTAAATAGCTTAGTAATGCATGACCCCCAAATATCCAGATCTTTTACACGATGGAAACGTCCCACTGTGCATTTTAGAATAATCACTGCCGAATTGATGGAGGTGCTTCATGAATACCTTTTGTTTGCCTCTTGAGAAGAATACTTCCACCTGTGTATCAGATAAATGTACTGTCGGTGCATAAGAGAGTACTGATTACATAACTTTCATGAGCATGATACCAGCATTCGTCTTGCTGGTTTTACTATTTGGGGACGTATGACCTTTATCTGCCCATGCGCAAATCCTAATTACAAACTCGCTTATTGGCAGTGCAGATCTTTCCCTTCATTGTAGTGTTTGCAAGTGGCGATAGTCAGCTCTCTTTTCTGTGCTTTGTTTATGATTTTGTTCCCTGCTATTCAGATCAATGTAAATCATTTTAGGTTGTCACTCAGCTTTGACACAATCAGTACAGTATTCTCTATTGTGGAAATGTGTGCTGAACATTGCTAATATAGAAAAATGAAGTTCAATAACTATGAACTCCAAGATGACTCTTTGGTTTGTATTTAAGTATATTTGTGAAATTACGTTATTAGTTTTTGAGTTGTAAGCAGTTCAATGAGGTTATCCGAAACTAAACAATACAAAAACCACTTTATGTGTTGAAATAAGATATATTGGGCTAAATAGGAATATAAAACCAATCTGATGTTGTTATTTGTCTGACTTTTTGTCTTTGTCCTTTGTCTGATTTTTCAGTAGGATTTTTAAGAAAATGTGAGTTAGGAAACTGCGAAAGTGTAATTGAATGTTGACCTCTCTTTTACAGCCTCAATATGTTGACAAGTTCCAGCTGGACAAGAAAGCATTTGGGGAGTTGTTTGCAGGTCCTTTGCCAAACTTCTCTTCTACTCCTGCTAAGAGGAATGTACACAAGGTCATGGAAGAATCAGAAGCAGGATCATCTGCCAATGATGACACAACGGATGATGATGATGAGGAGGATGAAGAGGATGATGATGACGACCTCCCACTCATGGAAGTGAAGAAGAAGGCCGAGGCAAAGATGGGCAAGAAGAAGAAAAGTTAGTATTCAAATTCAAGTGTCTGGTCATTCTTTATCTAAGTTTGTTCCAGACTATTTGTTTTTCTGTTGTTCTTGATTCATATATTTAGTAAAAGAAACTTCTTGCAGACTTTAGAAGATTGCAGTATCAACTTGTGTCAGGGGATCACACATGATTGTCACAGTGTAAAGTAGTTCTGATGGTTACAATTGTAGAAATAGATCTTGAGCACTATACCAGGGGTTCTTAAAGTAATATGTCAGATGGGCCAGAAATATATCTGAAGTTTTATTGTGAGCCACTGAGCATTTTAAATACATACATATGGCTTTGGCTCAGAATGTGATGCAACCTATAAAATAAATTAGTTTTTAAAGGGTTATTATAGTATTAATGACTGCTTTGAGAGAAATAGTTGTTTTTATACGCTCAAGGGAAGGTTAGAATTGTGCTATTACCCGAGGCGTGCCGAGGGCAATAGCCCAATTGTAACCTTCCCGAGAGCGTATAAAAACAACTATTTCTCGAATATTAAAGCAGTCATTAATACTTTTATACGCCCCCCAAAAAAAAACTTTTGTCGAAGATGGGATTCGATCTCTTGCGTACAAAAGGTGATGTAACTAAAATCACCGCCTTAAACCGCTCGGCTATCGCGCTCTGTTACCATACATAGCAGTTTTTTCTTATATATACATTAAAATGGATTGAAAACGGCTTCGCGTGGTGGATGCTTCGCGGCTGCTCCATTAAACAGGCCCTTCTTTTACTTTTGCAATGCATATTGGCACGAATTTAGATCAAGATCTATTGGCAGATGTTGTTTTTTTGTTTTTGGAAGTTTATTTTCATCTTTATGTCAACAATGCAAGATAAAATTGTCGGTAAGATCGATCGAGATTCAATTGTATTGAAATTACTGACCAATTCTTCGCACACGTACGGTATCCTCGATCGCTCAGACCATTTTTTAACATGTAAACCTATGGGGTAACCATGGAGACTGAACTATTTTCCCAATAACCATGGTTACTGGGATTATAGAACTGTTTTAACCATGGTTACTGGGAATTTTACAGAAATAGTTGAAGTTTATGAATGCAATTTCGACCAATCAGATGGCTGGATTTCCTAAGTGAGGTATATAAAGTGTTTTAAATGATATCCTTCATAATGTTTGTGTTAATGATTTGCTGCTCCAAACAAATAAGCTCAAATTTAGTGGTGGTTATTTTACCTGACTGCTAAGAAAGCATAAATGCTTGTTAGTAAGCAACCACAGGACGGAAGGATTTAGTTCCACTCCGAGGGACCATTGTTACAAGATAATGAACAATTAGCCACTTTCTGTTGAAATGCAGTTCCATTTCCAGAACTTAAAGATTGATGTTGGGAGGTATGCATTCAATTCCATACAATAATAATAGGCTTTTCTATAGCGCCGTCTATCTAGATAATTCTATTCCGAGGCGCATTTATTATTACCCCGGCTTTAGCTTTGCTGCCGTTTATACAGCGCTCCAGCATTTCAAGGAATTAATTCCTGCCAGGTACCCATTTACATCACCTGGGTTGAGAGTGGCAAATGTAGATCAATGTCTTGCCAAAAGACATTAGTGCTGCTGCGGGACTCGAATCGCGGACCTTGTGATCGACAGGCAGGGACGTATCCACTCAACCACCACACCTCTACATATCACATCAGGGAAGAGTGGTAATCAGGAGAATGAAGATTGTGATAGAAGATGTCATTCAACTTCCCTTCTGCTTGTATTTCAATCCTCACAGGAAAGAACAAGGGTGCTAACAAAGAGAACCAAGTAGCTCAGTCCAAACTGAGCAAAGAAGAACGAGCTGAACTGAAAGAAAAGATGAGAGCAGAGAAGCTAGCTGAGAGGCTGGAGATGAGACAGAAGCAGGCAGAGGAAAGGGCACTGGAGAGGGCTAAGAAATGGGAGGAGCTTGCCAAACTCAAAGAAGAACAGAAAGTACAGCGAGAAACAGAAAGGCTAGCCAGGAGAGAACAAATGAGAAAGGATATTGAGGAAAGCAAGGAAAGGAGAAGAAAGGTATGGATCCTTGTAATATTGTCATTGTATTTGGTAGAAATGAAGTGAAAATTACCTGGCATCCTCTTGGGGAAGAAAGGTGTGGGATAGCAGAGAATACAGGTTGAAAGTAGAAATGATTTACGTGTATCGAACTTGTTGGTCAACATTGATGACATTGATGATGATCATAATCACTTGTAACATGATTGTAATGTACTTCAGTTCAGAGCTTCAAAGTAAAGAAAGCTGGAAGTGAGCTGCTTGGATATAAGATGAGATGTAAGTGGCTGCCAGGAAATGTAATCAATGAAAAGTAAAGAATTGGACACAGGTATATAGTTAACTATTATCTCTAGACCAAGGGCATCATTTGGTTATCACCTGGCTTATTTTCTGTATGACAAATCAAGAATTCACAAGCAAAATGTATTCATCAAATCTTTACCAGAGATGGAGAGCTTCACAACACTTTAATAAGAAGCACAGGCTATTTCCCCCCAAATTCAGAACTTCTATTGCAGGTGTATTGACCATCACTTGGTATGAAGTAGGAGATCAATTGTTTTGATAAGTTTAGATTATAATACTCTGTGTTTTTAGGTATTGCACAATTTGCACTCTGATGGATTTGTTTATATCAAATTCATGATGTCCATAACATCATGCCTGCTTTATGGAACAATGGTATATGTGAATGAAGGATCTGTAGGGGATGTGACAACAGATTTCTATTCAATTAGATTGCACGTTGTAAACAAGAAGAAGTCATGTTGTTTATCTGTGTATTCTTTGATTCAGGAAAAAGAAGAGGAAAGAGAACGTCAGAGAGCCTATTACATTCATATGAAGGAATATATGAAACCAAGAGAAGACTTAGAATGTGAAGACCAGAAGGTAAGTCTTTCATGTCTATTTTTACTAGACAAAAGAATGTAATGTGATCACCCTGCAGATATGTGGAGTAATGTGCAAAGAGTGATACTCTTTTCAAGGTGGCAATTTGTGAAGGGTTAGCGAGAGAAAGAGAGTAAGATAGGGGGGAAGTAAAGGGTAAGATGGAGGTAAGGAAGGGATAGAGAGAGAGAGAGAGAGAGAGAGTAATGGTAGTAGTAGGTACTATACTACTACTACTACTACTATCTTGTGATAAACTAGATTTACTGCTCTATGTTCTGTAACACATCTTAGGGGAAACATTAATAATATAACTTGAAACATGTCCACTACAGCATGTACATGTAATGCTCTTTAGATGAAGATAATTACAGAGACCATTATAGACAGGTGGACTTGTTAGAGAGGTGACTACTTTGAGAGATTTGACTGTATTTACCATATATATTGTTGTTTCATTCTCCAACAAATAGGATCTACCTGAGCCAGTTCCTTTATCAGGAAAGATCCCTCAGGAGTTTTTTGGAGACTGTGTTTTGCTCTTGGAATTCCTACATGCATATGAGGAAGAGCTTGGACTTCAAGAAGACTTCCCTGAAGGTGTCACTTTAGGTACTGCTTTACATACAAACAACATTTCTTGTCTAATTAGTCAATTCTTAGCAAGTTTGAACTTCCCTGTAAGTTTGAACTTCCCTGTAAATTTTTAATAGGTTTAAGTTTGGGGTGATTTTGCACCTCTGCACCCTTCAAAGCGGTTGCTGGCCCTTAAATTTGTGTGGCTGTCATTTTTTTCTCACTTTAATTGAAGAAAAAAAAAGAAGTATGTATGTATACCCCTGTTTACCTATTGACAGACTCTGTAAGAAGATCTGATAAAAAGTTCAAAATATTAATATTGTTTCTGGCAAAAACATTTGGACCCTGTGGTCATCACCCTGGAATAGTCCACAAAAGCTGCAGTGTCCATATTCAATAATTAAACAATACTTAATCTCACAAGTCAATATTACCTTACGTAAAAGTGCTAAAAAAATTAGATAAAATCATTTGGGTTCTTGAAGTCTTAATGTTAAAGGTCACATGATAATTGATCAATAAAAATACATATAGGCGGAGGCATATTCATTCAATTTCAATGTGCATTGCATTTTATTTATTTGAAGTAATCTTTACAATCCAAGTATTTAAGAGATTAAAGTTATGACAATATTTATTTGTTTTGCTATTTGTAGAGCTGTTAGCAGATGCAATAACAACCAACAAAGTGGATGGAGCTATGTTTGAAATCACAAGGTTCTTATTGAAAGCTCTCTTCAGAGTTCAAGAAGAAGATGAGGAGGAATGGAAGACAGACTTGGAGGAACAAGGAATACAAGTACCCAAATGTAAGCATAAGCCATCAGGAGCCAGGATATTTCCACCCGCCCCACAACTTAAGATCCTTTTACATTCATCTAGTTTTAAAAATAGAAAGTGTTATGTGTCATGTACTTGCTTGGGTAAATCTGTGAAATCAGTTATGAATACAAGAATGGATTAGTCAAGTGTATTTATTTCAAGATTGCAGGAAGAGTATGAGTTTTTAATTAAAATTAAAATTCATTCAATAGTGGAAAGCTATTTGTTGTACCGGTATTAGAATATTTGAGTAGGCCAACACATGTGAAAGGAAAGGAAGTCATGATAGATACCAACCATATGTAATAAGGCTGTGAAGGGTAGTCCAATGCTCGAGTACCCGCACGGTTGACAACTACTCGGGTACGATTTCTCGTACCCGAATATTCGGCCGCAAATTTTTTTAATTTTTTTTTTATTTTTATTTATTTATTTTTTTTTAATTTTTTTTTTAATGTCCAGGCCGACGCTTACCCGTGCCTGGGTGAGCGGCGGCCGCTGGCATGGTGCCGTCGGTAAAAATGTTTCCCAACTCAAGCACCGTCAAACTCACCACTCAGAAACTGGGACCAAATGTCTGGATTTCTGCTTGGACTTGGAGGAAAATGGATTATTCTGCCATCCTTGGTTTTTAAAACAGCATTGTTCACTGTTATTATTATTATTAAGTTGGCGCCTTCAACTGCAACTCAAAGTAAAATTGCATGCGTTTTTGGCGACAGAACTGGGATACTGCTCCAGTGGTATGTATGGTGGTGGCAAAAAAAAATTAAAAAAAACAATAAAAAAAAATTAAAAAAACAAAAAAAACATGGCGTCCGAATACTCAAGTATTCGCTTGTAAACATAGGAGTGTACTCGGGTACCTCATTACACTGTTGTGCACAGCCTTAATATGTAAGCTTCTAGTATATCTGCTGATTGTTTTAAATTGATAGTCCTCTTCTAGCTGAAATCAGAACAGATATTGAGTAAAATTATACATATGATGTATGGGACACCTAATGACCAAATACCTTTGACTTGCCTCATTACAGTGAATATCTGTGAAGCAAGGTTAGAAGAAGACCCAGATCCAACGTATGGAGCTATGAGTAAAGCAGCTACAGCAGCTCTTGCTTGGCCAGTGCTTCATCAAGGTAAGAGGCGGAGTGGCGCAATCAAATCGTCATCTAACTATTATGATTTTTGTCGTGCATGTTGGTTTGAGTCCTGCACTAAGCAGACAAAAATGCAAATTTGGTAATCTACATACAGATCTTCGTGAAAGGCTGCATAGCCCTTTGAAGATTCACAGAAGAAGAAATAGAGGAGGAATTATTTCTCCTAAGAACAAGAAGGATGATAAGTGATAAACCTACACAAAGGATTGAGGATCAAATGGTTTCAGCATAGTAAGCTTAACCAAATGTGTTGAGAAAGTATTTAGGCTTCATGGTGCATGTAAAGTAAAGACCTGAAGGTGCAATGTTACATGAATGCGATTTCTATGAAATGATGGTGAATAGAGGAGGCGCGATGGCTCAGTCGATAGAGCAGTGGTCTTGTAATCCGGTGACCCGGGTTCGAAACCAAGGCGATGCGCTAGTGCCCTTTGGTAAGGCATTAATCCTCATTACCAGGTCCCTCGGGGAGTACCTAAAGCCGTCGGCCATCCGGTTGCTTACTTACAAGCATTTATGCTTTCTTAGCAGTCAGGTAAAATAACCACCACCACATTCAATTACAACCTGAAAAAAATTGGTATCTCAGCAAAGCTATCAGAATATCAGAACATATAGGAATAATTCTGAGAGAGCTAAATTGAAAATTCATAGCAAAAATTTCAATAGAAGATTTAATCTTCAGTGTGTACAAGAATTTTTTTTACCAGAGTTACATGAACATTATGTCAATTTCTTGCCCCATCCTTATTGAATGATCCTTGTGGCTTTCACCATATGATATTTGAGAGTGAAATAACAGTCGGTTATCTAAAAAATGACTCATTTGCCTAAACAAAGGCACTGGTGAGCCTGAAGAACTGTTGTATATGCCATGCCGTTCATGATTCACCTGGGAAAGGCTGGGCTTGTTGCTAGTTGTAAGCTGCATTATTGAATTGGATGCCTAATTGTTTTTAAGGAACAGACATTTGATTTTCTCTTTATTTCCATCAGGTACTGAGCTGAGGAAGCTATCGATCGATCCTCCGACCCTGACAGAGATTGTACGGCTTCACTTCTTGTCTTCTGGATCCACCACAGGATCTGAGGATTCTAAATGGCGTTACCAGCAGAGAGGTGGTTATACGTGCCGTGATGATCCTGGGTTAGAGTTCCGTATGCAGGAATCAGCAATCCTCAAAACCCTCACCAAGGGAAACCTCTATGACCTCAGTTCAGGTCAGTAACAAGGTTGTGTCTTGACCTATAATCTACCATGCACTGTGATCAAGGCACTCCCACTACTAACCTCGCTCTAGCTAGGCTATCAATTATAGTACTCGCAGCTTTCAAGGAATTTCTCCCTACCAGGTACCCAAAAATTACACCTCAGCAGATAGTTACAAATGTAGATTAGTGTCTTGCCAAAAGAAGTTGATGGTATGTGGGATACAAACCGATGATCCTTGTATCTCCAGACAAATGATAAAGGGGCTGTAGCATGGCAAATACTGGTTAACGCCATCTACGACTTCTTTTAGACACCTGCATGCAATCGAATGGACTTGATTAACTGGGTAAGCGTGCACTAGCGTTTGTGAAACAGACCGAAGTTCTCCTCACGCTTCGATTTCGCGTATGTTGCACGCACTTGAATACGTAAGCCTACTGCGGTCGCGTCGTCTGTAGTCTTATTGTACCTGATTGGCTACGGAAAGGCACAAAGTCTCGTCCTGCTACAGCCCCTTTAAAGGTAAAGACCAGTTATGGTCATGTGATTGCATTGTGAAAGAAACGTTGTGGAATCGATCAGAAAAGGTTGATCATCTAGCATATAAGTATTGGTGTGTACTGCAAGGTTCTGGAATCATCAAAATGATACGAAATTTGGCCCAGTCTTCGTAAAGTTACAAGCACTGTACACAGAAAGATGTATGTGGGACTATACGCACACGTGCGCGACACGTCCGTTTATCTCTCACAGACCATGTAGATAAACTAATTTACCAAATATATCAATTAGTAGGCGATTTCCCGGCAAAATTTTTATCGTCATGTATTAGTCAAAACATATTCTTTCACATGATTGGTAATAAGAGCTTCCATTTCATTTTTTGTTTTTTGAAATTGGGGCGTTTCCAATACTGGTCTTTACCTTTAAGACTTCTCGACTAAGTGGGAACAAAATTATGATCCTTTTTCAAATATTGACCAATTCACTTTTGCCTAATACACCATGACAAATTAATAGTCATTGAATTATGTAAAGTCAGTATCAAAACATTGCACAAAGCTAGTTTTGCTCAAAGTTGAAGCCCCACCTACAGCAGCAGCCACATTTGATTGGGATGTAGTGGATCCTATACGCTGGAAATGCATGAGAGAACTAGCCAAGTGTCTCAGAAATTCATTTGAATTTGCCTCGATGCAAATTCTTGTAATTTCTTGTCAATAGCTTCACAACATTTGTTCATGTTTGAATAAAATTCTGGTGGTGTTTTTATACTTCCCGAAGTAAAGATGAGATGAATTTAAGATCTCGTAACAAATTGCTGTGCGGCTTATATTTCTGAATTTTTTTTCTTCCAATTTGTATTTTGTTTATATTGCAGAAGGTAAACTGAAGGTTCTAACTGCTCTGACCAATCAGCTACTGACGTATGTGACTATGCGTGAAGTCATTGAGGATAGCTATGATACTTGGAATACGACTCGCAGGGAACTACGAGATCTTCTACGTCTCGAACAACGTCGAGAAAAGGAGGAGGTTACTGCAAAGTAAGTAGATGGTTTGTTTCGTGTGAATGTTGGGTATACTGCAGGGAACCCTAAGCTTTGGATGTCTATCTTTCACATGAAGGATTTCACTCTGGGTTCTTCATTAATCTGGTATACCACATGGTCTATTTCTCTGTTAAACCTGTTATGTTGTTACTTTGTATTCCCATGTTGAATTGAGTATTTTCATGAATGCCCACAAGATATTTCCTCACAAAGGCACCAGGAGTGTCAATTCTGAGTTTTGGACAGACATGGTGAGGTATCAATTTTTATGCCTCCGTTATGAAGTAGCCGAAGGCATTATGTTTTCGGGTTGTCCGTACATCCTGTTCTCGTGATTGCGTTATCTGAAGAACCGATTGATGGATTCCTGCCAAACTTTGGTCATGTATGTATCTTGCAGAGCCAATGAACTGAGTAGATTTTGGGGTCACAAGGTCAAAGTTCAAGGGTCACAAGGCTCATGTATGCAAAAATAGCTTACGGTCGCATTATCATTAGAACAGATGGATGGATTCCTGCCAAACTTCGGTTATGTATGTATCTTGCTGAGCCAATGAACTGATTATATTTTAGGGTCATGAGGTCAAAATCAAAGGGTCATACATGTATATGAAATAAAGCTTGTAATTACGATAAATTTTAAAAATTGCTTCTTTTTTTGTCGGTAAAATAGCTCTCTGGCGGAGGCATCATTTTCGACTGCGTGCAGTTGAAGGTCCATCTAGTTACTATTGTAGTTAACATCAAGAATTGCTCTGCAGCCAAAATTAATTCCAAAATTTCAATCCTGGATCCAACACTTGTTCTTACTTTAACCCTTAACTCACAGTTTTGCTCTTGCTGTAAAGGGTTCTTAGTGGCTATAGTCTAGTCAAAATGACAGGTGAAGTTTGTTTTAGGTTGGTTTTATGCATTCTATCAATATATACACACCTATTTGTTCTTCTTCAGGTGATTGGTACATGTTAAACAGCCTAAAAGCCCATGACATACAAAGTCTTATGAAGTATTACTTCAATATTTTCTTTGCATTTTGCCTTCCTTTCTTTGCATTACAGGTGGAGGTTGAGAATGGAGGAGAGGGTTAATGAGAAATTCCAAGTTGAGAAGGATAGGCTTGCTAAGATATCACAGGAAGGTGTTATAGAGAATGGGGTGACTCCTGGTGTGAGTAGCTCTAATGTAAGCACTCCAGAACAACCAGGAAGTAGACCTCAGTCTAGAGCTAAAGGGGAATCCCCCAATGACTCTATGGAGACATCAGACATCCCTACACCAGGGATGTCTCTTGCTGACATCGAGAAGAAGAGGAAAGAGATGGCAGAGGAAAGTGCTGAAAAGAAAGCTGAGTCTATACAGCAGGAAGCACAGCTGACAAGGGAGATCAATGAAGCCATTATGAAGTACAATGTAACCCCGATCGGAGAAGACAGATTCTTCCGCAGATACTGGAAGTTCAATTCATTACCAGGATTATTTGTGGAGTGTGATCGGAATGTTGATGAAGATGTGCTTAAGAAGATGGAAGAAGACATGTATGCCGTGCAAAGAACTAAAGTTGAAAATATGGATGCTCCTGAAGAAATTCAGCCAACGAACGAGCACAATACCTCAAATAGCAGTAACAAGGAAAACGTGGACAGTAATGTAATAGGGAATGGAGCGGTTACAAATGGAGATGTGCCTTCAGAATCTCCTAAAGACCTCACAGATGGTGAGAAGGAGACCCCTATGGAGGTCAATGATGTAGAAATGCCTGTACTTCGTGTTGAGGTTTCTTCTACAGGGCCAACACCAGCTGCTTCACAGTGTCAATGGGCTTTCTATAATGAACCTAGTCAGATTGACAAGCTCTTAGAAGCTCTGAACACACGTGGTCTCAGGGAAGCATCTCTCAGAGATAGCCTTCAACAGGACAAGGCTGCTATAATGGGCCGTATGAGTGAAGTACCCACAGACTTCCTAACTAAACCTCCAACAGACGAAGCAGATATGGATTACCAACCTGGAGTCAAGAAACAAGTGGAGGTTAAGATGACTAGTGGCAAGAAGGGCCTCTTGTCTAACAGTGCTGATGGGGATGAGAAGCTGGAACTTATGCTCAGGGAACAGATTCTGGACATCGAAGACCGTCTGTGGCAGGGAGCTTTAGGCTTTGTCAAGGTACGAATTTATCATATGAGGCATTCTTCTATCAAATTCATAAGACATTGAATAAAAATGTAGTATAAATGAATCTTAGTCAACAGTCAGGCAACTGTACTGGTGTAAGTTTGATTGCCAAATCTTGACAGAACATTTACATTTGCCTATACACTTTATTAATGGCTGTCTTTTTAAAAAGTAGTTTAGAATACCATTAACTGCCCAGTTGATCATGTGCTGCCATCATGAACTCATCTCCAACCCACATCATATCCTTATACATGGTCTGAAAGGCCACTTCATATTACATAATGTATTTTGTTTTGAATGACAGGTGAATGACCGAGCATCTTGGGTAGAAGCCATCGAGCAGGGATCTTATGATCGGCAGTGTAAGGAGATCTCCTGGGGGCCTGTCTGGGCACGTTCTATGTCAGATGATGGTGACTTTCTTAACCTGTCATTGTCTGATCTACCACTACCTGAGGAGAAACCCAAGACAAAGGACAGGTGAGCAGGTTACTTAGGTAGCTCATTTCATGTATATGGTTACAGTAGCCAAACTGCATTCACTATGAATACTAATGATGCTGGATATTGAGTGTGATGGGTGAAGGTTTGAATACTTACCCCTTCACTCGCTAATTAATAACCAGCGTCCTAATTTCTTATTCAGACATAATTTTAATTCATAATTGAGGGTAATTGAAAGATTTAAGTTACTAAAGGAACGGTGATTTCATCTTTCTATTGAGTAAAAATTCCCTTGGGGCCGTATTCTGAAAATGATGTTATCTCTTATGTTACTTAAAAATATGTTAATTCTCATAACAAACTCAAAATGCTTACCATTGATGCTCGCACAGATGTCTCTTAACATTACTTTATGTGAATGCAGCCAGCTTTGTGCAGACATGAAAGGGCAATCCAACACTTGTAATAAGTTGATTTCTATGAAAGCAGAAAAATAACAGAAACATAATGGAAAAAGTTTGAAATGAATCGAAGCAATAGTAAGGAAGTTATGAATTGAAATATGAGATCACTAAGTTAATGCGAATCTCAAATTGGTAATTCGGTCAGTGGATTGTGACGTAGGAAGTGGATAACACTCCCATTTGCTGTGTACAAAAATACCATTAATTTCTGTTTTTCTCTTAAGTTCCTTTTCCCTTGGGGCACTTCTCAAAATATATTATAGATAGAACATTATTATAGGCCTTCTAAGAAGAACAGACCCTCCTGAGCAATGAACTTTTGAAAAATTTAAATTTCAGTAATTTTGTATATTGGAATAGATGGGAGAAAAGTCTGGCACTACATCACATTGACATTACCGCTTCAGGAAATTTAAAGTGCACATACGTATAGTGATTACAACTTTCCAAAATTAATAACTTTCTTATATTTAGTCAGAATTAATTGAAAATTTTATCAGTTTGCTTCACTGATTTTTCTGCTTTCTTTTACAGTAGATGTCATGTGGGTTGGATTTCCCTTTAACCAATGACTTGTCTTAGTTTTGATTTGTTCTGACAATAACATAGGTTACTAACTTAAAATAGAACATTATTTTCAGAATAGCACCCTTCTAGTTTCTGTGAAAAGTGCATGAAGCGATCATGACCTATCTTTACATATGAACCCCCTCTTCTCTCTGTAGATTGACCTCTCTATGATCATGACCTATCTTTACATATGAACACCCTCTTCTCTCTGTAGATTGACCTCTCTATGATCATGACCTATCTTTACATATGAACACCCTCTTCTCTCTGTAGATTGACCTCTCTATGATCATGACCTATCTTTACATACAATACCGCCCAGAAGTTATTGGGCATGTTTTTGCGGGGCGGGTTTTCCCCGATGGGTATTTCACGATAAAATCACGATAAAATATCGATGAAATACAGATAGAATCACGATAAAAATCACGATAATTTGCACACTAGTGAATGGTTTCCTCTATCGGGGGATGCGCGTAACCCGCCTAATCCCCCGATAGTCTATCGTGTTTCATGGTGCGAGTATTTGCAACTAGTCAAGTCATGTCCTCTGCAAGCGCATGTCTTGCTCATCGCGCGCGCTAAGTCTTGATAATTTGTACGCGCAGTTCCGTATGTGTCTTTGTTTACGTCACAATAGAAAGTATTCACGAGTAAACATTACACACAGTTAAATACTAGTAAAAGCCGTCGCTATAAAATCACTGACACTGGGCGCGGATAAGCATCGGGTACTGATGCGGTGAAGCAACGAGTAGATCTAACTATATTCAAGTTGCAAAAACTTGCATGATTTGCATTCATTGAAATTATAATTGTGAGCACAATACCTTTCATTTTCACTGCCATATTTTCTGTTCGCCTACTCCAGATATGCGTATCTCATTCCACAACCATGAAAGTGGTGAATAAATTCAATTCAATTCAATTCAACCTCTACCAAATAAAATAAAAATATTCCCAAGATCGTCGCTTCAGAAAACACGCACGCGATCAGATTCTTTCATTTGCCCTATCAGTATCACTGACAAGACTGCCGTAAGAAGGGTCTCCACCCCTAAAAAAGAAAACGTCCAATCATGGACATTCTTGCCTACTGGTCACGCGTAAAAGTTGCCAGGTGGACTAGTAACCAAGGTTACCAAAACACGCGTAAATAAACATTTTTAGTCGACGGCATTGGATGATTGATAAATAATAAAATCTGTAAAAATGGCATGGATCAATTACTGTAACTGTCTTCGGAGTGTGGATTAGACCAGAGTTGAATTAACAGGAAAACATGTAGGAGAGAGAGAGATAATTGAGAGGGAGGTAGTGTTGAGCTGGATATAGATGAAGATATTATTCGAGAAGGAAAGGAGTTATGATCGAGGTCAGGATGGGGAAAAAAACAAATAAAATGGATAATTATCTACTTAACAGGGTTGACTAAATATAAGTAGGCAAGACACCAATACGTTAGTCTATTTTCCGTACACGAAAACGTTCATGGGTGGAGAAATGTGACAAAGAAGAGGGTGAGAGCATGGACCTACGTATTTGGAGAGCAAGAGAGACGAGAGGAAATCCCACTAGTATCTTCACGAGGGGGGGGGGGGGACTACACGTAATAGAGAGAGAGAGAGAGAGAGAAAGAAAAATGTTTGATGGGAGCGCAGGCTAGCGAAATCATACTAAGGGAGACATTTACGTACATTTACTTTTGAGAAATAAACAGTAGGATTATGTCTGCCACATGCGTTGAGAGCTGGCTCCCCTCGGCTGACACATCGTAAATAACAAAGATAACATTCAATGACATTTTTAACCGAAGATTGAAAACTAGGTCATTCACACCTCTTTTTCTTTTTATCATTTATAATTACTTTGTACGATGGCGATGTTAAAAAATAGGATGTTGGAAAGGAAGAAAAAAAGTTGGATCGTAGATTAAATGACATTGATTTGCAAAACTGGAACGATGAAGTTCATGAAGTTCATGTTTCAATTACAGAATTTTTAAACAGGAAATCGGTTTGGAAGAATATATGTTAAAGTTGGATTTCAGTGATAGAACATCTCTTTATAAATATCGATGTGGTAATAGTAAGCTGCCCTGCCGTCTGCACCTGACCGTCACTAAAGTCAGCCTCTAGAAATTGTAGAATTGTGTTCCATATGTGATCTCAAAGTACAAGATGATGCATTTCATTATGTTCTCGTATGTCCAGCCTTTGGCTTTGATTAACATTCGCAATTATTTGTTAAGAGATAGTTAGTCAATTTAAGATTAAGAATTAAAACAAACCTTTCAACCTTTTAGATTCATTCATGGTTTGCTGCTTCGCATTAGAATATGACATAGATTTTATTTTTAAAAGCAGACCCGTATCACTATCATTCGCGAAGTTGTGTTTTATTTTTGTGGACATTTTTACAATAATAGCTCCTGTTCTAGTCCCTCTAACGTTTATTCGCGCTAATAATATTTATAATTAATTTGCCTGATGTTGCATTCAATTCATTTATGGTTTGCTGCTTCGCAATCGGATATAAAATAAATGATAATTTTAAAAGCAAACTCGTATCATTGGCGACGCAGGGGGGGGGGGGGGTGTGGAGGGGAGAAGAAAAGAAAAGGAAGGAGGGGAAAAGGAAGAAGAGTAAATCTAAAAATCAAATCAAATAGACAGACGAAACAAGCAGAGAACTTCATCAATCGGAAATTCTAATTTTTTCGCCAATGAATTGAATGTTTAAATGACAAGAGAGCTTACGTACATTTCATATTGTGTTTCAAGTGTTTCTAAACAATGGGTTTGGAGTCAAGGTGTCTGGCAGCATGTGGTTATCTCAGAAGTTAGTATAAACAGATCATGTTCGCGCCGTAAGATCACGTGATCATAGTAGTGATGATTGAACCTTCGAGAGAAAACTATAAGCGCGTGCATTTTTTTAAATCTTTACCACATCATCTTTTCTGTTTTTTTATTTCTTTGTTTTACCTTTTCTCGAAATATAAATATGTGTATGTATTCCCTTCGCTTGTTCCTTACGGTTCAAGGAGAATTACCCCCTTGCACAATCACCCCCCTTTGTTTAATTCCTTGTTTTTCTCGCTATCAATTCGATCAATCATTTTTTTTTTTTTTTATCCTTATTTCTTACCATATGTAGATCTTTGTTAAGCCGTTATTATTTATTATTATTATCATTATTAATCATTCTTCTGGTTTATTCCTTCGTAAATGTGTTTTAATACTTTATGTTTTTCTTAGATTTCTTTCTATCATTTTATATTTTGTCCTCAATCCTCGTGTATTTCTTTGTTATTTCCTTATGTATTACTCCAATTTTGATTACGGGAGCTTGCCAACCCAGGTATGTGTACATGTATTTAGCTTGCATGCAAACTGAATGTCATAAAATGGAGATCGAGATCGAGGGGTTTTCCAATTCCGGGAATCCCTGAGCGCGCGCACTACATATCAAATTTCAACTACTTTGTGGACCACGAGGTACATTGGCTGATCGAGATCGCGTTGCTTTTGTTTTTGATAATACTGGTTTATGAAAATGGCGTTTGCGGTCTGTGGCAAAATTTGTAATGTGTAGGGACAGGGTCAACCGATTGGTATTATGAATGAATAAAATAATAATATTTTTTTTATTATTTGGAGTTACGGATCCTTTATTTATTCTGTTAATTTTCAATTCTCTATCTCTCTTAATTATCTTTGTCTGATATATTTCACTCTTCACTCCCTTCCCTCTTTCTTTTCTGTCCCTGTCACGCTAACGGTAACGGTACCCCTCCGCCTCTTCTCGCCTCTTCTCTCCTCTTCCCTTAATTATTCACGCCTTCCTGAAAATCTCACAACATACACATAATTCTTCTAGAAATAACAGCCGCATTTATCCATAAATTCTAAGATTCTACCCACATATTAGATCTGATATGTACATGTAATGATGAATACTCTCGATTAGACAGAAATAACCGTCTGATATGGGTCATTACTCTTGATAAATCTTACATTTGTCAACATTCCTCATGCTCATACACAGACGGTGACCCTTACGGCTCGCACGACGGGGGGGGGGGGGGGGGGGGGGGTGAGCCTTTCTTTTCTTCCCGTTTTTCCTTATTTAGATCTAATTTTCCGATCAATAAATCGGACATAAGAAACTATGTATATTTCTTAAAATTCTTACAATTTTAATCAAGTAATTGCAATGGCGAAATTTAGGCGAATTAGATCACGCGTTTATGAATATCAAAATATCACCGGGTCAAGCTGTGCTGACTCGTACGCACATGTAGGTATCGGACGTCCGGGAAAAAAAGAGCATTCATTAACTCAAATCAAGATGGCTGCACAACAAATAATGTTAACGACAAGTCTTTCTCGGATTAAACATAAGCGGAATAGCCGTCGATATTAGAGACTGAAGCTTTCGGTCTAACTCTTGATATACTCTCGGATCTCCTCTGCCATGATATGAGCTATCCCAAACATTCCTCCCCCCTCAAATAAAAAAAAGATGTCGTATCGTGGGAAAGGCCAATTAGACACCTGGTTCTTGGTTTCTGCACTTCTCTCATCGGATAACTTTTCTCTCCGCATGCGCAATCCCAAACATTCCCCGTACGCGTAGCACATTGTCTCGTGTATTTATGCATGGAATGAAAAGAGCATTCATTCACGCTTTTGTGATGTAATAATCAAGTGATTGTGACGTCAGTGGCAAGCGCGCATCGGTATGTTTGAGGATGCGCAGGCTCAGCAAGCGTATAAATACAGCATGCTGTGCGCAGTTCTATCGTGATATAAAGGAAATATCACGATATGCATCGGGGATTTAGCGAGTTGATCAAGTTGAGGAAAAAAATCATGATAGAGATGTATACAAATCACGATGTTTCTCACGATAAAAACACGATAAAACCCGTCTACAATCACGCTAACCTCCTATCGTGAAACACGATCCCGCATGCCCAATAACTTCTGGGCGGTATTGTATGAATACCCTCTTCTCTCTGTAGATTGACCTCTCTATGATCATGACCTATCTTTACATATGAATACCCTCTTCTCTCTGTAGATTGACCTCTCTATGATCATGACCTATCTTTACATATGAATACCCTCTTCTCTCTGTAGATTGACCTCTCTATGATCATGACCTATCTTTACATATGAATACCCTCTTCTCTCTGTAGATTGACCTCTCTATGATCATGACCTATCTTTACATATGAATACCCTCTTCTCTCTGTAGATTGACCTCTCTATGATCATGACCTATCTTTACATATGAATACCCTCTTCTCTCTGTAGATTGACCTCTCTATGATCATGACCTATCTTTACATATGAATACCCTCTTCTCTCTGTAGATTGACCTCTCTATGATCATGACCTATCTTTACATATGAATACCCTCTTCTCTCTGTAGATTGACCTCTCTATGATCATGACCTATCTTTACATATGAACACCCTCTTCTCTCTGTAGATTGACCTCTCTATGATCATGACCTATCTTTACATATGAATACCCTCTTCTCTCTGTAGATTGACCTCTCTATGATCATGACCTATCTTTACATATGAATACCCTCTTCTCTCTGTAGATTGACCTCTCTATGATCATGACCTATCTTTACATATGAATACCCTCTTCTCTCTGTAGATTGACCTCTCTATGATCATGACCTATCTTTACATATGAATACCCTCTTCTCTCTGTAGATTGACCTCTCTATGATCATGACCTATCTTTACATATGAATACCCTCTTCTCTCTGTAGATTGACCTCTCTATGATCATGACCTATCTTTACATATGAATACCCTCTTCTCTCTGTAGATTGACCTCTCTATGATCATGACCTATCTTTACATATGAACACCCTCTTCTCTCTGTAGATTGACCTCTCTATGATCATGACCTATCTTTACATATGAACACCCTCTTCTCTCTGTAGATTGACCTCTCTATGATCATGACCTATCTTTACATATGAATACCCTCTTCTCTCTGTAGATTGACCTCTCTATGATCATGACCTATCTTTACATATGAATACCCTCTTCTCTCTGTAGATTGACCTCTCTATGATCATGACCTATCTTTACATATGAACACCCTCTTCTCTCTGTAGATTGACCTCTCTATGATCATGACCTATCTTTACATATGAATACCCTCTTCTCTCTGTAGATTGACCTCTCTATGATCATGACCTATCTTTACATATGAATACCCTCTTCTCTCTTTAGATTGACCTCTCTATGATCATGACCTATCTTTACATATGAATACCCTCTTCTCTCTTTAGATTGACCTCTCTATGATCATGACCTATCTTTACATATGAATACCCTCTTCTCTCTTTAGATTGACCTCTCTATGATCATGACCTATCTTTACATATGAATACCCTCTTCTCTCTTTAGATTGACCTCTCTATGATCATGACCTATCTTTACATATGAATACCCTCTTCTCTCTGTAGATTGACCTCTCTATGATCATGACCTATCTTTACATATGAATACCCTCTTCTCTCTTTAGATTGACCTCTCTATGATCATGACCTATCTTTACATATGAATACCCTCTTCTCTCTTTAGATTGACCTCTCTATGATCATGACCTATCTTTACATATGAATACCCTCTTCTCTCTTTAGATTGACCTCTCTATGATCATGACCTGTCTTTACATATGAACACCCTCTTCTCTCTGTAGATTGACCTCTCTATGATCATGACCTATCTTTACATATGAATACCCTCTTCTCTCTTTAGATTGACCTCTCTATGATCATGACCTGTCTTTACATATGAACACCCTCTTCTCTCTGTAGATTGACCTCTCTATGATCATGACCTATCTTTACATATGAACACCCTCTTCTCTCTTTAGATTGACCTCTCTCAAGAAGGGGGATGCCGGTCCTACAGGTTCCCCAGCCTCTACCCGATGTAACACACCAGACCTAGCTGATAATGTGGTGAGAGATCTAGCTTGTTCTCTACTGCAGGTATCCCAAGGTACAGACATCAAATACCTCAAGGCACCACTGGGTAGGTTACTTATCTTCTCTCATGCACAATTATCTCTGGATTACAGCTAATACCAAGTGAAATATTTACATACTTCTACTTCATGGCAAAACAATTGCTTTTTTAAATCTTGTAAGTCTGCTTCCCGACCATGATAAGATTGAAATTAAACGGGGATTAGCTCAGCTAATTCTGGGGTGATAGCAGTACAGTGCCTAGAAACATTATAATTCAGTGCTGTTTAAGTGTATTATTATTTTTCATTGTTGTTATTATTATAATTATTATTTTGTTTCTAGGAAACCCAGAAGAAAACAAACCAATGACAAGAACAAGGAAGAAGCAAGAGGAAGAGAAAGAAGAAGAAGAAGAAGAAGATGAAGAAGGTGAGATATTGGATTCAAAATCACTCATGCATGGAATTAGCTAAGTACCTTCTACAGAATGGACATGTATACATGTTTGGAATTGAAGGAAGCTTATTATGTCTTTGGTGTTTACACCAACAAGATGATTCAAGAAGAAAAATGATATTTACTGTATTACTTTGAAAGCCCATTTTTGCTTTGGAATATTCACTTTGACAACATGTATATGGACAAATATTCTATCACAGCCGTAGAACGAATTCTCTTTTAAACAGTTTGTATTACCTACACGAATAAAGAATAATTTGTCTTAAGAAATCAGTAATAATAATGATTGCTCACATTTATAATGCGCCTAATACTTTGTTTCTAGGCACAGTACATATTGCCAATTTGATTTAAAAACAGTTTATTGAATCTTTAGAAATTTCTTGTTATTAATAAGTAAAGACATTTATGAAAAATACCTTATTTCCTACTTTAATATTGGTATCATTGGAAATAAGAACAATCTTATAAGGTCTGAGTCAATTGGTGACCTGAAGGGTCCCAAACTGTTGCACTTCCGTAACACAGTGAAATGATAATAGGGAGATACTAGGTAGTCATTGTTATTGATGTAATCCAGCCGATTTTCAATCATACATGTTAATTTCTCCTTTCCCTGCTCTGCTGCCCTCTTTGGTTTCCTGCAGTATTATAATGGCTTGCATCGAACAAGCTCAAAACTCCTCCAAAAACATTATTTCTGTGTTAGCAAGGTATTTTTTTTTCTTGTTCCCTTTAACATGATATTTTTGTTTCAATGTAAAGCATGACAAAGTTCACTTCTAACTTCTGACTCAAGAAACTGAAGAGATTCATTTCATATCGTCTCATTTAGGCAATGTCCATTCACATGGATAGTTTGTATTGATTATAAATAAGGCAATGCAGTTTAGCTTAAAAGCAGCTCTAAAAACAACCTATTTATTTGCCCCATGAGGCACACACCCAGTTAACCATGTCCTGTATCTCTCTTATACAGAGAAGAAACCGAAGAAGACTTGTCGTGAGTGTTGGGAGGAATCATTGATGGCTTGTACCAGCCTGTCTCAGATCTTCCTTCATCTCTCAACCCTTGAACGATCAGTCACATGGAATAAATCTATCTTGAAGGCTCGTTGCAGGATGTGCCGTCGTGGTGGCAACCCTGAAGCTATGTTGCTGTGTGATAGCTGCAACAGAGGCCACCACATGTTCTGCCTCAAACCCCCTCTCAAGGTATGAAACATTGCATCAAATATTGCTCACTACAGTTAAAACCTTGGCTTTGGAATCTGCTATTGGAAATGTTTATGAGTTTGTAGCTATGTGGATCTCCAAAGCTGCAATGTAAAAGAATGAATACTTGATAAGGATATCTGTATGTTCCTGCTAAGTGGTATGAAAGAGACAGGTGTAAGGATGATATTCTTAGTCTGATTTTAGGTGAAGAAGAATTCATGAATACCTCTGCTCTATGAAGTTCTCAGTATTTGTCTCTTTTGTGTGCTGGAAAAACAGGTGCATGTCAAAAGATTGAAAATCAGCCCACATCTGTGTGCGGCTATCATCCACTTTTATTATGCAGCTATGTTGACTTATTAATATTTTTGTCTCTCACTTTTTGTTACCTCAATAACTGGAAATTCATTGAACAGATTTTAACTGAACTTGAAATCATGTATATTTAGTACTGTGTCAGCCTGAACTGATTAAATTTTTGGATTTAGGAAGACAATTCTTTTAGATTTAGAAGACAAAGTTCTAGAGTCGTAAAAGTATTTAGAATCCCCAAAATATCTTATTACGGAGTATTCAATTATTTGAATCAAACATGATATTATGTTAACTTAGTTTATTACTAGATATATTTTTGCTGGCAATTATGATGAGCATACTTTCTCACTACAACTGAACTGTAGATCATATTGAAAGATGTGACTGTCTTTTCTGCTTGTAGAAAGTTCCAAAGGGGGAGTGGTTCTGCAAAGACTGCGCCCCTAAACAAATCAAGAGGAGCCCTCATAAACAGAGAGCTAAGAAGAAACCAGTCGTAGTGGAATCATCTAGTGAGGAGGAGGAAGAAGAAAGTGAAGATGACTCAGAGGAGGAAGAAGAAACCCAAGAAGAGGAGGAAGTGGAAAGTGAAGAAGAGGAGATGGAAGTTGATGTTTCTGAAGAAGAAGAGGAGGAGGATGAGGAAGAAGATGAAGAGGAGGAGGAAGATGAAGAGGAGGATGAAGAAGATAATGAGAGGTAAAGTATATCAACCTTCATTCGGTGAAAGTTATTTTACTTGTATTACTAGTATTTGTATGAAATATTACAGGGTTGTTTTTACAAGCAAATGCTAGGAAACTCTGAAAAGCAAGGCAAACTTATAAGTACAGATCTGCTGACATGGATATGTACATATGGGACTTTGTATTGTATTACGAGCCCTTAAGGCTCAGTTCAGATTAAACAAATTAAATGCAGAAAACCACCGCAAGAAAAAGGCCACTTTTTTATTACGTGTAAATGAATAGTTACTGCATTCAACAAAGGTTCTAGGCATTTACCTCTGTGTTATACAATAGGAAATTGGCAGCGTATTTCACTTTACATCATAAAAAACACTGATTTACTGCTGCATATCTGAGCAATGCTTTTGAGGTGTCATATGGTCTCATCTTTCCTTGTATAGTACTTTGTCTTTTCTATTTTGTTTAGCATACAAGACAAGATTTCTTTGTAGATTTTGACATTCAGTCTGTATCAGTTGGATTCTGTCAGAATTCAGCATAGCTTTTCATATTGGCTACTCATCTTTTTTATATTCTTTCAATTTCGTTTGTTTCTATTACTGATACTGCAGTGTGTTAAGTGTGTTGTTGCTGCATTAGTTTTACCTAATTCTCTCTCAATAACTCACTTTTTCCAGTAAAGAGGTTTTTTATTTTTGTGAAAAGATTGTGTCAGTTTACACATTTCTGGCTATATTCATACGTTTTATTTTCATGTATTTATAATATGGTAAACCCAAGAAACCATTGTATCAAATTGTATGGTTCAGAAACTAAAAATGTGGTTCTGGGAAATTAAACCTTGTGAGGTATCAATGATAATTCATTGTATTAAATGGTATTTCATTTTATTTCAGAATTAAATGGCATGATATTTCTAGATCCCTAAACCGAATGTAAATTTGACTAAGTTTTATTACTGAAATAAAAACCAAACTGATCTTGCTTATTGGCTTATGAGACATGATATTTCTTCATTTTTAATAATTTTCTGTTGATGCAAATCTTTCATGTTCAATTGATATACAGTCAAACCTGTCTTCAGCGACCGCCCAAGGGAAACACAAAAAGTGGTCTTTGTAGACAGGTTCCTTTAGTACATGTTTCAATGAGAAACCATTTTCAAGAAAAACAAAAAATCTGGTCCTTGTAGACAGGTGGTCACTAAAGCAGGTTTGACTGTACAAGCCATATCATCAAAGTTAGCTTCAGTTTTGGCTGTTTGGTTCATTAAGTAGATTTTAACTCTTTCTACGACATACAAAATTACTTTTTTGTTATATTTTGATGATGGTGCAGTGGTTTCAATCTTGCCTCTTTGCTATGCCCTATCCACTTTGCTCATTATGTAAAAGGAAACTGGATGCCATGAACCGTGTAGCTCGTAGGGGACTCGGTGCTCTTGATCACAATGAGCTATGTCAGTCATGTGGACATGCTGGCCAGCTCATACTCTGCCATGACTGCCCTATAGTCTACCACTGTGAATGCCTAGATCCTCCCCTAAGTAAACTTACCCAAGATCACTGGTTCTGTCCACTATGTGTCATGGATCGTACCACCAACGGGTAAATCACATGTTGTGTCTATCCCAGTCTTCTACCCAATGCATCTAGAAGTAAAAACCCGGCATGTGTTTGATCCCTTCCATCCATCCATTCATCCAACATTCCCTCAGATTAATGAGAAGCTCCCCTCTCAATCCCTTGACCCTGTATGTAATCATGTCTTGTGTCTTGCATGTTGGGAAACGGCTTTGATGAGTAGTGTGAGGGTCATGGGCCAAAAATGGTGAAGAATCTCTGCTCTAACTAAAATTTCTCTGTGACATGTGTGTCTTAATGACATTGCAACTTAACAAAAAAAAGCAACCTATGTATGAAGTTTCTATCGCATATCAATCTATATTACCTTACTTTTCAAGATTCAATAGGGGCTTCATCCAATATATAAATCCTTCCATATGTTGTGACCAAGATGGGACTTTGATGATTTCAATTTCTCTTTTGACATCAATAATGGCACAATGTTTTAATATGTGTATTACAACTTCTCTGCATATATGTCGAGGTCCCTGAATACCCTATCTCATGCATGTTTATGTGTGCTCCTGCATTGTGGTATGGAAGAGACGGAATTGACGGATACTTCTTTGAAGGTCTGATGATCTGTCTCTTTCATACAATGTTTGCTCCGGAATCTGATCTCAATCTCTGTATGTCATAATTGCATGCCATAACCATCATAACTTGTTTCTTATTGTAAAGCTTTACTATGTTCTCCATTCTTCTTAACTGTTGTTTATTTTCCTTTTTAACATTTGAAATTTATCATATTTTATGCAGCAATTATGATAACAAGATCTGATTTAGGCCAAGATCAATAATTTTTCAAAATCTCTCAAAATACAAAAATATGTATAAAGTGCTAGCACATGCTTGAAGAGTCCAACAAGTTCTTTGTCCACTACGTCACAACTTCACAGGTGATCCCTGGAAATTTGTACAACATGGCTGCATCTAGTAGGAGCAGATGATGCCTTAAGTTGATAAATTTACACTTTTAGATGAGTTAATTGTAGGCCACTCAGTGAGCAAAATGTAATGATGTACCGGTGTACATTATATCAATAGCAGAATACAAAATTATGAGGCGGGGCTTCCAAACTTCTGATAAAAGAAACCTCACCCCAGAGTAGAAGTGTAGGTATTCTGAAAAATGAGATGTATTCCTGCCCTTTGATGTAAAATATTCTTTACGAAAATGTACAAGAGACAAGTATAAATAAATATATTCTTGGCATGATGTGACACCTTTTATCATGAAATGGGCGCAGCCATTTTCTTGAAAATGTGACGCACTTGGTGAAGTTGTAGAAGTATCATGCACTAAGCTTTAGTTGGAAAGACTTTTAAAACAATAACAAAACCTTTACTTTTCAATGAGGAAAAATCATACCTCAGAAGAAAGAAATTTTATTTGGTGAAAAATATATATCAGGGGAACAGTTGTACCTTATTCATTTAAAAATACTTAAATATAGCAGTTGACAAATCTATTTCATTTATGAGAAACATTCACCCCGGAAGAGCACAAACTTATTAATGCAATTAGCGTTCTGGAAATTGTAGTGCAAAGGATAATAGCAGGTGAATGAAATGCTTCATCACCACACACACCTGGAAAAGAAGCATCCCTAAATTTGAATAAATTTCCTTGATAAATGACTTCACGTAGTACGTCGTGTTATCAAGAAAATAGCGATGCCCATGTCGTGCTGAGAAACTGTACATTACTCTTGTGTGGGGAATCTTGTAGATTAATGGGCAAGATAATAATAAATCTCTCAGAATAAGTAAAGTTATTTCTTGGGGTGAGGTTTCCTTTAATGATGCTCATCCTGTACTCCTTTCTTAAGGAAAGTATCCTTGTATGATCTACAATTGCTTTGTTTCAAATGTTCATATGCTAAACATTTTAGTTGAATAGAGTAGAGGTATTGTATTTGATGTTCAGCTGCAATGTTTATTATGATTGCCCATTAGTGTGCATGGAATATGGTCCTCACTAATGATTACTAATTCTCTTGTCTCCAAACTAAAAAGAAGTGCATGGTTGTTATTGTATACATGTTATTGACTGTAGTGATATTGTATCAAATCACTAGATACATGTGCAAAACTTGAACACGTACCTCTATTCTCTAATGTGCATGACATTTGATTTGTTGGTAAAATTTAAGTGGAAATATCCAACATCTTTGATAGCAGTTGACCTGGCAATATAGGCTAATTGCTTGATTTTCAATTAAATTATTAATTCTTACATCACATTTATATGATGGACATTTCACTGTTACATTACAGCAAGGGCTCTCTGCTTGATCTTATATTGGAGAGTGGGAGTTTGAAAGATTTTGTGAAAATAAAATGGGTCCTCATATATCTGGATAATGAAAGAATCTTTGAGAATAATCTACCTATAGACTGCTGTTTGTGTTGATTCCTAGTATATGTTTATGCTGTGGTAGAATTATGCATTAATCAATCTCCAATGCGTTATTTGATTATTGTAATATTGTTTGGGAAACTTGAACCAGTTTAGCAATATATAGCATGCGTACATTGTATCGGGGTATTAATAGAACCTCCATTTTGAATGCCTTATCCTGCAGTGCTGACTCTGAGGAGGAAATGGGAAGCAATGATGGTGAGATAGAACATGAGGATGTTTGCTCTCGATGTCGTCATGGTGGTGAGCTGATATGTTGTGATACCTGTCCCAAGGCTTTCCATATGGAGTGCTGTAAGCCAGTCCTACGCAAGGTGCCTAAAGGACATTGGGAGTGTGAGAACTGCAAGAAGGGAACCAAGTCTGCTGCTATCAGAGTACCAACAGGTAACAAAGGTGCGTTCTTTCACTGTGTTTCAACTAGTTTTAGACTATTTTATTTTGACTGGAGAATGTTAACCAAACTGTATACAATATTTGTATGTATGAGCATGAAAAGATTAAATGAAAAGAGTTTGGTATCCTGAAGTCAGTTGTTAAAGGTCATCGGATAATTGATCAAAGAAAATACAGGCAGAGGCATATTAGAGACGCAGTCACATTCATTTTAATTATTTAAAAAATTGTTTTCGATTTATAATGGAGAAAAGAAACAGTATAGAAAGCAATCATTAATTTTTGTAGGAAAAAAAAAATGCTTTGAAACTGATTATGTGTACTGTTATCAGGCCCAGCTAAGAAGTTTAGCAGCAAACCTGCCAAGAAGGAAAGTCCTAAGACCCAGCCCAAGGCTCAGGCTCAGGCTCAGGAGAAGACTGGCTCAAGGAGCAGATCTCAGAGTAGAGGAAGACAGTCAAGACAAAACACACCAGAACCTAACCAATCAAACAAGACTTCAAAGAAAGATGCTCAACCTATCTCAGGCTCTAGTGGCAAGAAGAGCCAACTAAGCTCTCAAGATAAGAAGGGACAACAATCTTCATCGTCTCAGGAGAGCAGAGGCCGGTCAAAGGTACAGGAGAAGGGAGGTCGAGGGTCATCTCTAGACAGGAGGGGTCAGAAGAGGGGCATGAGTATGGAATCTACAGACTCTGAGTCATCACAGGAAGAAGTTCAGAAGAAAAAGAATTCTGGGAGAAGTCTCTTCAAAGTAGCTCTCAATGGAAGTCTGAATGCAGATGGTTAGTGTGATAGATCATTGCTTCTCTCTGAACGAAAAAGACAATAATTCAATAAATGAAAATATAGATGCATGGGGATTTATGTATCATTAAAAATGCATGATTTGGTAAATGGTGAAGGGGGTTGAATATGCAATGCAAGGTCCAATGTCATCTTTTCCTCTGCTAAATTTATTTTTTAAAAGATTGTAAATTGTTTTGGTGACATGAAATAAATGTTAGTTTCGAAATTAGAAGTTTGTGCACATTTTCCCTTGAATCAATCATAGAAACAGTACATTAGAGCAGTAATATTTCATTTCATACAGAGTATTTGTAAATTGTGTTGGTAGCAATTTTCTCTGAAGTTGATACGCATTCCCTAGCATATCATGTTTAAATGTATGGCATTAAATCCTGAAAAACCAATTATACTGTTTTGCCCATGAATTTGGTAAAAATGTTCTATGCTCAGCTATATTTTGTCAATGAATCAAAAATGAAATTTGCTTGATTATTGTGCTGCAGATTCCGCTTCCGATTCTTCAGGACCATCAGCCAAGAACCGCAGGACATCCAGTGGGCGTGGTAGGGGTGATTTGACTCAGCTTAATAAATGTGAAGCATTACTGAAGGAACTCATCAAACATCCAGATGTTCGTCCATTCCTCAATGCTGTCAGCAAGAAAGCGGTCAGTAAAATCACAATGTCATTCTTTGTTCAATGTGTACTCTTTCTTTAATATGTTTAAGTTTCACAATGTGCATGCATAGAGGGACTTACTCTTCACCTGGTGTACTGAAATGCTTGTGATGAGGGAATTGCATCATTGCATTATATTGGCATTGATGGAACTTTCATTGTAGTTTTGATTCCATCTATCCAGTATGCTCAATCTAATGTTATTTAGAGCTTAGTTTTGAACATGTTCAGTCTCAAGTTTCACGTTTATTTCACATTTCACAAATAAAAGGAATTTACATATTTGACAAAATTAGAACATAATATGAAATATACTGAAAGTGTCACATTATATAATTAATTCTTTGAAAAGACGTCGAAATTAATTGTAATGAATAGAAGTTTATACAGAGTGAAATGTGAGGAACCTATTAAAAAGCTCAGCTTGTAGATTATAGGTTCCCATAAATAAAACTAACATTTGATTGAAGTAGTTGTAATGGTAGAGGACATAACTATACTATACAACTAGGAAGACAAGGATATTCAAACCTTATAGATAGATATAGATAGTTTATTGGTTTCCACAATATCTCATTTTACAAAGGGTGTAACAAAATATTGGAAAATGATTATAATATACATGTACATACAATACCGGTACACACTATTCAGACAATTTCCCTTCAGTTTAACTTAAATAGTGAGAGAGCCTGTGGATGATAGGCTCCTTAAACTACAAATGACATAATTACCTCAAGTTAGGTTTATAAAATACCAATGCACGCTAAAACAGGGAAAGGGAGATTATATATATAGCTCAATATATCACACCATTACATCCTATGCATACTTGGATTGATTCTCATAGAGGTGAAGATAGTGTGCTTAATACTGTGTGTAAACTGTCATAGTGACAAGCATGACAGTCTTAACCCAAAACTCTTTATTTGTGGCACAAATAAATCATCCTCAAACCTACGATGGCTAGCGATAAAGATTTGGTTAAATTGTGATTTCTTTGATATTTTGATAGACTGCTTCTGGAGACCTGTACCTATAACAGTTTTCTTTGTGTTGCTACGAGATATAAGTAGATCATCCTGTATGTGGATAGCCACTTTACCCATCACCCATCTCTCTCTCTTTCTCTTTCTCAGGCCCCTGACTACTACCGCATCATCAAGCGTCCCATGGACTTTGCATCCATGCAGACCAAAGTCAATGACTACCAGTACTCTAGCGCAGCAGAGCTTATCGCTGACGCCAGACTCATCTTCACCAACTGTCAGCAGTACAACCGGCGTTCTAGCTCTGAATACAAGGCTGGTCTTAAGATGTCTACCTTCCTTGAGAAGCGTATTAAGGAGTCAGACATTGAGGTTAGTCTTGAAGACGGTCCTACCGACCAGGATACACCCACATCAAGGAAGAGCTCACGACAACGATAAATCTTCAATATCTCAGGATGCCGTGTGTTTTCTCTTTGTTGATGTTAATAAGATTGTGAGTTTGTTGTGTTGGGTTATTTATGATTGCCTTTTCAGTTGGTTTTGCAAGAGCAGATTCTATTTTCTTCTGCATGTTCCTGGTCTAGAGTGATGAGCTATAAAGGTATATGCGGTCGTCTTTTCCAGAAAAGACCTATGGCTTACCTGTGTTAAGGTCATGAAGTAAAGTTTGATTTTTGACATCATTTCAACAAGTTAATGTGACTTTTGTAAAGTTATTCATTTGTTTTGCCCCACTTTTACCAGAATCACTATAAGTGATTGTGGGATTTTCTTGGAGAGAAATCAGTCATTATAATTTTCTTATATTCAAGAGTGTAGTATGCTGTACCGTAGTCATTATTATAGTTTTCTTAGTTTTATCAGTTTTATATGGTGGTATGAATTTTCTACTAAATATTGAGAAAAAAAATTAACAAAAAACATGTAGTATAAGAAAATGAAATTTGCTGTAAATATAGTGTTGATGAGGTTACTAGCATGCTTACAGACAAAGGTGTTGCAGCATTTGAAAGTGAATGTATTTATTGGATATTTGCTTTGAGAAGCCCTGTTCTGTGGAAAGTAATATAAATTAACCAAGATTGGTTATGTTACACATTTCTTTAAAAACTAATTTGTCCTGAGACCTTGAGTAATTTAAGTCATTTTAATATTTAATACAATTTAAGTTCAATTGGAAAGGCCTTTACATAGGATGAAATTTGTTTCTACATGCTTGCATGCTTATGATATTGACATGTCGTAATAAGTTGTAATCTCTGTGTACTTTACGTGTTAAGAAGTTATCATTCTGATAATAGCATGTTGATGAAACAAGGCTTGGTATCAATACACTTTGATAGAAGCAACATTGAAGATAGCTATATTGTCATTTTACCTCTTCTACATTAGATTGAGGGATGTATTCTTCATAGTAGTTCATGTGTACAATGGAAGGCTAATCTTATTTCATGATTATATAGAAAGAGGTTATCCCAGATCAACTTTAAAACAAAATTAAAAAAATAAAAACGAAAATAAAGCATTAAAGAAAAGAAAATGTCTTCCTTTTTGTATACAAGAGGCACTGTAGGAACAACCTTTTTTTTTCTTTCTCTCTTTCTCCGTTATTTTGTTAATATTATAAATAGTTGAGTATAAAGTGCCCTCTATTGTTAATGCTTCTCAATATGGTGTGGTATCGCAGCACAAGAATGGTTGTAGATGTAGTTAGTGTAGTTTAGAGCTTTGCCTGTACTAGGTGTATTTTCTTTCTTTTAATTTCACCTCTATTTCATTTTGATGGTGACAAAAAAACAAACATTGGATACAAATACTCATAATGTTGAATATTGCTCTCCATTGTTTTCAAGTTTGGGGAAGATTTGAAAATTATTTAATATTTTCATAGACTGTAAAAAGATCTGTAAATAGTCAATTTTTTGTACTCCAGTACCAGTTGAGCTTCTCATCCCTCTTTATCTAAAGGTCCTTGCACTCCTGTTGTAAACACTATTTACCAAGATTTTTATTCCAGAAAATCTGTTGTATATGATTCAATTTTCAAGATTGGTAAGATAGTAATATGATTGCATTTCATGTAAATGTCCCTATGTGTTGCCGTCACTATAGATGTACCTTACATTTAATGGGAATAAGTCAGGTTCTTAAGGGGTATACCTCTGTTTCTATTAACTCCACAGACTGCTTGTATTTCCCATTACATTTTGAATGATTCAAAGTAAAATTGCAATTGTAAGCATTTATATGCATCTACATTTTGCAGATAATATAGAAGATCAAACAGATACATGCAGTGTAGATAATTCTACCACGGTAAATACATGTAACTTATCCAGCCACAATAGTAGAAATGCTTAAATAAAAATTGGTTGTCATTTTGGTTTGTTTTTGTTGCTGGAAATTGATAGGGCCTATGCGTAATGAAAACAAAAAAAAGGCAACGACTTGAAGAAAAAAAAAAAATCACATTATGACAGGTCTAGTTCAATAGGTAGGAAGTGAATATACATGTATAGTTACTTTCTTTCATATCAATGAAAACTTTATTTTGCAAAACAATGTAACATTATAGATCTTGCATTTGTCCCTCTAAAATGTTCACTGAACTAAGATGAGCGGTTATTGCCGAACATGTACACCATGCACGGACAGACACACACACACCACCATACAACCCTATTAACCCAACACAATCAAATATATGTTGTTATCAAAACTCTGAAAATTATTCACTGTACATCTATTTTCTGAAATCCAGATGGTTTTTTAGGGTTACCAAACATAGCACATGCATTCAATGGAAAGTCATTTGGCATGTTTTCTTCTTTTTTTTGGGGGGGGGGGGGGGGGGGGGCTTTGTTTGTTTGTTTTTATTTTTGGTTTCCAGAACTCGACCTGCCCTGTGTGGATTAATTCAAATTCCCATTTGCTGTTTAGAATGTTGTGTGGGTCTAGGGCTATTTAAAACGTTGTGTGGGTCAGGGGCTATTTAACAGTCACATGTTGTTAGACATGACGAGAGGTTATTGAGATTGATCAGCAGAATCGCTGGACAATAAAGAATGGTTGAGGACCAAATATCTTTGGACTTTTGTTTTATTTGTGTGTATGGTTGTTAAAACAATGGTTACATGATAGAAGTGAAAGGAAGTGAAAAGGTTCAATAATTGAAAGGGCAATCCAATATTTGCAACTACCGGAAGTTAATTTTTATGAAAGCAGAAAAATGAAGTGAATGGCGAAAGTTTGAAATAAATTGAACAATTTATGAACATTTGAAATATGATATCACTATACATATGCAAATCTTAAGTTGGCAATTTTGTCAGTGGATTGCGCTGTAATAATGGACAACTCTCCTGCTGGCCTTGTACAAAAATATCAATTTCCGTTTTATCGAAATGGCCTTCTCCCTAGGGAGGGGGGGGGCTGTTAAAGATGGTATACTATCATAGGTCATCGGGAAAGAAAAGACCCAATTCGTACATATTAAAGAAAAATACATTTATATTTTAGGGTCATTGTTGTATGGCACAACATCACAGTGATACTACTTGATTCAACCATTTCAAAGCTCCCTCTAGTAAATTTTCTAAAATTCCCAGCTTTCTTATTTTTTTGTCCAATTTAGTTCAAACTGCCATCAATCTGCTTTTGAGTGACTTATACCGTGATGGTCGGAGAAGGCATGAAATATGAAGGTGTGCATGTAGCATAATTTCTCTTCTTCATCCTCTACTTTTCCTTCATCTTCTGGAATAAACCTCTCTCCTTCTTTCGCTCATTCTGAGCATTCTTGATAAAGATCACCTTCTCAGCTAGGCTATGAGCCTGTCCCAGAAATATCCACCTTATTCTATACATACAATTTGACCCCTCAATTTAAACCATTTACTGGGTATTAAACTTGGTGACAAAAAAGGTGCTTGGTCTGACCATGGCTGTACCCCTCGGAGCCCCCTAGCCACTTTTTTCTTGGGGGGGGGGGGGGGGGGGGGGGGTAGAGTGAGGTGACAATTTTTGGACAGGCTCCCAAACTAATAAATATTCACCCACCTTTCTACATCAAAATTTTCCTTTGAAAGTTATACTTCCAATCTCCCTCCCTTCCCCCTTCCCCCTTCCCCTTCTCTCTCTCTCTCTCTCTCTCTCTCTCTCTCCCTCTCTCTCTCTCTCTCTCCCTCATATAATGATTTCTTTATTCCATTGTACATCACAATGTAGATCAAAGATGACCTAAACATACACACTCTGAATACAATATTAATGTTCCATGGACGGTTCTTTTATACAGGAGAAAAATGAATGACAATTCTAAATGCGGCATTCTAAACTTTTTAACATTACTTTCACTTTCTGTCTTGAATACATAGTGTCCATCATTTGCAAGTCACAAAACATTGAGAATGGGAATATCACCATTACATTTTCATATCATCTACAGCAAACTTTGATTAATCTACACATGGTAAAGTAGACCGTGAACAAAGCATTGGCATCATGGAAAGTACCTTGCTATACTGAACATTTATAATAAACTATCAAGGTTTTAAAAAAAATAGACAAAAAAGAATTACCTTGTCCTAGCACGAGTTGTTATTACACTGTTCTTTTTATGAGATTCTGTATATTTTCTTACATTCGAGATACATGCTGGTGAAAGCTTGAAAATGGCTGACCGATGGACCTTTCCATACATAAACCGTTGCACTGTACATTATATACTCTACCATTGATTATAAGTTCTTATCACATTTGTAGACACAATATCTAAAGAACAGCTTGTCCAAAGTCCACAAAACTGACCCAAGTCAATAGTATATCATCTCAGCACCGTAACATTTGTTTAAAACATAGCCTACAGTGTCATCCTTCATTTATCTAAAAGCCACTTTGTGAACAATTTTAAATATCTATTATTTAAACTATCTCTGCAAAGAGATGTCTTACATAACCATACAAGGCAAGATGGAATAACTTAGGTACAAATAGTTCCAAATGAAGTACATGTATATGCACATATGTGTGCATCAGCACAATGACACACATACACAAAAATCAAAATGGTCCAAAATCAGTTTGGGGCAATTGTTGATGTGTGCACTCCTGCACACATATAGATGTACATGCATCATACAGTGTAAAAATGACAATTTCATTTTATTTTACCCAGGTAAAGTATTTTCAGTAAACCTGTAAAATATCCAGATTACTTTCTAGAATGCGCAAATGTACACATACTCTGATACGAGTGTTCACTTCCACATTATTCCATTGTGTGCACCTTTAAAAGTCTTATTTTACAGAAATGTTAAGTTACTTTTCTTTTTTTCATAGATTACCCATAGTGATGAACATAAAATCATCTGAGCTGCTGCAAACCAATTTGATTGGCCAATTTGGGACTCTCTTTACAGGGCCTGTTGGTGTGCCGACCAGCTGTCAACAATAATCTGTTCATACCTGAACTGGCTATATTGTTCGCTATTGGACTATAAATAAAAAAAAATAAAAAACCCTTCCCCCCCCCCCCCCCCAAAAAAAAAAGACGATTGCATCTGCACCTTCTAGTACTAAAATGTTCAGGATACAATGTTTATCACCATGACAATAACTATACATCTGATGGGGCCAGCTCGGCCCTGCCTGTTGAAGATTGGACGCTGGTGGTATCACCACGGTTTCATCTGTTAGAATCCATAAGACCTAGCTAGGACAGCTCGGCCTTGCCTGTTGAAGATTGGACGCTGATGGTTTCACCATAGGTTTCATCTGTTGGATCTTAGAATCCATAAGGTGTAGCATTGACAGCTCAGCTCGCCTGTTGAAGACTGGACACTGTTGGTTTCACCATAGGTTTCATCTGTTGGAATCCATAAGACGTAGCTGGGACAAGATATGGCTCTTTCTGGTCTCTGTAATATAACCATTGCTTAGCATCTCCTCCAGTATAATGTGCACCTTCTCCAGGTTGAACATGACCTGTGAATCTCTTATTAAGGCTACAACAACTTGCATTGTAACTGATCATTTATTATTATATCCCTCATCGTAAGATTGTTGCATTAGGAGTGTACCGGTACTCAACAAGAAAAAGAATAGTTTTACTAGAAAAGATGTTTCCTGCCGAATAGTTCACTTTTTATTAATGTCGTCACAAATAGTTCACATTTCCCGGGGAAAAGTGAACTAAGCGTCCCCCCCCCCCCCGGCAAAATTCAGCAAGCGTAAAGGATTTAAGATGCCCCCACACGGGCAACTCCCACGGTGAGCCGCAGTAAAGTTATGCACTACACTACTGCCGTACCTGTATAGCGCCAGCTAAACATATTTACATCCTTCAATGTTTCATTTGAGCCGTGCAATTTTCTTTTATTTCTTTTTTGGTTGTGATGTGAATGTGAGTACGCTACATGGTATTACAGAAGTGTCAAAGGAATGATACAAGTGGAAGGGATATAAAACAAATATATACAATGATTCATTCTCGGAACAAGCTAAAACTATTCGCACTAAAGCTACAGTCCCATATACGTCCCGGACCGTCCCGGACCATCCCGGACCCCATCCGGGGTGATCCGGGATTCGGTCCGTGTTGACACCGTGTTGGCACCGGGGTGGTCCTGGATGGTCCTGGATGGTCCTGGATGGTCCTGGATGGTCCTGGATGGTCCTGGGCGGTCCGGGAGTCGACCCCGGATGTTTTTGCAGTCAAAAACTGCCGGGGTGGTCCGGGACAATAGTTTGATCCGGGGTGATCCGTGTAGCCACCGTGCTGGGTCCGGGGTCATCCGTAGTGGCGCCGGGGCGGTCCGTGTTGATCCGTGGCAGTCCGGGAGTGAGTTATTGACCGCCCAGGACCATCCAGGACCATCCAGGACCACCCCGGTGCCAACAAGGTGTCAACACGGACCGAATCCCGGATCACCCCGGATGGGGTCCGGGATGGTCCGGGACGGTCCGGGACATATATGGGACTGTAGCTTAAAAGCATCACACTTTTTTTGAACAAAACATCCCGGACCATCCCGGATCACCCCAGACCATGGTCCGGGATGGTCCGGAGTGGTCCGTGCTCGTCCGTGCTGGTCCGGCTTTATATGGGACTGGGGCTTAAGGAACATCAATAGTATACCATTTGATGTTTCTTTGATGCGAATAGTTTTAGCTAGATTCTTGAGTGTCATTTATTTATTTATTTATTTCTGATATTTATACAGGGTGGCACATACATGTATCACCAATTTGGTGGTTTCCATGAGGCCCTGTTTAGTAATAATAAAACAAATAACAGCATCAAAAACAAAATAGATGAATACGCAAGCATATAAACAGGTAAAATACAATTTAATTGGTATCCCCATGAAATAACTGATCATTCAAGAATAATCCTTGATCATTTACAAGAAATAGGTGAATGGAATTTTCAAATTAAATAATTTTTTTACAAACGTTCATTTAATAATCTATAATAGCTTGACGCACAGGATACCAAAATTGTTACATACATATTTATTGTATATTTGTATACTAACACACAGGACTAATCATCATTATTTTCCCATTCGGATCCAATTTTGCAACTAACCATTAACAAAATTCCTTATTTCAACTATTTTGCTTCGAAGTGACACCTGACTTACTGCATTCCAATTGCCAAAGAGTATGCTTCTGAGGAAACATTGAAGGCAAATGCCCTGGACCTGCCCAATAACTATGTGGACAAAATATTAGTCCCCTATACTTGACTATCTCTCTACATGCACTGAGAAGTATTATACAATCATATGGAATCGGGGACAAAGGGAAGCCTGCCTCAAAGCTCTGTTAACGCATACAAGTCATTCAAAGGCTGGGTTACATCATTTACTACCATTCAATGGAATATAAATGAGTTTGTGTACCTTCAAAATCCTTAATCTTATCTTTCATTATCATTTTTTTATAGAAGCCAATAAAACTCATTTTAAATGGTATTTTAGTATTTGAGATCATGACTACATGAAGACGTATTCAAGTTTACATCCCTTACCTGAATAATAAATCTGAATTAAATCAAAGTTGTCTCAAAGGATACATCGAAGTCAGACTGTGGAAAGAAGAAAAATAAAACATATCATTATATTATGAGAAATCACTCTAATGGAAATAATCATTCTGAGCTATCATTGAATAGATTCCAAAATAGGTATATCAGTGTCTTAGGGTTTTAAAAAAGAAGAAAAAGAAAAAGAAAATTGAAGTCATTTCACACATTCATTCAAATGCATATTGACTTAAGATGAGTAAGGGTATACGACTATACGTTCATCAAAAAAAAAAGGCTATGTTAGTTAAGTTAGAGCAGGAAGATGAGAGTTTAAATGGAGATTCCGTCTCAAAAGAATTTCGCGAGGGAAAGATATTCAAGATTAACTTGGCTTAACAACAAGTAATGTAACCCTCTTCAGCCATCAAATCCATCAACAGCCGCCCTTATCAGACCACAGATGCCCTCTGGCAATCCAAATATTACGACTTGTTACGCAACGCGGTCTGCTTCCCTAAGCTCTCCAAACACTTGGTCGTAAAAAAAAAGACTTTGAAGCCATGCGCGTCACCGAGAAAATGATGTCATACTCAGTGAAGAGTCTATATAACTATAACATATAAAATACAGAATCCACAACATATGGCACAAGGCAACCTTCTATTGGTTATAACATGCTTTTGCTGTGCTCGGCTAACTCTACTGAAGAGATAGCCATGTGAACCAGCGAAATCAACCAAGGAAATCTTGAGTTGGAGTGAATGCTAGTTTCTCATCATCATGATTTCCTCATCTGATTATTGACATTTTCCGCAAATTTCCGCAATTTGTACATAGCTAGGAAGGTAGTCCAAAGGTTTATCTCCCAAAAGAACTAAATGAAATTGTGTTATATATCTGCGCATTTGTTGGATGAGGGGCCGGCGATGCATAAGCCACCGTGCTCGCTGGGCTGAGTGTGTGTGGAAAGGGAGGACATGCTACCACCGGGTGCTATCACTGCACTGTACTGTGTCACTCAATTTCCAGAGTGAGATTTACGAGCTCTGCAGTCTCAGAGGGGGATTACGGTAGGGGAAAAAAGACTCGCGGTGAAGCGGAGTTCTTCAAAGGGGCATCTTGGATGGGGTCTCCATTTAAACTCTCATCTCTCTGGTTAGAGTGGCCCTTTAAGTGGTAGTATCTGGATGTAGTTGTCCTAGGGGTAGTTTCCCTGTACTGGTAGGATGCATGACAAATTGAGCCGTTTACTCACCACTTTCGGAAAATAGCTGTCCAATATTTCTACAAAGAGTTGAATAAATTCTAATATGCCAATTTCATTCTGCAAAGGGAGATAAAAACAATTGACTCGATATCAATATTGTTTCATAGTCCTGTGACTTATTCACTATTGGAACACATAGCTTACTAAGATTAACACTAAGAAGGTCTGCTTATAAAGCCATCTCACAGGCATGTACAGTAAAGAGTAAATCAATGCAAATATAATTGTGGAGCTTTGTGCGTTACAGAATACAGGGAGATTTTTTTTGAGTCAGTATGCATACATTCTATGTGAAAATGTTGACATTTTAGGGTCCAGAGTTAGATTCTGGGCACCTGTTAGCATTAAGCCCTAGTATACCGGGTACATATTATAAACCTTTTCCATTTCTGGATCAATCCATTCTTGAAAAATATGATTAACTTGGTTAGACCAGAATTTTCTTGATTTTGGAGACATTTCCTTTTTTACCCTTGAAACTTTGAAAGCTAGGCTTTATGATCTCTTGATTGCCTTACCTCCTCCTCATCCACACCACATATGATGAAAACTGATGCAAACTGACGAAAAATGATTTTCAGGTCTTGGTAATCAAAGAAAGAACACTGCATAGAAATAAAAACAAACCTTTAGGCATTACACATACATGTACATCAGTAAATCATGAACTCAAATCACAAATTTAATATGAATGATAAAGGGTGAGGATGAGAATAATATTAATGGACACAATGTAGATGTTCAATACTTATGAATGATGCCAGTGATGATGACAATGGGGATGACAATGGGGATGACAATGGGGATGATGATGTCTCCTTGATGGGCTCCTGTCATCAGCAAACAAGGCAGTGTCATTGGTCCAATATTGTTTGTTATCTATGTTAATGATCTGCCTAGCATAACAAATCATCCTCCTTCATGCACAGTAACAGTTTAAAATACGGCTGCAAGAATTTCAACATAGAGCAGAGTTGAATTTAGACGAAGAAAATCCTGAAAAAAGACCCTTGAACGCATTAACCTTAAAATGTTGGTGCATTTTTAATAAATGGCACGATATTGTGCCAGTAAACTTCGCACAAGAGACCTACACCTGGCTTCTGTCTCTAAATGACCCTACCCAAATAAGAGGCTAACAAAAGAAAGAGACAGACATTTTCAGTCTAGTCGCTGTGTCAACTCTTGATGCACTTCATTAAAGTAAAACCTTCCTAAAACTTAAAGATTCAAACTTTTACTTTATGGATAGATCTACTTATAGATCTATAATCAAACTCACTCCTTTGGTTTTCCTAGCCAAGATTGTTCTTATCAGATCGGACTCCAGCAAAACCCTGTCTTTCGCTTTCAATTGCCCGTCTTCAAAGTAGCGGGCAAAGCATGTCCGGCCAGATTTTGAGATCATCAAAACAAACTTGATCATGGTTGGTTGACAAGTAGAACGATCGCTACCTGTATGCAGAAGAGATAAAAGAAATGTGGAAATGATGCAGCCAGTGGAATCAGCTCTGACTCGAGCTCAGCAGCTCTGCATGGTCGCGGAATGGATGGGCTAGCCAGGCAACGGCGCGCGGCCCGCGCCCCTACGTGACTGTATGGACCACTGACAGGGGTATGGACTATATGCAATTGCAAGCTAGTGCCATTAGTGGTACATCGTTGACTTTTACTTTCGAAATATTTAGTCACTTATGCGCTTATATTTAAAATTGAGATGTTAGTTGTAATTGTCAATACTTTCATTGCATATTTAGAACAATAATTAATAGCCATAAAAGATAATACATTATTAGATTCTATAGATCTAGATCTACATGTACATCTAGTAGTAGGGTCTACCTAGACCGAATTTTCCGTCTCTTTCGTTCGTTAGCCTCTTATTGGGGTAGGGTCGGCCGGCTCTCTCTTTAGAGACGGAAACCGTCTATACACATTCCCTTGATAACGCCACGGCCATTTCAGGTCGTAGCGTTTTGCCCCCAAAATCCCCCAAATTGTCATTTTACCTCGTGCATATCCACATGTAAATTAGGCCTAGGCTATAATAAATCAGTTCCACTTACCAACTTGACTGAAATAATCAGTTTAATAGTCCCTTTTTAGGAAATTATGGGTCAAAATCGAAATCCATTTTGAAAATCTTTTTCAACATGGATTTCGATTTTGACCCATAAATTCCTAAAAAGGGACAATTAAACTGATTATTTAAGTCAAGTTGGTAAGTGGAACTGATTTATTAATATAGCCTAGATCTAGGCCTAATTTACAATATAAAATGCACGAGGTAAAATGACATTTTGGGGGATTTTGGGGGCAAAACGCTACGACCTGAAATGGCCGTGGCGTTATCAAGGGAATGTGTATAGACGGTTTCCGTCTCTAAAGAGAGAGCCGACCCTACCCCAATAAGAGGCTAACGAACGAAAGAGACGGAAAATTCGGTCTAGGGTCTACCTAGCCTAGTACTTAGATCTATGATGAAATGATATCATCATCATCATCATCATCATCATCATCATCATCAATCATCATCATGCATCATCATCATCATCATCATCATCATCATCATCATCATCATCATCATCATCATCATCATCATCATCATCATCATCATCATCATCATCATCATCATCATCATCATCATCATCATCATCATCATCATCATCATCATCATCATCATCATCATCATCATCATCACCATCAATCATCTGGTACGTACGGGAAGAAGGTGTTCAGCATCAGCATCGACAGCATCAGTATAATACGGAAGTGTGAGCCTACTCTCTGACTGAAGCTGTTTCGCCTTAGGGCTGTGTTGCTCTTTTGCTCATACAGCTAGCAGCTTCTGGTGGTGTCCCCTGTTGTAGCTGTTGTGTAGCTTCATGAGATGCTGAGCTGTGAAGAAGGCTGCGGCATCGGCGTGGGAGCTTCGTCCCGGAGTTGGTACCGAGCGGTAGATCTCAATTCCTGTGTTGGCCTGTAATTCCCGGTCGCTGCTTCTTGGTTTAGCCTGACGGAATGAAAGTAAATTCATAAGTGACAAAATGAAAAATCTACTTTTGTAAACTCTTTAAGCCCGCAAAACCACAGAAAGCACGCATGGTCTCTAGACAATTTTTTGTTTTTAAAGTTGCGATGTTTGTATTGTATGTTGACCTCGCAAACGCACTACTCTACCTTGCCGCATCAGAGCCGTATACCGTGCGGTTACGTTATTACGTACCGTACAGTCTAACAGCAGAATATGGTGCATATCCACTGAAATAGAGGTCATTCAGTGTGGATATCGCATGTGTGTGTGTACGTTACGCGTGTGATTGATGTTCTACCACTGGCCCTGTACTGTACTGCGTCGCACCAAAGCAAAGGCAAAGTGGAAGGGCTACCTTGAAATTCACATTATCGGTAAATGTATGTAGATCGAATTATGTATATAATCTATAAATGTTGATGTATTGTGATTATGGATGTAACAAGTTCAGTTTAGACCTCTGACGGTAGCTAAGTAATGAATTTAGTGTGATCAAGTGACTGCAAGAAAAAGACAAATTTAAATTATTGTGATTGTCATTGATCTTGCTATGGCTATCTGAAAGTGATGGTGATGTGATGGGTGCAGATATATGAATGATCAAACAAGCTCGGAGCTCTCGAGTGAGTCGGTGAGGCCGGGCAATGCTTAATTTATTTATTTCATCTAGAGATCTATTCATTTTTGTATTTTTTTGGGGGGTGGTAGGATAATACAAATTCTAGTGCTAGTTCCGAAGCCTATCCAAAATTTGACCCGTAACTCAGGCGCGGAGATAGTCTAGACCTACCCCACTAAAACATATCGGTACCCAAAATGATGTAAATATTCATCAAATGTTTAAAAAAAGATCATGAGTTAAAAGTTGTTATGTTTATTACCTATTTGTGTAAATTTTCTTGTTATTTTTTGAGTATTTTTTGGAAACACGTTGATATTAGTATACACTTTTTGACAGTTTTCATGGAAAAACTGTAACTCGGGGAAGCTCCGACGCCGATGCCGAAGGCGTCAGAGCTTCGGATGGTGCATCGAAAAACATTCCAACAGCGGGTTGGGCGACATACAGTATCTCAAAATATTGACTTACTAGGTTGCTCGACTCCTCTGGGCATACACCTGTAGATCCATCAACTTGAAATTATAATTTGAAGAAGTCTTCGATGGGAAAAAGGGGTGTCTTCGTCCTACCACAACGATTCTTCCATGTTGTATCGTCGATTGAACCGGCGAAGAGAAAGTATGCATGCAACTATGAAAGAATGGAAAACCAATAATTGTTGCCAATTTGAGGAGGAAAAGCTAATTCATTTTTGACCACTATGAGAGACACCACACCACTATGAGAGACACCATACCACTATGAGAGACACCACACCACTATGAGAGACACCACACCACTATGAGAGACACCACACCACTATGAGAGACACCACACCACTATGAGAGACACCACACCACTATGAGAGACACCACACCACTATGAGAGACACCACACCACTATGAGAGACACCACACCACTATGAGAGACACCACACCACTATGAGAGACACCACACCACAATATCCTTGTTGCTGAAAAGGCTTTTGACGAGTACCAGCATAGATGCATAAACGTAGACCTAGACCTATACATAAAAGTAAACACTGAACTGCTTTGGGTTCAAGTTCAACTCTAAATGTAAAGATTATATCATTACACACAGCAGTTTTTAACTCTTTATCAAAAAGTAATTTTTACTTTTGTGTACAAAGGACTTTGGATTTGGAACTATCGCTGATTAAAGTCAATGAAGTGTATGTGGTTGGCATTGCAAACAGACACTAGTACATGTACAATTAATTTAGAATGTTGGTTGATTGGCATGAGTTCACCTTCAAGGTTGTTTCATAAAGGGGAGGTCCACACTGATATTAAAGCTAAAGACCAGTTATAGTCATGCGATTGCATTGTGAAAGAAACATTGTGAAATCGATCAGAAAAGGTTGATCATCTAGCATATAAGTATTGGTGTGTACTGCAAGGTTCTGGAATCATCAAAATGATAAGAAATATGGCCCAGTCTTCTTAAAGTTACAAGCACAGCGGCCGTCAGATGGTAAAATGGTCTAACTCGAAATTTTGACTTTTTGAGGTAAGTTCACTTTCCGGGTAATGTGAGGGTGCTATTTCCAATGGTGCTATCGAGAAAATCCCATCATGTCTTCTTTTAGAGATAATTTCCGCTATCTTGGTACTTTTTTGTATTTTTCCTTCAGATTTGATGGTAAAACGGGCTATCTCTGAGTTAGCCCATTGCCGGTAATATCGTTTGGGGGTAAAACAAGCTATCTTTTACATAAACCTTTTAACCTTCTGAATTGAGATTTTTTAATTATCGCTGTCAGATGGTAAAATGGTCTATCTTCGAGTTAGTAGTATGGCAATAGTGTTTATGGTCTTTCTAGAAGATAGACCATTTTACCATATTATGATGTGTAGTGGGAGTGTATGCATGTGCTGTTGTTAAACAGTCTATCTGCACAAAAATCTCATTTATTTTATAATTAAAACCCCAAATAAGCACAAAATTCTTCAGTTATCAGTGTTTAATATGCTTCTTCTTGTCCCTTTGCTAAAAATGGATTATACCCATCTCCTAAAAAAGCTGAAACTTCTAAACTTCAAAGTCATTTTTCTCAGAACAGCGATTTTCGAGTTAGACCGTTTTACCAACTGTAGTACACAGAAAGATGTATATGGGACTATACGCACATGTGCGCAACACGTGCGTTTATCTCTCACAGACCATGTAGATAAACTAATTTACCAAATATATCAATTAGTAGGCGGTTTCCCGGCAAAAATTTTGTCATCATGTATCAGTCAGAACATATTCTTTCACATGATTGGTAATAAGAGCTTCCATTTCATTTTCTTGAAATTGGGGCGTTTCCAGTACTGGTTTTTACCTTTAAGTTGGTTTTAACACTAATAAAAGAAGCAGAACAAAAATGAAAGAGACAGGTCAGTAAAGGTTTGAGCAAATTCTGATTACAAATAAGAAAGTAATGAATTTTGAAGTTGTAATCAATCATACACGAATTGGCGACTCTGTGACGTACCTTGCAAGCTTCCCTTCCATTTGATCTGTACATAAAATTTCCCTACATGGGTTGTACAGAAACATATTTATATTCAGGATGCACTTTGATGCACTTAATTGTACGCAACTTAAAAAATTCATTACTTTCTTATTTTTGATGAGATATTTCACTGACTTTCACTGACCTCCTCTCATTTTTCTGCTTCTATTAAAACCAACTTAATATCACGATGGACTTCCTCCCTTAATGATTCATTTCCAAGAATTACATGTTTTAAAGCATAACACATTTTGACCCCTGTAGTTGATATTTACACTGTATATTTTTTTACTGGTATACATTAGGTTGGGATATATACAGGCACAGCGGAGCACCCCAATTTGCATATCATTAGCGGCCCGTTCTATTTGAATAACCAACGGACATCTGCGTGAATCCGAACATGTGTGTGCTAGAATGTCAAATCTTAAAATTCGCGTTGCGCCTTTATTACTGCCAATATCGCTATGAAACTTTCCATACTAACTAAAATTATTATGAATTTTATGTCAGTGAAATAAATACGAAATTCCATGGAATAAAACTCGAGATATTAATGTGTTTTGAGCTTCGCCCCTCGAAAAACACGACGTCTACTTTATAATGCGATGACCCTATCAAGCAATGCACGAAGTAGAGACTTGGTATGAATATTCATTAGGGTTAAATCCATACATGGGCGAAATTTTCGCTTCTCCGCTGTATTTTTTTTGGTTATAACGTTCTTTTTCATGGGGCTTCATTTTTAAAAGTTGTAGTCAGCGAACTCATTGAACATGACGTCATCGATCTCAGCGATGTACTGCGCATGCGTCTTAGGCCCAGTGCATGCCAGATCGAAACAGCTGAGCCATTAGCGTGCACGTGTGCAGTCGGCTGGCAAGACATGTATAGCCAACGCACACGCGAGGTTCAGACATGACACACATTTGAATGTATGGGACTGGTCTAACAATTTTGCGACAACGAAGGATTATTTTTGTTCGATGAGATTCGGACATTGGGGTATGTTTTTCTCTGAGACGACCCTATCAAGCAACTATGAAAAGAGATATTTCACAAGGATTGAGATTATTAAATTTTCTTTCTGTTCATACGAGGCAATTCTTTCTCGCTCTAAAAGAAATGGTGAATTTTACGGTGATTTTGTATCTCATTTTTTTCGTTTTTGTTCGTCAAAACTATCCCTTAAATTTCACATTTTCTGTGCATCAATAACTCTTTTTATACACACGAGTGTCTTGCAAATTTATTAAATACTCGATTTAGTAGCTTTGATTGGTGATATTCATCACATTAATGAAGAATTTGTCTTCGAAATTTGTTTACTTTTTTTCGCATCGATCGGTACACAATTGTTGATTTTATGCAAATGATGTTTACTGGACGAGAGTCGATCGCACGGTAATTGGGGTGCTCCGCTGTGCCTGTATACAGCATGCAATACTTGTTACTTGTAGATATAATCCTGATGGCAGCTATCATACAGCTAAACTGGGATGTCCGTGCAACGTGCTGGCATAGTGGCAGTGCATGAAGTCTATTATTTACAATAAAACGGTGGACGTGCAAGTAGAAAAACCGAGACATGTAGTGGCTTGACATTTGCTCCTGCAACTGTTGCTCCAGGCTAGGTTGATTTCATGTCAGGGCCATTTACACTTGCAACCAAACACGCCAAAAGATGCCAAACCGGGGCCTGACCGCGATCTTTCAGTGATGATTGCTAGGTAACTACCCTCCGCCAAAGATGGCAAACCAGTAACATTCCAAGCCGGAGTGTGAATTGTTTCAATGTCCGCGTGATGTTTGGTAATGTAAATGGTAGCAGCTGAAAAATCGCGTTGTTTGGCACGTGACCTCCAGCACTTCTGGATTTTTACCAATTTAATGGCAGGGCCAGGGTCAAAGGTTAGGAAAACCGCACTTGCGCATTACCAACCAAGTCACGCCAAAAAATCACTGAGCTTTTCAGTCTGTGATGTTTTAGCTCAAGTGTAAACGGAAGCGCAAAACATTGTCATCTTTTGAAATGAGGTATTTGACAGTATAAATGCGCATAATGGGTTATGGTTAAGAGCTGGTTAGTAACCTATAGAGTCCAGTGCTTTCTGGGCCCCTGAATTATAACTTTTGGTCTTCCAGTTTTGTTTTAACCGAAATAGGGAAAATGGAGCATTCGCCCATACCTGCATGTACATGTAAAACTTGAAAATCTATATATTAAAAATAAAACTAGATCTTGCAAATGGAAGAAACTTTTTAAATTATTTAAATTTTTCTGTCATTGAATCCAGCGAGAATCTATTTTGAAATGTTGAAAAACTGCTCTGAGATGCTTTTTATATCATTTAGACAAAAATAATTGTTCTTTCAGAGATTTTCACCTTACTCCTTAAAGCTAAACTTTAGTACTGGTAATGCGATTGCATTGTGAAAGAAAAGGTGTGAAAGGATCAGAAACAGTTGATCATGTAGCATGTAAGTATTGGTGTGCACTGCAAGGTTCTGGAGTCATCAAAATCATAATAAATTTGACCGAGTCTTGGTAAAGTAACAAACACTCACATAGAAAGCTATATATGGGACAACACACATCGTGTCGGGGATGGTACTACCTTGGTTTCCTTGTCTTTCTATGCTCATTACTCAGCCAGTATACATTTTCTTCCAAAATTGTTTGGCACATGTCATTTATTTGTAATCTTGAACATTCAGTGTAAGTTTCGTTTGATTCTGTGAGAATTTTTTTTTTTTTTTTACCAGTACTGGAGTTTATCTTTAATATAGGTCAGGTTTGAATAATCTGTAAAGCTGGGTTAATCCGTACTGGTTTGGAATTGATCTATAGAAATGTTGATATATTAAAATAACGGGTTTTGTTATTATCATCTCCATCTGGAAATGACAGAAAATAAATTCACAGAATCAAACAAACTTTCACGTACATGTAATGTAGATAGATGCACAGTGTATAGTTTCCAGGAATGAAGACTTCAAATTATATATGTCTGTCTGAGAAAAATGCAGAAATTGATGTAATTATATTCAGAAATAAATAATTAGTACGAAAGCGATAGGAAAGTTGTACATTGTAACTTGGATCAAAAGTAGAGAGAGAGAGAGAGAGAGAAGCTCAGATGCTGCTAGGTTTCTCTATTCCAAACACCCAGATTTTCACCTGCCTTGCTGTGTATAGCAGAGCAATTTGCTTGTTAGTGAACAATATGAGTAAAGGCTGGTTGTGAACAACAGGAAATGTGTTAATATGGAATGAATGTCTCTCATCTGAGATTGATCAAGGGTTTCTAGTGCTACATAAGACCATGTACTGAAAGTGAATGGCAGTATGTGATAAGGAAGGTGTAGATTGCAAAAGTGAAGTACTTCCCCTTGTTACATGTACAGTGTATATGCCGTTTTATGTACATGTACATGTACATTGATTAATTTCAACTTCCATGTAATATCAATATTTAAAGTTCTTTCATATTATAAATGTTTGTAAAAAAAATACACTTTGGAAAGATAGAATAAGCTTCATTTATACATGTACGTATGATATGTATACATGTAAGTGTGGAAAGAAACATTTACCTATTTGTAATTGTGTTTTCTGCACTGAATGTGAAAACAAATTTCTGTCAGTGGCTTGAAAAATATACAGTGTGTCCTGACAGTGATACATGTACATGTAGATAGTACTAGTAAATTTTGTGTTTTTGACACTGCATTGATATATTCAAATCTAATGTGGATTGTGGAAAAGAAAACTGTAGCAAATCATGGTGTTACTGGAACTCCTTTGTTAATTGCCTGTGATGTAATACATGTTATGTTAAAATTAAAAACAGTGTGTGATGGCTAGATGTGCCAGGGATATGAAAGCAGGCATGTATAGTGTACATTGATTGTACATTGAAGGCTGATATGTTACTAGGTTTTAGCATGAGATCATGCAGCATAATTATTTCAGATCCTGTAGAGAGGAGGGATATAGCTTACTTTTGGTTTCAAATGAGGTTGACCTCAGTGTCCATGTTATGAGAGCTGTAACTCCAGACTTGCAATCAGACTGGTTTCATAAACACCCTCAAGATTTATGAACACTATTCGTACAGTTTTTGTATACTTGTGTTTACCTCTGTTTTCGGTACATAAAGAGCATCAACATTGTGATGTTTTTGTACTGCATAAAGGCTTGTTCAGATATGCCCAGGTAAAACTGCTGAGCACTGCAAACAAAACAAAAATCCACTACTTTTTTTTCTTCTTCATTTTGTGTAAATAAATGGCCACTGCACACAGCAAAGGTCTCACACGTATTCACTGAGTTCTGTGTTATAAGATACAGAAATGTAAAGCGTTTTTAATAATGTAAAAAAATGTCATCGTTAAACAGTTTTGCGAGTCAGCGGCGTCACACCTGAAAATTGCTTTCCACATAGAGGCCTGTGATTGCACTTCCATGTCGGTCATTCTTTTTATATTCTCTTCACTTAACATATAATGTTCACATGCATTATGAGTATATTCCTTTGTGAATACTTAAATGTTTACCATATACACTATACATACAGTACATTACATACTGTACATGTAGATATATGCAAGTGTACATTACATCTTGACAGTGTGTACTGCATGTACTGTGTATACAAGCTCCTATTCCTACTGTACATGAATGAATGTTGGAATGAAGGCCTATACATTGGTGATGCATAGCGAATGATGGGTTGAATACCCTTGTGGTCATTACGGCCCTCCCTCCATACATTAGCTCATTGTATGCAATGTGCCTGTTTAAGCATGCATCAGGCATGCTAGGATGAACAAGCTTATTATCTACTAACCATGATAGCATGACTCAATATCACCATGCAAATTGATAACTGAATTAACAGGCTTGAGTAAACATCTTCTCCAGGGCTCTGTGTCTTTAGACCTGAGTAGCCACATCTACATTATGTTCATCCACTACACAATCAATGAGAATTTCCTGAGTGCGGACATTTTGAACCAGTTTACCCATTGATATGGATATTATCTCGCACGTCAATCAATTCTCTTCATTATAGCGATGGGGTGAGGATGCAAAAAGTTATTGTTACATATTCATTACTTTAGAAGCTTGTTTCCATTTGATTTTTTAAATATTTTGAAACTCTATAAAATAAAGCATCTAAATTTACATTATTCATAAGGCCAACAAAAAAAAATTGTTTGGTTGTCCTTGATTGCTTTTCTGGAGTAGGGGCAGGCGGGCGGATTTTTTTTTTTTTTTTTTTTTTTTTTGTACTTGCGCCCTTTAGCAAACAATGCCTAATCGGTGACCATTGGTCCCCCATGATCCTCTTTATCTTATATCAACTGAAAGCTGATTTGATCTGTCCAGTGACCTTGCAGGGTGGTCTAATCCCTCCTGTAAACTAGTACAGATGGGCTTTAAAATGAGTTTAAGAATGCTCAGAAGCTGATTTGAATGAACGGCATTTTGACATAGAAAAATAAAAATGGCAAGTTTAATAAATACCTAATTGCGTACTGAAAAGACCGAACTGGCAACGGGACACATTTTGATCCTTGCAAATGCATAAAATGGTATGTTTGGCATTAAAGATTGCTCCCCCCCTCCCCCCCAAAAAAATGAATTAAAAAAAAAAAATATGAGCGGCCCGATGCGGGCGGCCGAGGACAACCAAATGATTTTTTTTTTGGGGGGGGGGGCCTAATCATGCCGAGACCATATCATTACACCCAATTTACCTGTATTTTTTCTGTTAACAAACATACAATGTAACAGTAAAGTCTGCACTATAATCTAATAGATTGAGAGAAGTGTGGATAGAACCTAATGTTAACCTCCCCCTCCCTTTCCCCCTCCCCCTCCCCACCTCCCCCTCCCCACCTCCCCCTCCCCACCTCCCCCTCCCCACCTCCCCCTCCCCCACCTGCACCTCCCCATCCCCCTCCCCACCCCCTTTAACAAAAAAATAAATAAGACCGCAGTTCCATGGAACGGTTATAAATCTGTGATTCGTATATTCATTTCACGTTCCAGCTTCCGGTCTTTCTCTGTGAGTTGGATGTTGGAAGATCATCATAAAACCTGAAACTTCCACCTGATACACCATACTCTGTAGTACCGTACATGTAATTTGCAAACATTTCGTGCATGCAAGTCATTCAGTTCCATGAAAAGTTTCATGCTGCAAAGTATATTCAACTGACACAACAATGAAGTTCGGATATTTGTGAAAGTCGTTTGCCTGCCTTGAATATTGCTGTCATTTACAGTTCATGAAAGCTTCATGTAAGCATGGACCCTAAGGTCGACGATGTCAGCTTTATGTCGCAAACGGTTTTGGTTTCGCAACTTACATGGGTACCTGTTTTCATTAGAGTTGTTACAAATGGGTGTGCACCGTTATGTAGGAAGCTCATTAATACTCTAGGTGTTTCACCAAAGTTGAGGGAAGCTAGCTGAGCATGCCAGCATGACTGTTTTGAGTTTACTTTTCTTTACAAGAGGGTGACGATTAGACAAGGATATGATACATAGCCACAGGCTTGAGGCAAATGAGAGTATAGGGCTTAAACTGGTGTTAATGGCATTAGCTAGTCTTGAGTTGAGGGTGATTGGATCAAGGACAGCGTTGGTAGTGCTGCAGTCATACAGAGTGGGACAGTTACTAATTGGAGAGAGCGCATTTGCAGGATAGCGAGACTTCAGGAATATTGTTTGGTCTGTACCAGTTGATAGTTGCACTCATGCAAAAGTCCATCTGGAATAACATTTTTGAGGAGATAGTGTTGGTTTTGTTCTGAGGTGAATCCTTTGTTGTTGAGTATGGGAAAGTAAGTATGTGTTTGTTGTCAGGCTTTGAGCCTTTTGTTCTGTAGGATTGTCCTGCTTGTACTGTGATATACATGTATATTTTGTATGTAGTTGTAGGTTCAGTAGAGGAAAACAATTACAAATTGATCCTATTCTAAAACACCCATTATATGTACTAAAGCGCACCTATGCACCTGGAAAGGTTTACCGGTATGTGCATGAGACTGACTGTAAAAATGAGATGGCTCTGTTTCAAGTACTGACTACTGATGTACTGTATGCATCTAGACTAGAGTCTGCTGAGTGCACGGTACTCTATGTTATAAAAAGGCAGAGAAGTGCAACGTACAGGTGTAGTTGATTGATAAAAGAAATGTAGAATAGAGAAGTTCATGCTACATTTAATACACTGTTATACCGACCTTAACTCGTGACAGTACCTTTGTATTAATCTATTGACAGAGTATTCAGTGTTATGACCTGAGATATTTTCACTTTGTTATAAATCCATGCCAAAAGATCTGTACAGCATTCCACTGATTTCAGCAGATACCTTACGTAGTATAAGGTGCTTTCTAAGTTGTGTCAATGGAGATTTCTTATGATTCGGAAAACTATTTCCGGTATTGTTTCACATAATGAGAAATGGAGAAATGGAAAACACAAGAAAGAAGAGAACAAGGTAGGAGGCTGCAGTGAATTACATTATTGCATGTAAAAATAAAATAAAATCCAACAAATAAATAATAGACATGCACTTTTGAGCATTTGCATTGTAGTTATGTCCAGTGCACTTTCATGCACTGTGTAGTACATGAATGACTATGTAGGATGGGATCTCAATATGCTACCCTGGGTTGTACTGTATGAGAGATAGAGGGAGAGAGAGAGTGGAAGAGAGAAAGCTGATGACACTATGATGACACATCTGTGAAAGGACAACGTACATACACGTGTGCACTTTACATACTACATACAGTACATGTAGAGAAGGGACTGATGGCTCTCTCCCATGTTGGGTATCATTCTCTAAGTTCTAATATCATCTCCTTCTCACTTAATAGCCTAACTGTACATGAGAGAGCTAGTCAGTGTATTGCTTACTCTTGGTTGAGTCATTGAATGTGCTCTGATTTTCTTCATAAGATGACTCATTTATCTACTTGGTTATATTAAGCTGCTGTATTCTGTGACGTCCTTTGGTACCTCACAATCAGGAAAGGTGCTGCAGCATCCATCCACCACGTGTTTGTATTGCCACTCATAGGCAAACATACAATGTTTTTAGTTGAAGCATGGCCAGTTCATGCTACTTGTACTCTGTTATGTTGACATTGACTTTCAAGGGATACATGTTTATCTCATTTATTTGTTTCATATAGAGTAAGATTGTACAGGGAGGCTACAAGTACCAGTACTTGTATTAACATGTATGTCCTGTGCAATTTACATGTATGCCCTGTGCAATTTACATGTATGCCCTGTCCATTTTAAATGTATGCCCTGTGCAATTTACATGTATGTCCTGTGCAATTTACATGTATGCCCTGTGCAATTTACATGTATGCCTTGTGCAATTTACATGTATGCCCTGTGCAATTTACATGTATGCCCTGTGCAATTTACATGTATGCCCTGTGCAATTTACATGTATGCCCTGTGCAATTTACAATGGATACTTGGAATGAAACTTTGTTGGATACATTAGGCGGTGTTACACAGAGGCCAAAAATCCAGATTTTAGTTATCCAGATTTTAGTTATCCTCTTAATTGCTGTCTGTCATCAATTATCCCATTAAAAACCCTCTAACGAAGCAAAATAATTCCCCCTTGAAAGGATTTTTCAAGGGATTTTTTTATGATTTACTCACAAACAATCTGAATAATTTTTCATCCTTCATTTGTTAACAATATTTCCAACAATGGTTAAAAGCTTCAGTGTAGAATTGTCAGTATCTTGGTATTCATGAATTTTTTTTTTTAAAGATTAGGATGCCCTACAATAATCTAACATGGTCTTTACATTTTTGTTATTTATTTATTTAATTGTTATTATTATTATTATTATTATTTTTTTTTTTTTTTTTGGGGGGGGGGGGGGGGGGGGGGAGGTCAAATTTAACAAACTATACATTGAGTTTTAAATTGAGAAATACAGATTGAAAAATTAGAACTATTGAAGGTCATTGGTATTTGGGGGAGAAAAGTGGGGAAATTGTTGATGTGGGAGGGAGTACGGTAATGATGTGATTTAAAGTCTTTATTTACCATCTCTCTCTCTCTCTCTCTCTCTCTCTCTCTCTCTCTCTCTCTCCCTCCCTCTCCCTCTCTCTCCCTCTCTCTCTCTCTCTCTCTCCCTTTCTCCCCCCTCTCTCTCTCTCACTCTCTCTGTCTCTCTCTTTCTCTCTCTCACTCTTTCTCTCTTATGTTCTTGTCTATAGAGCCAGGAGAGGTGTTAGTCCTGGGCTGGAGGAGGAGAAAGCTGTTTTTCTTCACAATAGAATGGAAGTAACCCTGTTGTCGGATCAGGTATGGAGTCAGTCGCATTGTAGATAAGATAATACACCTCCTACATCTATATTGGAAACTGAAAATATCCTCTAATGTGTTAATGAAATTATTGAAGTTCATGTAGAATGTTTTAGTTTTGACTTGTGCAATTGTTTACATTAAGAAATATGCATGATCTGCAAACATGAAAAAGGTACATAATGTGTATCAGACTCAGTTAGCATTTATACTATTTTGTAGACCCTAGCTTTTATCATTTATTTCAGTATATCCATGCTTTATTTACATAATTTCATGCATGTTATTGGACAATTACATACAAAGTCAAGCCCAGACTTATTCCAATATTTCACATAAACCTCTATAGCCACTTAACCTTTTCAGTGGTTGTTAATTACACCACAACCATTTAATTAAAAGGCATTTTAAATTTTTAATATATAATATTTAGGTTTACCCAAGTAATATCCATCATTTTGACTGACAGGGATTTGTGTCTGCCAACTAATAAATAATAACCAAATTCTTTCCTTTAAACAAAATATATAATCCTTCTACTCATTTTTCAAATGCCCTCTGAGTTCAGATATGTGTGCATGAACTTTTTAAAGATTGGGAATTGTCAAATACAATTGCTACATGTACATGTACATACTATGAATTAGGAGATAAGGGATTAATCAAGGGTTTGCATGTCATATAGAGAATGCTTTACTCGGGAATGGTTTTTAATAATATAATATGCAATTATATAAAAGAAGAGTATTAAGGTAAGAGTTTGATGATAGTACATATTTATAAAATCACTCATTACTATAGAGCCTTTTCTTGATCAATATACATGTAGACACAAGGCATGGTCTCTTTCAATGAGTTAAGAATTGGAATTGATTTTTTTTTTAATGGTTAAGATATAAACCACTGGTGGAATAGAAAGATTGTCTTTTCTTTTAACACATCAGTGTATCAAATTTATAAATGCATTAGGACTTCACATGTCAATGTAATGGGTATTTTTCCAATGTTACATGTAGATTGGTTTAAAAATCAGTGGAAATTTTTCTTCTCTTGCCAAACATTGGATACAAAACCTTGAACTTACTTATTACCGATACTTGATTAAAGGACGTTGTAGTATTTGGGGATGTATTATGTTTGATAGAATAATTTCAGAAGAAAATGTATTTTTGCTAGCAAGGTGAATAATTAATGTTGAAAAGGAATATATCTTCAAAGAAAATCCTTGGTGGCAGATTAATGAGCATTAACTCGCAATATTAAATACAGCTATATATGTTATGTAATTTGAACTGTCTTCTATTCCTTCTCATTTAATAATTCTAAATGAAACATAACAAGTTTAAACAAGGTTCAATACCCAGCTTTAATTCTAAGAATTCTGGAGGGATGAAAAGAATTCTATTTAGTTACACTCTTGATTTTTTATTGCTTAAAAAACATAAGCATTATTTGATGTTGTCTTAATTTTGCATTCAGTACTAAACCAAAAAATAAATAAATAATAACTCCAATAAATGTCATGTTTGTGACTTCTCAAATATTTCGGACCACTGTGTGTCATGAGTCATGACCATCGTCAGGAACTAAACCATAATGTGTTGCCTTCATATAGTATGGAGGTTTGACATCAAGTGAACTCAAACAATATAACATAATTACGGCAATATGTACTACAAAAGAGAGTGTTTTGACAACATATTGAAATGTAAAGAGATGACATGTCAAAAGATCATCAAAGGTATAATCATCTGAAGAGTGCAAAGGGGACATTCCTATTGAAGGGTTTATTACATAGTCATCAAATGAAATGATTACATTTTGAGAACTTGCATGACATGACTCTTATCAGAGTTTTCTGTTAGTACTTTGTGTATCATCTGTGCTAACATTTGATTTATTTGGCATGGGATTTGTCATTAAATTTTGACCACATTGAAATGATGTGATTGTCTGCTCTAACATTCTTCTATGTTATAAAACCTGTATATTTGATCACATTATTTGCCTGCCTCTCACACTACTCTCTACACTCAGGAGGTGAGTCATGTATTTTATCAATCACTTAGCAATTAAATATTAGTTTCTTCTTGCCAGCTATTATCGCATCTAATTGAAAGTTTTTGTTTGAAGTGTTATGTGCACTAAAACTGCTTTCTGTGTCTGATTGGTGGCGAGCTTATTTGTGATCCTGTTTGATTATATGTATAATCCAAATACATATTAATCAATGTGCTTGCATTAATGTTAATCAGCATGCATTAATAAAATAATGGTTAGTATGGTTTAAGAGTGGTATTAACAATGTTGATGTGTATATATCTAACATAATAATGAGTGGTTTGGGTTTTCTGTTTTGTTCCTTTCCCCATTCAATCACAATGACAGCAAGAACTAGATCACTTTGGAATCTAGGAATACTCGGGTAATTTGCATTGAAAATATTACTTCTCATCAAAGTGCTTATAAGTGAACAATTTGTACATGTTTGTTACAGCACTCTATGTTTTAGATGAGTACAGTGTTTGATGGTGTTGTCAACTGCCTAATTGTGCAAACTTTCATGTTATTGCATTCAACTTGTTCCCTTTTACAGTTGTACATGTACATACATGTAGTTGCAAGCTGGTACAAACACTAGTTTGTAAATTCAGATTTTAATCAGTTTTATGTTGTGCAATTTTAAAAATCAAGTTAAGTCTGAAGTGCTGAATTTTTTTTAAACGGTGAAAATGGAATGCTTTATTGGAGCTGCAAACCTGTAAACTTAAGCTGGTCCTTTCCTAACTTTCCTAACAATGTGTAATTTATTTTTTTCTGTTGAGTTTTAACAGAAAAATACCTTGAATTTATAGAATGCTTGTCAGATGTGAGTATCCAGGGCAGTGCAGTTAAAATAAATGCACCCTGGAAGTATCAAAACATATTATATGGTATACAAATGTAATGTCCATAACTTGTAGGACATTTGTCACTGCTTACACACACAAGCCCATTACTTTTCAAGTAGTAAAATCCATCACAAAACCAAAGGTATACCAACAAATTTGACCAGCACTGTTCATGTAGATTGAGCACTTGTCCTGTTGTATTTCAGTTTGCCGCCATTTTCATCTGCATTCAAAAGCAATAACTGTTCACTTGTATGCACCCAAAGGGGAAAATCCCCCCCCCCCAAAAAAAATAAATAAATAAAAATAAATAAATAAATAAATAAATACAATGTATATACCTGGTATGTGTCCTCCATGTACATGTAGGCACACTTAATATGTTAGTGTGAATGTAGGTGTCTGTGCAGACTGTGTGGTGAGCAGGGTCATGACCTATTATGTTCCATTTTAGTTTCTGTCGCTATTGTACTTTAGTAGCTTACATGAAAGGGTAGAGACAGCAGCTGCGTTGCTTTTTATTTTGTTTCAGTACTGCCTCCTTTTGATAAGAAGAGTAAGGATTGATAATGTATTTGAGTTCATATCAACCTCTCTTTATTATATCTTAACTAGGGCTTCACACTAACTTTCATGGGAGGGAGGGGGTGGGGGGGGGGGGGTGGAGGACACAGGGGATATTTGTTGTTGAACCCATCTCTCACATGTCCAGTATATTCTTTTCTCTGTCTATCATGAACAAGGCAAAACACTGCCATCTCTTGTGCACTGAATAGTATAGTCTATGTTGTTCGTTCATTGTTTCATAACATGTAGACTTGAGGGAAAGGTCAATAAAATCTTTATACTATATTTTAATTATTGAAAGCATTTATTATATTACAAATTTGCCAGTTCAGAGTCCACAATTAATGCTGATTTGTGTTGGATTGCAGAAATATGATTCTTCATGTACTTGTAGTTTAAATGACCTTTTATAAGAAAATATTTCTCACGCAATTACAATATTTCTTCTTGAGGCTCATCAAGGAAACCTTTCTCTTCCTGTTGCACTATCAAATTGCACATGACATACAAGAACTGGTTCATCCATATTCAGACATGACTACAAAGCACTGTAAAGTGACACTAAGAACAAAGTGCATTCAGACATTCTTTATGAAACTATTACCATCATACATTGAGTAAACTAGAATTGTCCAGTTAATGGAATCTTGTTCCTTGTCCTTGCAGTTGACCAAGCAACTGACTGATCTAGTAGATAACTTCACACTCCTTGACATACTAAGTAAGGAAGAACAGGAAGACGTACTCAACAATAAAATTGATGACATCAAAAAGAAAAATGAAGAACGAGCTCGACGTCACCAGGTAGAGTATGACATTCAAACACTTTGTGTGATTTACATGTACTGGTTTCTTGATTTAGGCATACATAAGTCATGAAGATGAAAGAACCTTTCAACAACTTTGCAATTCACTTGGCTAAATTGCTAGGGCAGATATTTTGTATACATTGAACAAAATATTTCATTTATCAAATCAGAATAATCATTTGAACCATGCCTGTTAATTTACAATGACTGTACATGGAACACACGCATGTTCTTCTTATACGCCAAGTATGCCAGATTTAAGGCAATGCCTTGATAAAATTTCTAGAGAGCCATTGGACAGTTATCATCAATAATGTAACAAGGTTTTTTGTGATGCTCTATCATTTACAGTGAGAAAAGTTTTTAAAGCAAAAAATGGAGCAAATAATGAAATGCATGTGCATGTAATTATTAACAACACAAGGTTGCCATTTTGCTTTCTTCTTTAACTACCGGTATTCAATAAATTCATTTTCATGATTAAGTATACTTTAAGGTCCGATTACGATTTCTTTTTTTAATTGCTTATTTTTATGTTATAAAAGTTGCTTGTGTCAATCAGAGAGGTGTTGATTATCTTTGCAAACTGACAGGAAATAGAGGCAGATAAGAAGCTAGCAAGTAGTACTGGGTCTAGTGTTACCAGTCCACCTTCAAGTACTTGTTCCTCATCAAGTGGATCATCATCATCATATCAATCACCTAGTCAAACTAACACCACCAGCAGGAGTGCAAACTCATCTCCATCACCAGCTACTCAGCAGCAGCAACAACAACAAAGACTGCAAGCAAGATCACAACAAACTGCTTCTCCACTCTCCCATCAACTTGCAGGACAGGTTGGTAGTCAAAATATAGATTGGGAGGGGGGGGGGATCAGTTATGAAATCAAGTCACCAAATATATCATTGTAGAAATACTTCTCTGTTTCATGTAATGAGATATAATTATTGCAAAGCAATAGTATTTTTTATAAATGTTTGATGATTTGGCTACATTGTAGTTATTGCAGTGAGACACATGGTAAATAAAATATACAGGTAAAGATAGGTTCAATATGTTATTCAAAACTATTAATATATCCTCCTTGTTTAATTGGCCAGGTCTTGCCGTCGTCTGGTACCAAGCAGCAGGGTAGGAGGGGTGATACATCATCACCTTTGACCTTGAATAATCAGTCTACATTACCTACAGAGGGGGTAGTAGGAGCCAGACAGCAGCGTCTTGTAGAGCAGAGGAGTAACACATCCTCACCTTTCTCAGAAGCATCAGTCGGCAGCGTAGGAGAGAAAAATCTAGAAAAGATGGCTGAACCAAAGCGGACCTTGGTAGGTGTCCTATCATTACACCACACAATGATGATGGCTTCTTGTATAGCATTAGTGGTGCTCTCTCTTGAATGTCTCACAAATGTCTCCTATGAATCCACCTTATTGACCTTGTTGAATACACAGTTGGGCTAGTGGATGATATGTTTATTATGCAATTTAAATCTCCTAGCCTCAATGAAGGTATTCCCTCATTAAAGATACTATGTCCCTTTTGCAGCCAACATCAAATTCTGTAGAACTTTGCAGGAATTATGAATATGTTATGTATATGTCTTATCTGTGAAATTTAAACTTGAGCAGTGTCCTGATATTCAAATTATGCAAGGAAACCTGTTTACTTGCTAGACTTCACTGTCCGACACTATTGGGTGACTGACAGGCTTTTTTCATCTTTGGTAATAACATACATGAAAAGAGTTGTTAAGGGTACATGAGCATTTGTCTACATCAATAACCCACTTCTTGTAATGGCCAAAATTAAACTGATTGAATCTGTGCACAGCATAAAACGTATGACCATTCGGTACAATCGTCTGAAAATCAAGACTATTATTTACTGGCTCTATAGCTCCTAAGTTGATTCAACAACTAATAGTCGTTATTTTCCCACTTAAAGACATTTTCAAGCCCCCCTTTTTTTAGGGATGTACTAAATTATTATTGTCTTTCGAATGCCGTTGGAATTTAACCTTTTCATTTTTTGGGCCTGCAAATGGGACATTGTACCTTTGATACCCTTTATTCCCTTATCTAATACTTGCAGTAAGTAATCTGTGCCATCAAATATAATAGCTAGATTGTCTCAAGTATTCAGAAAATAAACGGTATTCATTCTGCAGACTATTTCACCACACTATTCCAGCTGTTATTAATTTTGTTCTGACTTTGAGCATGTTTACATTCTTATCCCTTTAGTCAATTCTATTTCCCACACACATTGCTGCCCGATTGATCTCCTCTGTTTTCAGTTTGTGTCAATATAAGAGCGTTGTTTATTTTATCCCTTGAATCTGTGTTTTTAGTCTAGCCCATCTGAAGATCAGCCTCGATATGAATTCATCAACATAGAGCTTCTGAATGCAGGGCGAGGCCTAGGCTTTGGTCTAGTAGGTTCACATGGAATAGGTGTGGTTGTGAAGACCATTGTAGCTGGAGGAGCTGCTGAACAGGTAAGCTGCATTCAATCACACACAACATTAAAGATTTTATTTCATTTTACATGCATTTACAATGTCCTTTACCCTTGCTCCATCTCCAACAAGTGACTCTAGTAGAATTAAGGATTATTAACAAAGTATGTCCACAATATCATAGTATACTAGCAACTTGAGTCCTATCCAAATAAATGAGCATGTCAAATTGGTGTTTATTTTTATTGCTTTTAATGGATAGCATTGAAATGTTTTTCAATCAGATTCATTCTTCTCAGGGGCTGAGTTGTATGTAGAAAGTAGAATTTATAAATGTATAAAATTTTATAGTAGTAGAGATAAAGAAAGTCATATTTCCCTCATAAAGCAACACCAGTAAGGCTTGAGTATAAAGACATTCCCCTTTGTTGATATCTGTAATTTTATTGAAGTACACGCTATGAACCTATTGACTGGTTGTTTGTAGGATGGTCGACTTGACAGTGGGGACGTTGTGGCTCAGATCAATGACATCAATCTAGAAGGGAAGACAAGAGATGAGGTGTACAACATTCTTAAAGGCACAGTAGGGATGGTACGACTTAAAGTCAAACGGAAGGTGGCACAGGTGAGCTCATACCAACTCAGAGTTTCGTTCAATTTAAAGATAAACTCCAGTATTGGTAAAAAAAAAAAATAATAATTCTCACAGAATCAAACGAAACTTACACTGAATGTTCAAGATTACAAATAAATGACATGTGCCAAACAATTTGGAAGAAAATGTATACTGGCTGAGTAATGAGCATAGAAAGACAAGGAAATCAAGGTAGTACTAGCCCCGACACGATGTGTGTTGTCCCATATATAGCTTTCTATGTGAGTGCTTGTTACTTTACCAAGACTCAGTCAAATTTATTATGATTTTGATGACTCCAGAACCTTGCAGTGCACACCAGTACTTACATGCTACATGATCAACTGTTTCTGATCCTTTCCACACCTTTTCTTTCACAATGCAATCGCATTACCAGTACTAAAGTTTATCTTTAAGATACATTATAGCATTTTTTCATCATCAAATTGAGCTCATAGCATAACCCATACCAACTCAGAATTTCATTCAATTTAAGATACATTATAGGAGCTTTTCATCATCAAATTGGCACTAATTATTACAATTTTTCTACGGAGTTAAAAAAAACTATAAATGCATTTTTGTGAAAGAAAGAAGCTAAATATAAATAACTGAAAATTGCTAATTTGTACCAGAAATAGTAAAAGTATGAATTTTCCATACCGTTGCAAATGTAGAGACTTTAATGATGATGATTAAAGGGATCGTTTAACAATGTTAAATCTGAGATACACGGCCCTACATGTTATCAGTGTCTGTGATATGGTGTAATATTGAAGCACTAAAAAAATTGCGTTTCAAAATGATCAAGAAGTGCCTCAAAAAAGTAAAAAATCTTTGAGTGACCGGTTTTACCATACTTGTTTTCCCCAATAGACTGTAGGGTTATGAAAATTGCAGTGAAAAAAAAGGGATCGTTTAACAATGTTAAATCTGAGATACACGGCCCTACATGTTATCAGTGTCTGTGATATGGTGTAATATTGAAGCACTAAAAAAATGCGTTTCAAAATGATCAAGAAGTGCCTCAAAAAAGTAAAAAATCTTTGAGTGACCGGTTTTACCATACTTGTTTTCCCCAATAGACTGTAGGGTTATGAAAATTGCAGGCGAACGGTTTTCAAAATGTGTAATTCCAATCATAAATATCTTGATAATCAGACAGGCGATCGGCTTGTAAAAGTCATGGGGTTCCTGACTGACCTAAAGGTTTATAATTATCACTGCATCATGAGCTAAATCCAGAATTTTGTTTCAGAATCTGAGACAAAGTTACCGGATCCCTTTAAAGTGTTCTTACTCATGAACAGCAACATTTTCTGTGAAAGTTGCTCCCTCTGCTGATGTATCGTGATAGTCCTAGCATTCTTAATAAAAAGATAATCAAAAACTGTCTCTAAGAGGAGAACTGGGGCCCGTTGCATAAAACTTAACATTGATGGTAACTTTCATGGAAACCTTGGTTTGATTGCCTGATGAATGATGTTGCCATGGTAGTTAATATCGATGGCATAGTTATCATCAGTGGTATAAAGTTTTATGCAACGAGCCCTTCTATGGGTTAAAAATACCATAAAACGGTATTTTGTTTTTACATAATGGGGAACATTGTTTGTATTGTAACATCCATACATACATGTTTATCCCAGCAATGTTAATAGAGATGCAGAAAAAATAAATGCACTACAGAGTGCCCAATCATTCAGGATTTGGCTTTTGACTTAAAGGGCAATCCAACCCTTGTAATAAGTTGATTTGTATGAAAGCAGAAAAATAACAAACAGAATGGCAAAAGGTTGAAATGAATCGGACCAATAGTAAGGACGTTATGAATGTTTGAAATATGAGATCACTATAAAGTCTATGCAAATCTCAAATTGGTAGTTCCGTCAGGGGATCGTGACGTAGGACTTGGATAACTCTACCATTTGCTGTGTACAAAAATATCATTAATTTCTGTTTTCCCGTAAGTTCCTTCTCCCTTGAGGCACTACTCAATAAATATTATTGATTGCATATTATTATAAGTCATAAATTTCTATATTTAGTCAGATTTAATAGAAACTTTCATCAGCTTGCTTCTCTGATTTTCTCCTTTCTTTTAGAGTAGTAGTCTATTTGGGTTGGATTTCCTTATAATAAATCTAAAGGTATAGGCAAGATGGTTTAGATTGTAGATTTTTTTTGTGTGTGTGTGTGTGTGTAAGAACACTTTATTTTTATCTGTGAGACAGGCAAATATGTAATATTCATGTTTGAGTATACTTTTAAATGAAACTTTAACTTTTTCCTTCTCTATATCTCATACTCTGCAGTCTGGTAGAGCTCAGATGAAGAAAGATGCACAGCAAGCTAGGAAGGATAAAAGGCCTGTAAGTCAGACATGTAGTCTTTCATAGTTGGATCAATGAGTTCATTTAACATTCATTTATTGTAGCACATTCTGTACAATGACCTACAGCTCTTGAAGTGCCTCACACCAGTATAGTTAGCTGTAAATGTTACTGCTATTAAAGATATATGTAAAGTAAGTAGGTATTAGATGCTGGTAGGAAACATATGTTTATACAGAATACTGAAGGTACCTATATGAACCATATGTTATCATTATGATGATGCTCTCATAGTATTAATGCTGGTACTCTAATAGAATTGTATATTCAAGTTGGTGTTAGATCCTTAGGATACTAAAGCACATGGAGTTGCAGCTATTATGATAAACATTAAGAAAATTACTACTGTTTATATTTGTAATCAATCAAATGCATATGCAACTCTTACCTTTCGAGCAGCTCCCCCATTGTTTTGTACTTCAAATTGTCATGAATTTCTACTTTCATGAAGAAATAGATCTTTGTCATAGAGGGAGTATGTAAACATACACTGTAGATGTCCAGTAAGATATGTAAGGGATAGGTATAATCAGAGGTGTTTTTTTTTGGGGGGGGGGGGGGTTGAAGTTTATGACATTTTTAAGACATAACATAGGGAGAGCCAGAGAGGGGTTCAGAAGTGAGCCACAAAGCTTTCACTTTGTATTTGATAGATTACAATTATTGATTTGTTTAACTTCCTTCCGTTATTGAATTTTGCTTATTATTTCACTGATCTCCTTCTCTTTTTGAATGTTTATGTTGCACTGAAGTCAACTTGATACCAGAGTAGACCTTCCATTGAGTGGAGGGAAGCTAGAACAAGAAACCTCAGAGAATCCATTCTTATTACACTCAATGTTGACAAGTAGAATGAAGATGGTGATAATAATAAGCTCTATGAGCTGAGTTTGATGTGTGATATAGATAGTAACTGCTGAGTATCTTTATTTATTTATATATATATATATATTCATTTATTTTTATGCTTTTCATAATATCTGGTTTTCAGAATATTATTATACTACTGCTGTGAATAAGCCCATTTATGAGGTATTTTATTCAGCACATTATAAACCCCGAGTTAAAAAGAGTTCCTATTATCACTTGAATCAAGACAACTTGTAAGGTTTTTACTAGAAGTCTAGGCTGTATTTATAGAGTAGGATGTTGGAAATAATTGTAGGGCAGGCCGATGTCAATCACCTATTCAAATCCTACTGCTCATAAAAAGAATGTTTTTAGGACAGCAGAAACTCTTTTACCGTTGAAAAGGAATCATACTATTTTAAAGAGTAACTTTAACAAAAGAAACAAGTCAAATGAAAGTAGCGTTGTTCCATTGTAGAGCAGCTCTGTGCTGGAATATAAAGTTCAAACTACAAAAGTCCAGTCAATGTAGACCCCCTGTGATACCATACTCTGTCCTCCCTCATTCACTACTTTGACCTGTGTCTCTATTTTTCTTTTATCCTCTGTTTGTGGTATATCCTCCATGACTATGTCTGTCTGTGTGTGTGTGTGTGTAGACTTTGATTGTGACCTTTCCAAACGACTGCTCTCCGGTTATAGAAAGCCCTCGACACAAGATACACAGCCCACCGCATCCTGAGGTATATTAGCCTTCCAGTCTTAGACCTCCATGCATCTTTCCTCATTTGATCAAGAAACCATTTAGTTGTGATGCTATAACATTACCCTTTATTTGACTACTTCTCCCTATAATCATATATTTGTTATCCTAATACTCTTAACACTTCCCTCAGCCAGCCATCCAATAGCAAGCCTGCCTGCCTTCCCAACCTCTCAACTTGTATTGTAATTCCAAGTAGTGATGTGAGGATCATTCCATGTCTACACTTGTGATGAGCATCTTTTGAAGACAGTACATTAGTTGTTGCCGTTTCATTGATTGTTTTCATCCCTTTCTCACAAATCTCTTTCATGATTCAATTTTGTTTTTAGATTATTTAGTTGCTGCTACTTTACTTTTGATTAGGGCAAATACCTCTCTCAAAATATTTCCTTTCTGATTTCTTTCCTATTCTGTTTTGGATGTTGTGTTTAACTAGTTATTTAAAAAAGAAAGAAAAAGAAAACTGTGATGAATACATACATGTGAATATTTGTAGCCAACAAAATTTAAAGTGAAAAGATCTCTATCACTTTTCAAAATAACATTTTTTGGGGAAATATTTTTTTCTTCAATTTGTAATATTGTTCTTTACGTAGTGTTTTACCGAGGTGTGCGCTACTAACATCAGAGGAACATCACTGCTCAATACCTTTGATATTTGTCAAGTCCCTTAGCTTCTCTTTTATATGAAACATAGGAATGAAATGGATTGTAGCTTATATCTTCTTTCTACATTCAGGGCATTAACTCATTTACTTTAACACAGAGTTAACGCCCTTTTGGCACTAAATACACAATATACAAATGGTGTTGTTTCTTAATAATCAAAAAGATCTTATCTCGGTGCTCTGTCAGTTTATTTTCCCGAATTCTTCATCCTGTTTGTACTTTCTATGACAATATTTTCATGAATATTGCATACCTTGATTCTATTCTTATTTCATAACCTCTGCTACATGTTTGTTATCCTGTACATTATTTGTACTGTTAAAGCTATATTTATCATTCTTGGGCTTTGCTTAGTTTCCTATTTAAAAACATTGTTGAGAATCACAACTCTCATTCTTACATATAGTATAGCTTTGTTGGGGGGGGGGGGGGGGTTGTAAATAGGTTAACAGCTAGAAGGAAAAGAGATTGTTATGGATCCCAAATGCATTACAGTCCTTAATTTATCTCTTTATGGTGGTTTTTTAATTTACATTATACCAATCACCTAAACTATATTTGGTGTACATCTAGACTGTGAAATCCAACCTTAAAAATCTTTACTCAGCATTCTATAGGCAGACAGAAAAGGAGTTTGAAGAAACTAGTTATTACATAAAACACCAGCATGGAACCTGATGTGTTGATTATTCTACTTACAAGTTGCTTTTATGTTATTTGAAATTGTATTAAAGTTGCATTTCCTATTTTCCTCTTTATAGGAGTAATATTTCAGGCTCATAATTTGAATGAAATATAGCCACATAGAACCCCTAACATACCATTGGTACACTTTTAATGTAAGTGTTTCTTTCATTCTGGTAGTCAATGTGATGCAGTATGTTTGCAATATGTTTGTTTTCAAATTCTGCATCTTATTATATAGACCTGAGCTTATAACATGTAAACATATATGATCTTATTCAGACTCATTCAAGGAGTAGTTTCAAAACCCTGCAACATTGACTAATTGTATGTCTGGGTTTGGAGTGGGACTACTTTAACTTGTCTAAATAATTTATCATAACTTATTCTTTTCTCTCTAAAATTTTGTATTGATTTATTTATCTTTTTTTTAATATGATGGTGTACTCGATCCGATTTTGAATGGAAGTCCAATACTTTGCAAATATTTCCTGGTGGAATTGACCTTCATAGTAGATGTTTAGAAGAGAAAGTTGATGAGATCTTCACTTTAACACATTAACTTTACAAGATTGCAGCAAAGATAGAAATGTATTCTTCATTTTGGATAGTACAGCTGTATACTATATTTTATCTAGTTTAGACCAATCTTTACTTTTAAATCATTTATAGCTTGCGCATTGATAGTCTTCAATCAATAGCGTGCTAACAGTTCAAACTTTGACAGCATATATGCATGATGGGTTCATTGATTTTTCTGTTTAATTGTTTTTTTTCTCCAGTTTCTGACTTACAAAAGTAGAATCGTCTTTATTTCTAATATTTTTGATTTATTTCCTTGCTGTAAACCTTCATACATTACAATTTTCCAGAGGAATTTTGTATTGTGCAATACAATATTTTAACCTGTATTTTGGGGGCATTGCTTGATGGCTTTGGAATGTTACTTTGAGTGACAACTTTCCATGGAATATGTGTTTGTTCTTTCTGCATGTGACTTGTACTAACCTGGAATCATGCATTATCTTCAAAGGTCAAGGGTCAACTATCATGTACCAATCCTGCAGTATACTGTTTAGCCATTGTTCTCATTTTGACATTATCTCATCATATATTTTGTTATCTTACAGTCATAAATAATAGATGAAGGGGTATAAACTATGCCCCTGTATTATATATAACCAGTAATCTTGTATTGTTACTGCCCTTGTATCGTCTTTTGATGATTATATGACATGAATAAGAAATGTCCATAAAGAGAGATATGCAAAGTGATTCCAGATATGTACATGACAGAGTAATGACAGAGAATATGACATTGTTTTCTCCACCAGTTTTAACAAATGTCATAGGCCTTCATTTCTAGTCTTACTAGAAGTGAATATCATCAATTGTTTTTGTTTGATATACATTATTCAAAGTTAAAGTAATTGCTTTTCATAAATAAAGAAATGCAAAAAAAAAAGAGGGAAATGGCAGAACTTTTTTGCCATGTTTAGGGTTAATCTTAATTTTAAAATCTTATCTGAAGAATAAGATATATGGTTGAGAGCCAGGAAGGGAGTAAGAATGATCTATTCAAGGCAAGCTGTACCTTGAGAACAGTCTGAAAGATGAAGTGATAGCTGCAGATGTTTGGACTGATTTGTTTGTACCCAGGGTGGATGATTAGGGTGGTGTAAAATGTATGAAATGGTGACATGGATCATTGTTATTGCAAAAAATCAGCTGATCCAAAATGTTATTCATCTGGAGTTGACTTTCAGAATTAATTGGTCATTATAAGCTAGGACAAAAATATGCTTTGCGCATGTCTGCTCTGAAGCAATCACTTGATAACGATCTATGTCAACACTTTATAATATAGCTTACACCTTTCTGGCTCACAGCAGAATATACACCAAAATGTTTTCAGATTAATTCATTTAATTACAGGAATTTATACATCATGACATATTGACACTAGTATGATTTGTGTTGATTGGTATATGACTATGTATTTGATAATCATTTGTTTTTGACTGCAGGGATCTGGAGGTCCAATGGGAGAGCAAGGTCAAGGTCAAGGTCAAGGAGGGCGTGGTAGAGGAAGAGGTCGAGGGAGAGGAGGTAGAGGAAGAGGTGGAGGAGGCAATGATGGAAGGAGTGTCAAAATGGGATGGGAAGAAAACAAAGGACAGGTCAGTGGATCAGATTTCTATTGTTGTTTTACTGATTTAATAATGCTTTTTGTCTTGTATATTGCAAGAATGAACAGAAAATTGTACAATACATACAGAAGGTTAAGGAAAAAAATAACGGCTCTGATTGGCTGCCAGGGAAAAACAAGAAAATAGGTGTGATACCAGCTGGCTAATGAAGACGGACTGTAGCAAAGCTAGATGGCTGGTATCACAGCTAGATGGCTGGTATCACAGCTAGATGGCTGGTATCACAGCTAGATGGCTGGTATCACAGCTGGTGTCTTGTTATTTCCTGCATGCAATCAGGGCTTCAGATAACTAAGAACCAATGAGCAGATATAACCAATCTTGGATAAGTATGTATAAGCATAAAAGCGTCAAAGGTAACACGGTAATAATAGTGTTGAAAATGCCAGAAAATGAATTCTTACCGCAATATTTTGAAAAGCATTGAAGCAATTCAAACCAAACTTATCAAATATCACAGGGTTATGAAAGTGTTGAAATTTCCCGAAAATATAATCTGTGATAACTTACGGTACCTAAAATTGAACCAATGATGACCAAACTGTATGAACAAGCATGAACAGATTAAATGAAATATTGGAGCCCTCTGAGCACCTTGTATGATGGATAATAATAATAATAGGCATTTCTATAGCGCCATCTATCTAGAAATTCTATTCCAAGGCGCATTTATTATTACCCTGGCTTTAGCCTAGCTGCCATTACAACGCTCCAGCATTTCAAGGAATTAATTCCTGCCAGGTACCCATTTACATCACTTGTGTTGAGTGTGGCAAATGTAGATCAATGTCTTGCCAAAGGACATTAGTGCAACGGCGGGACTCGAACCGCGGACCTTGTGATTGACAGTCCGGCGAGGATCCACTCGACCACGACACCTCTACATTGGATATGTGCGGTATCAAAATATCCAATATTATATTATTATTATTACCTTACATCTTTGATGAAAATGTAGTTACTGGAGTAAATGTTGGATTGGAGAGTTAGCTAATAAAGGGTAACTGCTTGAAGTCAGTGAAGTAACTTTGAGAAATGGAGTGAAAATGTGTTTCTAATCGTAATACTCCAATACTCTTTCTTGTTTTCAGCAGGATTATACTTCAAAGAGGAAAGAAAACTATGACAGAGTAGAAGCTGAGATCCAGGCCATGAGGGAGGAATATGAGAGAGGGGTAAGACTCTTTCATTCAGTATATTGGAATAACAGCAATGTTTTGAAGAGTATCTACACATCACTGGACCTAACCCAAAGCTCTTGCAAGATGAAGCATTCTGAATGACTTTGGGCCATCTTCTCATGAAGATAATATGACTATTTTAACCCAGTTGACACATACCTTCAATAATCTCCAAAGAATTTTGAGAATTAATATAATTTTTTTTTTATTGAGCATCAAACATACAAAATGTACAAATATGCATACCGTATTTGCCGGCATAAAGGCCGCAGTATTTTTGGAAGAGAAAATATCCAAAAGTCGGGATGCGGCCTATGCGACGAAAGAGTAAAAAAAAAATTAAAAAGTAAGTCAAAACAAGCACGAATTTGCACATATGGGACTAGATCTACGAACAGTACAATAACTATACATTTCTACACATCTTACCGACAATTTTATCTTGCATTGTTGACATGAAGACGAAAATAAACTTCCAAAAACAACATCTGTCAATAGATCTTGATCTAAGTTCGTGCCAATACATTGCAAAAGTAAAAGAAGGGCCCGTTTAAGGGAGCTGCCGCGAAGCATTCAGCACGCGAAGTCGCTATTTTGAATCCATTTCAATACACAAGAGAGAGGCGCAATGTATACATCACAAAAAACTACATAAGCTAGCATCAGTGCGGGATGGCCGAGCGGTCTAAGGCTGTGATTTTAGTCAAATCAACATTTAAACGCAAGAGATCAAATCCCGACTTCAACAAAAAGTTTGTTTTTTTGTTTTGTTTTTGTTTGTTTTTTTAATGTCAAAGTCGGGGGGTGCGGCCTATACAGCGCTGCGGCCTTATCGCCGGCAAATACGGTATACAAAAGAACAATACGAGAAAGTATTCAATAAATAAATGGCATGTAAATAGCACAGCAAAAATCAACAAAAAACAGTGAACAACAGCATTATAAAAAAAAAGCTAAATGGTAAACATTCAATAATTTCCTGATGCTCCTTTACTAATTTTGACTAATAACCCCCATATATAAGTAATCAGCTCTAAAGACTATCATTTCCTTTACCTGCTCAACTCTGCATATTGTTTCATTTTGTACATTCCATTAGACTGCCAATCGCATTGTGATTGAATAGTGATTATAATGACTGTCATTCTTTGTTTGTTACCTGCCCATGGTAGAAAGCATCTGGGAATGGAGACCCTAGCCAAGCCCATCATCATCATCCCAGATCATCACAGGGGGGCTTTCTAGATGATCCAGGGCGCTATGGTCCTCAGCAGCCATACCATCAGGAGCATCATCGGGGGGATACAGATAGACATGATGGTAACAGGAGGAATCAAAGGAGCTGGGGAGGACCTACAATAGATGATGTGAGGAGCAGTATGACAAGAAGTAGAGGCAGACCTCCCAGGAGACAACAGGTAAACATACAAATAGTAGGGTAACCATGGCAATCATTAAAGGTACAATGTTCCATCTGCAGCCAACATCAAATTCTGTAGAACTTTGAAGGAATTATGAACATGTCATGTATGTCCTTTCTGTAAAAATTTAAACATCAGCAGCTACCTAATATTTAAATTATGCAAGGAAGCCTGTTTACTTTCTAGACTTCACTGTTAGACACTATTGAGTGACTGACTGACTACGTTTTTATTTTCTCGCCTGCGTAGCAAAAAAGCGAGACATAGGCGCCGCTTTTCCGGTGACGGCGGCGACGGCGGCGGCGTTAACATCAAAAACTTAACCTAAGGTTAAGTTTTTGAATTTTCAATATAATTTTGAAAGTATAAGTTCTTAGTCAATGAAACTTGGACTATAGGGTTATCAAGTATCCCCAATAATGTGAGTAGCATTTCAGGTCACATTGTCAAGGTCAAAGGTCATTTCAGGTCAACAGACTTGGACTATGTTGTCGCATCATCATCAAAAACTTTTTTTGAATTTTTTATATAATTTTGAATGTTTACGTTCTTAGTCAATGAAACTTGGACTATAGGGTTATCAAGTCTCCCCAATCATGTTAGTAGCATTTCAGGTCACATAGTCAAGGTCAAAGGTCATTTCAGGTCAACAGACTTGGACTATGTTGTCGCATCATCATCAAAAACTTAACCAAAGGTTAATTTTTTGAATTTTTTATATAATTTTGAAAGTTTAAGTTCTTTGTCAATGAAACTTGGACTATAGGGTTATCAAGTATCCCCAATCAAGTGATCAGTATTTCAGGTCACTAAGTTAACGTTAAAGATCATTTTAGGTCAACACACTTGGACTATGTTGTCGCATCATCATCAAAAACTTAACCAAAGGTTAATTTTTTGAATTTTTTATATAATTTTGAAAGTTTAAGTTCTTTGTCAATGAAACTTGGACTATAGGGTTATCAAGTATCCCCAATCAAGTGATCAGTATTTCAGGTCACTAAGTTAACGTCAAAGGTCATTTTAGGTCAACACACTTAGAATTTGTTGTTGCATCAACATCAAGATTTTGAATTTTTAGCATATTTTCAAAATTGTTTGTTCAAATTCCATGTAACTTGTACACAAGGGTTGTCAAGTATCACAAATCATATGACACATATTTCAGGTCACAAGGTCGAAGGTCATTTTAGGTTAGTAGACTTGGATTATGTTTTCACAACTTAATATGAGAATTAATAAATCATTTTTTTATATTAATTTGTTCATATTTCATTCAAGTTATCGATCGTGGTACAATTAATATTAAATAATTGTTTTGATGATTCTTAGTCAATATTCACTTCAAAATGCTGATTATATTCAAAAGGATTTCATTTTGTGGGGCCTGCTAATGGGTCACCGTGCCTATAAATAATGTTCCAACCTCAATTTTTCATCATATCGAATTGCGTAATGCAGGCGAGACCGCCGAGAGCGTTTCCCTTGTTTGGTAATAATAAACATAAAATGAATTGTGAAGGGTACATGAACATTTGTCTACCTCAATAACCCAATTTTTGTAAAGGCCAAAGTTAAACTGATTGAATCTTTGGGCAGCACAAAAAATGAGCAATCGGTAGAAGCCTGTGCGATAAGTCTATTTGTAGGAAAGCAGAACATTAGAAATCAGAATGGTGGAAATTTGAAATAAATAAGACAATTGGTCCACCATGACGCCTTCAAATCATATCTACCTATGTTTTTATTCAGTATGGCGCACCACGAAGCAAGATGGAGATGTCCATGTCCATGACAGGCAAGGAGAGAAGGGATTATGAAGTTTGGAGGAAGGAGAGGGATGAAGTAGAACAGCAAAGGATGTCAAGACAGAAGGAATCATCCGGAGAATGGAGGAGAGAGTGGGATAGAGAGAAAGTACCAGGGTAAGTACACTAGCTAGCAAGGAGATATTCTTTTCATTAAATTAATTGTAACCTCAAGAGCATGAGAAAATTTGTGATTGACTCGTGACCGAATTCAAAGGGTGAATATTTTCTTTTTTTCATCTTTTGTGTGTGTGTCTGTGGCATATTTCATTTTTTTCGCAACTGAACAAATTATCCAAACCTCTGTTGATGAAGATTTTGTTATTTTGCTGGAAATCCCACCTGCTATCAATATGAATATTTTGAAAAGATTCAGCCATAGACTTTCATTTCAGCTACCATACACTGCATAGTCAAGAAATGTAACAGAGCTGCGTCGCTATTTCCAGCGGCGTCATTGTACTATTGGTAGTGGTAGTAGTTGTTTTAATTGTTGTCGTCAACAATCATGGTGTACTTGCAATAACGTTCTATAGCTTTGAGGTAGGATAACCAAATCCATACCACACATACATCTCTTGTAAAGCACAGGTCAAATTGGAAAATGGGTAAAATCTGACTATGGTCAATTGTCAAAGGTCAATGAACTTCCAGTAAAAAGCACCGTACATGCTATAACTTTCTATAGCTTTGAGGTAGGATTACCAAATTCATATGAAGACTAATTTGTGAGATTTTCTTAAGCAGTGGTCTCTCATTTTCCAGGGGGCAAAGTCAATGCAACCATGCAAGCCGATACTTATAAGCAGCATCTTACATTATCATTATTGCTTTAATAGTGTAAACTGCCAGAACCGAAATTCACATACTGAACTGCAGAAAGCCTGAAGTGGCATAATGTTCATATCTGTGATAAATTTTCACTTACATTGCGAGACCCAAGGGAGACTATGCATGGCATGTGCCTTGTTATGTTTACTGATAGTGTATATTATACTGCAATCTCTTTGTAGAAGTGAAAATATAATTACATTTTGGGGGCTCCAAACACTTTAGAGGGGCTTTAAGCTCATATTTTGAATACAGTATTGGTGACATGGGACTCTCCATAACAGCAGCAAAACATGTTTTGGAGATTGGTACACTTACATTGAAGATGCAACATTTAGAGAAAAAACATACCAAGATACATGTAGACCATTGTTCAAACCAGCTGTTTACTAAATGTATGTGTAAAAAACCAGACAAGAAATTTCCCCACATATGTGGAAAAAGTTGAAATAACCTCTGACCTCGCCATGCTATGTTTATCTTTATATCATTGTATAAAAAGCTGGTCCAAGAAAGACATTTGTTGTAATGAACGGGATATGTTTGATGAGATGTGAGAGCTATGGATCAATTTCTTTATGTTAACTATAGAAACCATACCTTATGGCTTGCATTCAAAGGGTCTCTATTATTCTCTCAGACTTTTGATTCTCTGTTATAATCTTTTTTATTTTTAAAGACCAATTTGCAGATTTCTATGTCATAGTATATTACATTATCTGCATTTTTCTGTTTGAAAACATGTCTTCTGTTTTTAATGATTAATTTTCCTGAACACAGTAAATCATTACCCCAATCTGTAGTCATATCGTCCCTATTTTCACGAAGTGACGGTAGTGAGGAAAATCGTAACGCAAAGTGAATGCAATTTTTGTTCACTACCGTCACTTCATGAAAACAGCGACGATATTCATGAACTTTTTACTTCCATTGATAGTAAAGATCAAGCTATTTTGGTTGTGCATTATGAAAACAAACTGTTTTACACATGTACTGGATACCATCTATATTCTTGATTCTTATATTTTCTGAGTTTTCAGTGAAATGAGTACATTTATTTCAAGAGCTTCCCTTTACATCGTTAGTACTAGTATTCACAAACACAAATTTATGCCAGCTCTTGACACATAATCAACTACCGTAAATCTCCGTGTATAAGGCGCACCTGTGTATAAGGCGCACCCCTATTTTGGGGAGGAGGAAAAAAACAACAACAAAAAAATTGTTTTTTTTGTTATGTTGTACAGTTGTTGTTGTTGTTGTTGTTTTGTTGCCGAAAACCCACGCGGGGAAGGACCTTCATTTTACATCGAGGTGCAGTTGAAGTTGTGAACTTGTCACAAATAACAGTAACAACAGTCTAAGGCTTCATGATACCAAATGTCCCACACCAGCCTCATCACATCACCTAGCAAAAGCACTGTGATCTATGCCAAACATCAGTAGTCATGCATGATATGAATAGCATCCTCTAAATTTCTGACAATGGAGTACCTAGGATAGAACCTTGTGGTACACTATTTGTTATAGAAAAAAATTGAGGAATTATTATTATAAACTACATATTGAGATCTATTAGAAAGATTACTTTCAAACCAAGATGACAGACAAATTTGAGTGTTGTAGTTTCCGAGTGGTGAGTCAACACACTGATTACTGAGCTAGGAGACATTGCCAAGCATAGCGCCATAAATCGAAACTAAAAAAAAAAAAAAATTGTCTGTACCTGTGTATACGATGCATCCCCGACTTTCAAATTTTTTTGGCGGCAAAAAAGTGCGCCTTATAGACGGAGATTTACGGTATGCTGCTGTTTTTTTTCTTTTCCTTTTTGTCTCGCCTGCGTAGCAAAAAGCGAGACATAGGCGCCGCTTTTCCGGTGACGGCGGCGGCGACGGCGACGGCGACGGCGTCGGCGACGGCGTCGGCGTCAACATCAAAAACTTAACCTAAGGTTAAGTTTTTGAATTTTTGGTATAATTTTTAAAGTATAAGTTCTTAGTCAATGAAACTTTGACTATAGGGTAATCAAGTATCCCCAATCATGTGAGTAGAATTTCAGATCACAAAGTCAAGGTCAAAGGTCATTTCAGGTCAACAGACTTGGACTATGTTGTAGCATCATCATCGAAAACTTAACCTAAGGTTAAGTTTTTGAATTTTTGATATAATTTTGAAAGTATAAGTTCTTAGTCAAGAAACTTGGACTATAGGGTTATCAAGTCTCCCCAATCATGTGAGTAGAATTTCAGGTCACTAAGTTAAGGTCAAAGGCCATTTAAGGTCAACAAACTTAGACTTTGTTGTGGCATCAACATTAAGATTTTCAAAATGCTTCTTCTTCGTTATTTTTCAACCGATTTTGATTCTGATTGTTTCATATGATAGGGCTAGGAGGGGATTTAAAATTTCTACACAGAATCGTGAAATTCATTATCTATGCTAATTTATGCAAATTTATTCGAAATCACAAAAAAGGCTTCTTCTCCTTCATTTCTCGACCGATTTTGATTTGGTTTGCTTTATATCGTAGAGCTAACTTTGGTACACTAAACTTCTACACAGAATTTTGAAATTGTTTCTCCATTTATTAATTATGGTAATTTATGCAAATTTATTCCAAAAATAACAAAAATTGCTTCTTTTCCCTCATTTCTTGACCGATTTTGCCTTATCTGGTAGAGCTAAATTTGGAACAATAAACTTCTACACAGAATTGTGAGATTTTGCTCCATTGATTATTTATGGTACTTTATGCAAATGAAATGAAATTATGTCCCTTCCAGGGCATCAAATTTCTATTTTTTGACCAGTTCAAAAGTACCACATAAAATTTACGATATTTGTTGTTGTGAGATGCGGATGAGCGCTACGTCATTGACGTTCTGGTTTATCATATTGAATTGCGTTATGCAGGCGAGACCGCCGAGAGCGTTTCCCTTGTTCATGTTTGAATGTTATGAAGTATGAAAGCTGAAGAGTGTCTTTATAACCTTTTTGATACAATGAACCTCATGCAAGCGCTTGACATATAGTCAACTGTGTTTTGAAACTGTACGAACATGAGGATGTACATTAGGGCTGTGCACAACAGTGTAATGAGGTACCCGAGTACACTCCCAGGCTTACAAGCGAATACTTGAATATTCGGACGCCATGTTTTTTTATAATTTTTGGGGGGATTTTTGGGGGGATTTTTTTGTTTGTCTGCCACCACCATACCACTGGAGCAGTATCCCAGGTCCGTGGCCGAAAACGCATGCAATTTTACTTTGAGTTGCAGTTAAAGGCGCCGATTTAATAATAATAATAACAGTAAACAATGCTGTTTTAAAAACCAAAGATGGCAAAATAATCCATTTTCCTCCGAGTCCAAACAGAAATCCAGATATTTGGTCCCAGTTTCTGAGTGGTGAGTTTGACAGTGCTTGAGTTGGGAAACATTTTTACAGACGGTACCATGCCAGCGGCCGCCGCTCTCCCTGGCACAGCTAAGCGTCGGCGTGGACAGTGCCAGGTGACCGGGATTTTATTTTATTTTTTTTTTTTTTTTTTGCGGCCGAACATTCGAGTACGAGAAATTGTACTCGAGTAGTTGTCAACAGTGCGGGTACTTGAGCATTCGACTACATGTCGCAGCCCTAATGTACATGTATTTTCATCACTAATTATGATATCACAAGTAGATTCTCATATTAGTGTATCCACCTGATTTTGTTCTGAGAAGAAAACAGAAATGAAACTTGAACTGATTGCAAGGTGACATAAGTATCATTAAGATTGATTAGAACACTCTTACAAAGCAAATTGAGTGTTTAATATAATAATAATAATAATACATAACATTTATTAGGCGCTTAATACTGATGTTTCTAAGCGCACAGTGTTCTGATTAAGAGAAGACTATAACCCGTAGAATTAAATTAGAAGAAAAAGCAAAAATACAAAAGTAACATAGAGAAGGTAAGAAAAACAGTGGCAATCAACTAAATAAAGACAAATACAGGTTGGCCCAAAAATAAGTCTCAACTGTCATTGTTTTTTTTCTTTATTGGGTAGAAAAATGTTTTCCTAGTAGTAAGATGACACCTAAATCCTCAATTTTGATTTACGGTAATCATTTTAATTCTGGGGCTATTTTTGTGAAGCAATTTATTTAATATTTGTTTTCTTTTTTTAAATGGGATATTGCCCGGTTTCAATATTACGTACTACAGAAGTGTAGATATTTAATGACCGAATGCACTCATAGCTGAGTAAGTTATTTATTATTTTGCTCAACCTTA